TGATTACACAATAAATTTTGTTTTGACGTTGTCAATTTTTTTATAAAACTTATAACCCTGATTAAGCAGAAAAAATCGCTGGAGACACCAAATATTCCTTAGTTTATTTTAGTTCTGATATACTTTCTAATATTACTTAGCTTAAGTTTACTCATAAGTTTTGATCAAGTAGTACCTAACTCAAGCAGTCTTTATTACGGCGTAGCACGGAAACTACGGCTACGTATCTTCTACGTAAGTATTTGCTACGTAATACCCGTAGCCACTTCGTAGATATGAGTATAACACTAACTTTATATAATAGTACTAGCAGAACCCGCGGCTTCGCTCGCGCTAAACCTACAAAAAATCTCTTATAATAGTAGGGGAGCCCAAGAGGGGATTTTCTGTAGTTACTCGAGCGCGGCAGATTAACATAAAAGAGGTTACCTTGCACTCTATTGAGTACTTTCACCATAATGTAAGTCTTCTATATAAAGGGGCGCGTCTAGGGAAGCCGAAGTAAGTATCAAAACATTTTTTAAATATTTTAATCGGCTTCCCTAGACGCTCCCCTTTATATAGAAGACTTATATTGTGGTGAAAGTACTCAATAGAGTGCAAGGTAACCTCTTTTATGTTAATCTGCCGCGCTCGAGTAACTACAGAAAATCCCCTCTTGGGCTCCCCTACTATAAGGTAGTTTCATACAAAATTTCATCCCCTATTTTACCCCCTTATAGGATGAATTTCGAAAACTGCTAAAACACGTATTTATTTAATTTTATTGAAGAGCATTAATATAAAGTTTCAAGCAATTCAGATTTTAAATATTTTTTGGATTATATTATAACGTGCTTTCCCGTGGGAATTAGTTAATCTGCTGCGGTAAAAAGTTGCCTATGTCACTCTCCAGCCCTCCAACTATCTCCACACAAAAAATCACGCCAATCCATCACTCCGTTTCGACGTGAAAGAATGACAAACAAACAAACACATTTTCACATTTATAATATTAATATGGATGTAATAATAATTTTATCTTAGAGGTGTAATGTAGAGCATGAATGAATGTAAAGTCTTTAGCTTGACAGGATTAATAAATATTTATTTTTAAGCTTAGTATTAAATGCAGGTTTAATTAATATCTTCGCATTTTAAAGTAAACATAAGGTTTAACAAAAACTTAACAAATTTATTGTTACTATTAATAAAGTTTAGAAAAATAGCCTTTTGTCAAATATTGTCCCTAACAACCTGAATGTAGACCCAGAACCTACTGTATGAAAAAAAGTTCAATGCTATTTACAAATCTATAGAAAGTAAAACCACCACAGAACATCGTTATGAAACGTTTGAGCTTAAGAAACTTTCCGCATCTTGCGGATACGATTTTAAAGGGCAGAGTCATTAACGTTATTACTTCCACTATCTCGCATCTACAAAGGCATAATTATTATATAACTAAGTTATGTAATACTAGATCATTTAGGGTTCGTCCCTAGACAAAAACAAATCTTTCCCACGGGAACCGTATATTCCGGGATAAAAAGTAACTTGTGTATTATTCCAGACTATAATCTATCTCTGTGCTTAATTTCATCCGGATCCGTTCAGCCGTTCTGGCATGAAAGGGTAACAAACATCCATCCATCCTTACAAACATTCACATTTATAATATTAGTATGGATTAGTATTCAGTTTCACAATGAAATAGATTAGAGTAGTCCTTTTAAATATAACTATCCGAAAAGATAGTTTTATTTAAAATGTCAAATATTCGCGTAAATTTAAGAAAGTATTATTGTGTAGTCCTAATAAATAACAAACATTACGATAAAGTGAGCCAAAAACAAATATATTTGTGAAAAAATCTCTGTATCACTCGTACAGTAGTGATAAAATACTTGCTATATTTCCTGCTTTTTATATATCTGTAAGATACACATGCTTATTCTTACACTTAGAAAAGTGAAATGCTGATGGCTGAAACGATTTAGCTATATCTGAATGTGCAAAGGAATCCGAGTAAAGTAAAAAATATTGTAAAATGCCTGCCTGGAAAATAGGAAATTGGAGAGAAACAGAAAGTCTTTTTTATATCAATTTTTATAAAATATAACAAAACAATTTATTGAAATTAAGATAAAACTGTCCGGTCAGTTAATAAACATATCTCAGGAGCTTTCCAAAGCAAAGCAAATAAAGCTATTAAGGCCGATCTATATCCCAACCAATTATCTGACATAGTTACACGAGAATTTTGCTGTAAATGCCTCTGAAATTTCTATCCAGCCCTTTGCGAGACCCGACGTCTCTATTTCGAAATGAGGTTAAAAGTGTGTAGACACTACGTACAGTTAACAGAATACATACATATAGGTACGTATATCTGAGTTACTACAGATTTCGTAGGAATATGGATTTTATTTATGTTGATAAAGTAGTTAGGGGTTTATGTTAGAACCTAACAAATAATTATAATAAACGTATAAAGTGGTTATAACCATAGAGAGAGAGGTTTTGCATATGTTTTTTTAACTCTATGTTATAAAAAAATTGGAAAAATTAAATGCGTCAAACTTGGTGCGATTATAATAAAGATCTAAAGTAAAAAACCAAATTAAAAAAAACCGGCCAAGTGTGAGATGAATATGGGTGTTTTTAACCTCAGTTAAACATAACATCATATTAAGGGTCAATTTTAAGTATCTAATATAAAACACGTGTATGACGTGGTGACATGGTTCCCTTGGTGTGCGATTCCGACTAGGACTTGGTTATTTTTTTTATATTTTTCATCCAGAAAGACTCGCTATTGTGCGCATACTGAATATAGCCACCTAACAGTCTAATATGCAAATTGCAAATGTCTTAGAAGTGTAGGATAAAGTACGTAATAAATCTCTTACGTTGAGTCAGTTCTGAGATTTCTTAGGTACCTAGGTACAGTTGGGACATAAAATTGAAAACTTTGATAGAGTCTCTCTACCAAGTAGATCTATCTATTTTAGTAACACGATGTTACAAAACATACCTATTATGTAAATACAATACATAATAACAAAGCGAGTTTAATAATTTAAAAAAAAAACGATTATAAACACTTGTTATGTATGGGACTCATCAAAATGAATTAAATGAGCCTAACTTCTCGGGAATTTTCCTAGTAGCAACTGAAAAGCTCCAATTTCCACCTACTGGCTCCATCATCGCATCAGCCCAACCAAATTGTTGTATTGTCATCCACTTTACACATATTTACAAAGCAAAATTGTAATTGCTAATTTTATTTCCATAAAATTTAATAACACGTATTAGTACTAAAGCTCATAAAAGGGTGTTAAAAAAGAAGATCCTAAAATATCCAATGTCGTACAATATTTACTAACAAGGATAAAACTTAAAAAAAAAATACTTTTGACCCCAAAGCGTTTGTAAAGGCCTCTGCGTCTTTTTATAAAAATCGAATTCGCTTTTACCATTAAGGGATTGGGGGATGCGAGGTACGAAGGTCGCCGTGGAAGGTCAAGGGCGTGCCCTACTTCCGGTGCCTTCGATACAAGGACTTGCCTGGATTAAGTTATGAACTTTTATCATAATATATTTTTAACAAGTGTGCATCTAGGGGCCAAAATTTTAGCATATTTTTAACACTAAAACTCGTTAATAGGTAGGTACTAAACAAAAAAAAAAGAAAATCGTTTGACAAACAGACAACAAAAAGGTACTGGACTGTTTTGTCTTTGCCTATTTACATATAAGCTCAGATAGCTCAGAAAATGTTAAATCCATACTAAATAAGTCATAATATTTTACCCAGTTACTTCATTTTAATGAATTTAAAAATAAAATATTTAAAATATCTACAATTAAAGACATGAAACTTGTAATTGTATAAGATACTACGAAAATTGTTAATAATTTCATAGGCTTTTATACTATTGTTATCCCTCTCTTTGATACATCTTTCAAGCATAGATAAATACTAAATTTGATATTTTTCTTTATATGAACAATATTTGAAAGATTTTCAGCATATTATTTGGACCAAAAAAAAAAACAATAGACGTAGGCCTAATTGTTTCGCCACATGTTTTTACATATAAGTTGATCAAAGCAATTTGTACACAGACATTGAGTCGCTGTGTATATATAATAACACATACGTATCACTATACTTATAACGTAAACGCCTAAAAATGGCATTCGGCCCTCTCATATTTTATTTTACTTTTAATATCATTCCTTTCTTCAGGTATTTTTCATTTAAACGATGTATAATATACAGTACCTACCTAACAAGTTTATGTAACCTAAATATTTTCAATTAGAATTATAAATTATAAAGAGATAATAATTGGTGTGATAGATGAATATTCTGCTCTCCGAATAATCTAGGGGGTATTTCTCGTGGGTTCTGAAATTCGTTCATATTAGCCTAGGTATCAGTGGAGTAGCTATGCCAATGCAACCAATGCGGTCGTATGGGGCCCCTGATTCAAGGGGGTCCCAAACGATTATTTTATTTCAAAATATTTAGTCGAGAACGGCCCTCATAGGAGTTTAAAAAAAAAACAAAAAAAATTGTCCTTAAGATTTGCATATAATTTTTTACAAGGACCACGAAGAATAAGATCGTACCTATGATATGCTATGTCCTCTAAGCTTAGCTTTTTTACTAAATGTTACTCTTCTCGTTCTTCTGTGAGAGAGGTTTGAAAAAAGTGAGAAGTTCCTAAAACTGTCTCTGTCATATTCAAATATACCTACATATGTATAAGAATGCGTCTGGGCTCACGCTGGTTTTAAGGAGGGCGATTCCATTTTTTTGCATGGGGCCCAAAAAAGCTAGAGTTACGCCACTGTTAGGCATATTTGTACTTCTAAGGGATATGAACATTAACACTTAACTCGGGAACCATACATCAAAATAAATTCACAAAAAAAATCGAAAAGGTGTATCATTTAAAATGTCAAATATTCGCATAAATCTAAAAAATATATTTGTAATTACGTACCCTTTGTAATAACTTAGGTCTGTTGTCCAGCTGCTCCGGTTCTTCTTCTTTGTGAGATGTGCTGTTGTTTCTCGGTCGCCTAGAATATATTTCAAGTGATTAATTTTTATTTGTTTATATTATCTATTTAATCAATTATACAAGGATATTTTTTAATTTTTAAATATAATTAACAACTTCATAGTTATTTTACAAATATTAATTTTAGAGTTCAAACACACGCCCACGCTTCATTTCTTTTTGTTTTAGAAATCAAACAATGTAGGTATGTTTTGTATATTTTTATTGTTTAAACTAGCGATTTACAATCGCTTCGCTCGTGTGCGCTCCTAGCCACGTAACAGCTTATATATATATTTTTTTTGTTGGAACACTTATACACAGCACCATCTAGTTCCATGGTAAGCTACGATGCTTGTCTTATGGATACCAGATAGTTGATACACTACATATATTATATATAACTTTAAATACATACATATTATAAACACCCATGACTGGAGTACAAACATTCATGCTCATCACACAAATGAATGCCCCCAGCGGGACTCGAACCCGCGACCGCTGGTACAATAAGTAGGGTCACTAGAAACTGAGCCAAACTTGTCGTCTAATATACTCCAGGCCATAGTTTATCTGTGTTCTTTTTATCCGAATCCAGCCAGTCGTTTTAACATGAAGTACATAGGTACATACACGCACAAGCAAATAAACTTTCGTATTTATACTTATAATAATAGTGCGATAACTAAACTACTTCACTTAAACAAAACTTATGGCTTCAATAAAAAAACTTCTTTACCTTCAATAAGAGTGTGTTAAGAAATAAATTATGCGACCGGAAATGGTATAGGTATATCTTTGGCTCTAGACCATGGCCGCTGGTCGCGTGTCGAACGATAATAGTCTTGATAGAAAACAGTAGTGTAATAAGCACGCGATTTTTCCGCTAAGTTTACAAAGTAATGGAGTAAATAAATGAAATTTAAGCTACTTTTAAAGAAAACAAGGTGTATTAATCCTACAGTTAACATGTCATTCCAACAGTTTTCCAAAATTATTTAAACCTACATACCTGTCATGATGCAACAAAGCAGGCGCGACTTTCTTTCTTAAGTTGGCGAGTGCTGTGAGTTCTTCACGCTTGCGAGACGGCGGCGGAGCTCCACATAGTGTCAACAATGGCGTCGGTGCCGGCTGAGACGGACGAAGTAATCTGTTGTAAATATATATCGAAGCAACATTAATTTTCTCTATTATTTTCCATTATTTTATCATGACTTATACAGTGGGCGTTATATGGGAAGTGTTGGTTCAAATGAAAGTCGATGCAATCACAGTTGTATTTCAAATTAACAATAATCACTTTGTACATAGTTAAACAGCACTTCACTACACAGCCATATACCACTTCACTATTACCAAGTATAGACAATACGGAACGCAAGACAGTTCCTAGTGGAGCGGTCCTAAGCTTGGCTCGGCTCGAAGGCAAGTGTCCAGCCCTCTTAGCACCCCTCCCTTAGCTAGGCTCCGTCGTAGCACGAAGCTCGCCGAGTGTTGGCGATAATACCGAAGGTGCTGCCATCACTCAGGCGTTGTGCCGCGCTTCGTTTAGCGACCGTATTGATGACCGTCTCCGACACGGCCATCCTGCGTGCACACGCCCTCGTGTGTTAGCAGTTTGTTAGCCTGCAACCAAATAATCAACGAAAATACTTGCTCGACTCGGTCAATCCTGACCAGATAAAACTTAACTTTGAATCTGAATCATCTTTATTCTAACGAAAAGCTTTAACGCTAACACCTTTGTTTTTTTTTAAACTCCAAGTCACTATATACCTCTAATCTAACTAATAACGTCAGTCATCTAGAGCCATTTTTTTTTGTTGACGCTGGGGAAACCCATCATGGGAACCCTACCGGCCGTCAATGGGTGGGGTACTGTGAGACTCCTACTCACTAAAACCCGCAGCGGAACCCGTCGCCGCAGTGCAATGGGGTGTGCAGGATCGCTTGCGCATTAACTACAAAGTCATCTAGAGCCATGTACCAACATCATTCAACACTTCAATCAAACTAATTTTCAAATTTACTAGCACCTTTGTAAACCACTCTTAGGCCACGGCTTTACAAGCCAACCAGCAATCACAATTGCTCCACAATTCAGGTGCATCCACTACGGGATCACCGTATGTATCATCCTCTCGATGACTACACACTATGGTCATAACAGACCCCGACCTCCGCCAGAACTAAACGCACATCACACACCCACGGTCTATTTAGTTTGAGCTTCCTCAAAAGACCGACTTTTACCAGGCTATGACTACGTAATAGTTACTAGTACGGTCGACACTACTACGGCCGTCAGAATGCTTACATCGGTTTCCATCGACTTTATTAAAACATTTGCTTGGCATGATGATCATTATTTACATCAACCTCTATTGGTACATGACCTACTAGAATTTTTGTGTAAAGAATTTATAGCCGTCATGTTAATAGAAAACCTTTCAATATCTCATGTTCTATCATGATACCATTTTGTAACTAATAACTAGGCAAAACATAATATTTCAAAAGATTGCAAGAGAATTACCGTTAATTGTTACAAAACAAATTTTACTGTATGCGGAATATTCTGTTTTGATCAATACTAGAAATTGCAAGGACAAAATCGTTAACCACACAATTTGACTGCTAAATGTTATCTTACTAACGAATATTCAGCACCATGATTATAACAAAAGCAATACAGATTACCTCTATGCCATTGAGCATTCGAAGATGGTTGTACAACACATACATCCACGCGTCGTTCCGTTCGTGTTGCACCCATATTGCTGCCGTCCACTTGACTGGCACTACTTATGCACCGGAGCCTGATGTGACCAGGCTTGCCACATTTGAAGCACACCAGAGACTTCACTGCAGGCTGCAATGCCGTTGCTGTCATCGAAGGTCGTTTCACACTGTCATTTACCTTGCTTCTACACTCTGACCGCTTAAGACTCACTTTTTTTTGCGTTTCAAATGTGAGAATGCGTGCAATCCCTGCTGCAGTCGATCTCGCGAAGCAATTTTCGTAGTAAAGGCCAATCGTTGTAATTTCGAATTAAACTGACATAAGTGAGCAAGGACAGTCGCAAATGATTAGTCAGTGACGTCATCAGGCGATTTGCGTACGTAACGAGTTTCTTTTTTCATTTGGTTTGTCACTGTTAAAATTAATTAGCATACCAGCCAATGTCTCGGTGGAAATAAATCTCGCCTTGAAAATCACTTTGAACTCTTCCTATGTTATTCTCTGGTATACAAATTGTGACAGCCACGTCAACCCTTATCCTTTTAATTCCTTACTGACTGTTAAAATAAGCTAGCCGCCGTATGGAGGGTATTCGGCAAAACACAAATCTACAGTCGCAAATCAAGATCTTGCGTCCGTATCCATATTGTCAGGGTCAAACTCCTGTAACCTGACGTTCTTCTTCATCCGAGGCATTTGCATGGCCTCGATAAGAGATCATATACTGACATTTTGTTGTTCAAACATAGCACGTCATTGTTCACTCAGAGTAAGTTCTTTTTGCAATTGAACCAACACTGATCCCACTTCTGATATCGAAGCAACATTAATTTTCTCTATTATTTTCCATTATTTTATCATGACTTATACAGTGGGCGTTATATGGGAAGTGTTGGTTCAAATGAAAGTCGATGCAATCACAGTTGTATTTCAAATTAACAATAATCACTTTGTACATAGTTAAACAGCACTTCACTACACAGCCATATACCACTTCACTATTACCAAGTATAGACAATACGGAACGCAAGACAGTTCCTAGTGGAGCGGTCCTAAGCTTGGCTCGGCTCGAAGGCAAGTGTCCAGCCCTCTTAGCACCCCTCCCTTAGCTAGGCTCCGTCGTAGCACGAAGCTCGCCGAGTGTTGGCGATAATACCGAAGGTGCTGCCATCACTCAGGCGTTGTGCCGCGCTTCGTTTAGCGACCGTATTGATGACCGTCTCCGACATATAATACGTTAGTCGAACTACTGTTATAATTGCAAAAGTTTGTATGTATGCATGGGTATGTGTGGTGTGTATATGTGTGTATGTTTGTTACTTCTACGATACGATATGAGTGTATGGATGAAAGTAGGTACGCAGATCAAGAGTAGTAGTATATAGGCTATTGCTAGGCACCTAGGACTAGGGACGCTCCAGAACAAAGCTAGGGTAAATCGTTATTTAATTATCATGTAATACAGGTCATGTGCGCGTGGAATTGTGGAAGAATGCTACCTGCATTCCCTCCCTGAATAGCAATGTTAATTATTTGGCGAAAGACGAGTTAGATCTCTTGTCACCAGAAGAGGCGTAAGATGATATGTTATGTATTTCAGGTAGTTTTTAGAACTTCGATTCCATATAATTTTACTAGTTTTTTTCTAGTAAATAAAAAATATAAATTCTTTAATCTGCACTAATATTATAAAAAGGTAGAGTTTGTATGCAAGGGGCATAGAAACTCTACCTGTAAATACTCTGAAAATTGCGAAATTTTTTATCCGTTTTTTATAAATACTTTTAATAATAGGAAGCTACATTAATGCCAAATGCAATTTATTTTCACCACTATTCAGTATTATATTCTATCGGTAGAGGCTGACATTTTCCTATTATTTACCTATCTACATATATAATATACCTACCTAGAAGGGCATTCAAGATAAAATATGGCTTTTTTGAACTCCTTGACATTTACATTGAAAATGGAAGATGCTGGTTTTATAAAAGAAGCTCTTCTATGTATATACTAAAATTCTGAGAGTCGAATCTGTACATTAAATATTTTTGCAAAATCTTGTTGAAATATCCATTAATTTAAATTTAAAGTTAGCAAATGTAATTTAAAACGAGAAATTAAATACTAAAAGAACCACCTAGTTAGTCTTTTTGTTTTGAATCCTATAACCCTTACTATCCCTAGTGCTTTGTTTTAATTTTAAACTCAATGATACATAGGTACTAATAAAAAACTTTTGCAGATGAATCAAAAATACTTTTTACTGTAAATAAGTAAGTCTACTTCTCGTTACATACTCGTACTTACTATACTCTCGTTACATTCGATTAAATGTTTTTTTTTATTTATTTTTAACATTTTATTTTAAAACGCTATTTTTATATTTTAAATTTAAAGTACACGTCGAAATGTTTTTTGGCTGTACGGAAACCTTAAAACCCCATAGCCTACGGAAATGGATAATTTTACATTCCCACTATAGAAAATCCCTCGCATTTGCTATCGTTCCGTCCTTTTTCGGAAAAGTTCTCCAATTGCATAATTTCCTGTGTCATGTCACATGTCACTCCTATGTGTATGTTCCCATCCCATTGAGACAGGTAAAAGTGTGCTTATACATACTCGTATATACATTTCTCTTTATAAAATGTTTTGACTAATGAAATGCATGCTAATTTTTTATTTTGTAATCAAGTATCGTTTATATGAGAAAATCCTAGAAACTAAACTATGGCCGAGAAAGACACACGTTCGGAAAATTCATTACTATATTTATAATATATCTAGTGTATATCTTATATCTTGTAATATTTTAATATTAGCTTGAGCTAGTGGGAAAAATATATTTTAAAATCTCTATTAAAATTTATTTTATCGATAGCGTCAGAGATAGTAGAGAATCAGTATTTTATTCAAATATAAAATTATTTGTTTTTTACTCAATAATTATGTTCTTGTTCAACTAAAGCTGAAATAATAAAGTCAACGATGTGCATCATTATGAACTCGTTATATATCATTATACTGAAATGGGATACAAATGTGTTGCGAACATGTTAAGAGGTAATAAAGGCAATTAGCAAGTGGTTGAGCTTTTTATGCTTAGTTCATTAAAGCTAATAATTTACGATCATTTTATTTCAGAACTCGTATTAATGCTAAAGCTCTTTTGTCATCAAAAGTTATGATATATAAGACTTAATGTTAAGAAAACTAAAACATAAATTGTATGAAATACGAAGTCTTTGGGAGGGATGATATTTTATATATTTTTTTATTATTTATATTTATGAACAAATGTCTCATAAATATTTATTTAAATAACTCACTTGTCACAGCAACAACAAAGAATAACAACAGATATCTTTGCAACGACAAAGAATAACAACGTTATGATCTGTACGCGTATTAAAATATCTTTATTTACTATACGAGTATTATTATGAATAAACCAACAAACAATGCTAGCTCTATCATTCAGAAAATATGAAAATTGCAATACTGAAACATTGATTGAAAAACGACGTACCGTTTAGAAGCCGGTGTGCGCTTTGAGAGTAGCGTATACTCGTAGAGATTAGAACTCGAGGGATGGTTGTTGAAGACCGGGGCCGGAGGATAATAAGCTTCATCTTCCCTGTAATTGTTATTCACTAACATAGATTTCAATGGTAATAATTCGACATTGTCGTCGGCACGTCGGTCACTGGGTGCCGTCATATCGGATACATCGCGCGTCGCGCTCGGCTGCTTGCAGCCTACTGAAAGATGCGGCCTTGAAAATGCTGCATAGCGCCCGCCGGGATGAAATTAGGAAAACAAAAAAACCTAATTCATTTTTAATGATATGTAATAAACGATTGTTTTTTTTAAATTGATGTGCTATTATTAATTGGCAAAAGTAATATTTATATTATGTTCTTTTAACAAATAATGCAGTTAGATTTTATATTTTGTGAAATTATTAATGTATACCTAAAAAATAAAACACAAAAATTGTGAAAATCTCATTATTAAACATTGTTTTAGTGTATAAGAAAATTATAAAAAAATAGTTTAGCTTAATTAAACAAAACTTAAGGTCTTAAAGCTTATGCTTATAAATGAAAGCTAAATAATTCGTTTGTGGATATCTAGTGGAACACTAAATAGATTAGGTACCAATAATAACCGACCTATCTACATAATCGTCAACCTACACAACCAAGATCTCGTTTAATAATATTGTGATTATAAAATATTAGAGATATCCCCGTTTTCAACCCCTTAAGGGATGATTTCCGGGAAAAAAAATATCCTATGTCCTTCCCAGGGTCTCAAATTATCTTCTTACCAAATTTCATCTAAATCGGTTAAGTAGATCCAGAGATTACCCATTACATCGTCGCCAAATCACAAACTCACAAACTTTACCTCTTTATAATATTAGTCTAAAAGTATAAAAGAAGAATATCCCATCAAAAACATACTGTAAAAAAATTGCAAGTCTCGCAACGCACTTCTTCTACCGCAAAAAGCTATGAGATATAATATAAAACCAAGTCGGTTAATTTATTCATTACCTATCTATGGAAGCATCTATCCGACAACTTTGTCATAAATAGTTACCGAATTAGTTAAGTTACAACATTTTATAGTGACCGTATTAATATTAGATATATTTATTTCTTTAATTAATAGAATGTCTTGGCCATCGCACATGATAATAGAACTTACAAATAACAAAATTTACCTAATATTAGCGTTCTGAGTGCATGATTTATGTTAGTGTATGCATAAATTTGACCCGCTAGTGCTTGCTATGTTCAGTTCATCTCAGCCCAAACACGTCCACAGCTGGACATAGGCCTCCCCAAAAATTTCCACGACAACCATTCTTGTGCCATCCGTATCCAGTGGGCTCCAGCGACTTTGACCAAGTCGTCCGTCCACCTTGGTTATGGTATGTTTAATTAGGACTATTTAAAGTAGTAGACTCTTATGTGATTATGTTTCCGTGCGGGCCATAGTCCACCACGCTGGCCAAGTGCGGGTTGGCGGACTTCACATGTCTTTCGAAAACTTGTTAAGTTCTCTCAGACATGCAGGTTTCCTCACGATGTTTTCCTTCAACATTAAGACAAGTGGTAATCATGTTGGAAATGATTCGCAAATGAAAATATCAGAAGTGCGAGACCCGAGATTTGAACTCGCTTCACTCGGTTTCCTAAGCGAGCGCGTTACCACTGGGCTACCACTGCCTACGTACTGTGTACTACTCAACTTATCTAATGAAAAATAATTTTAAATATCTATTTCAATTTTAAACAAAAAAAGATTAATTCAGAAATACCCCACGTGCTTATGTATTTTTTTTTTTTTCATTTTCGTCCCTCAGTTACAAGGGTGCCATAAATATTTTTTATTTTTGAATGCACATGAGAACATACATATTTTTTATTTGCCGTGGAATTTACACGAGACGCTTCCCTACCTACTAAGCTTCGAAAAAATAGCTATAATAGTCTCCAAATAAAATTTGTGTTCAGACTTCGGACTTCAGAGTCACATACGGACCGTTGAATATGACGAAATTATTAAGGCTCAATTTGCACCTTTTGGCTACGGAACCTTAAATACATAAAATTGAAATACTATGTACATACGTATAATGGATAACTTATACTTATTCAAGTTATCAATAGAACGGATATTGATTTTTATCCATTGATCTATAAATATTTAATTTTTTATCTATTTTAACTTTTTACCTATTTGTGCTACGGAACCTTCAGTGCGCTTCGAATCATACTCTAAGTTCTAACTCAGTATAATTAATATAATAATACTCTTCTGTCCAACTTTTATATATGTAGCAATATACTCTATGGTCCAACTCCTGACTTGTACTTGTCCGATTTTTTAACAAAAGTAGATAAGAAATAAATAAAGGTGCGTACAGACCGGCCAAACGAATCAAAACGTATGACATTAGGCGTTGATTGCCGTTTCTTCGTTAGTCTTATAAAGTACGAAATCATAGACCAGGAACATTGTCGAAATTTTGGTGTTTTCGACTTTCGACAAACGATCGTTCAAACTTGAATCCAGTAAAACCCGAGGATCCAAACGAATAATAAAAATTGAAGCCGGAAAAATCTGGTGTGTACACGCACGAACAAAGCTAGAGTCGCTAGTATTGTATATTATGTATTATTTATAAAATAAAATAGTTGGCCAGCTTTCAGATCAGCGCTATTTATCGTATATTCAGAAAATTACATTTAAATTAGCCACTCCATAGCAAATCTCAAATAAACACACACACCACAACACACACACACCTCGCCATTAATAATATTTGCAATTTCTTACCTACCCTACCCCAGCCTGCAAATTTATGATATTCGCAATGAAAAAAATACTAATCGATAGATTTTTAATAGCTCAATTCAACTACGTAGCCCTTCCAAATTGCTCACCATTAATTATAAAATTAAAAATCAATAAAGTCCTTGAAAAAAAATTCATTTATCCGTATATTCAAATTTCTATATCTTTTGATATATACAATATTTTAAATTGCTCAAAGTTCTAAAATACTGCTCAAGTTGCATTTGTAATTGCTCAAGTAGAGTTCTCACCAGCTCCACTTTCCTTAATTATTAAATAAATATAAATAGTTTGAATAAATTTAACGTAACGGAATCACGTAATGTGAACAATTCATAAATTCAATAAATTTAAAGAAATCCACCGAGAAACAGAATTAAGACGTTGAATTGGAACGATTGTCCAAGCCCGCCGAGGCCGACCGACAATGCGCGGTGCGCATGCGCACGCTCACTTAACCTACGTTACATTTATTACAACTATACTTTTAATTATTTAATAATCAGCGAAAGTGGAGCTGGTAAAAACTCTACTTGAGCAATTACAAATGCAACTTGAGCAGTGTTTTAGAACTTTGAGCAATTTGAAATATTGTATACATCAAAAGATATAGGAGTTTGAATATACAGATAAATTAATTTTTTTTCAAAGACTTTATTGATTTTTAATTAAATAATTAAAGGTGAGCAATTTGAAAGGGCTACCTAGTTAAATTGAGCTATTGAAAATCTATCGTTTAGTATTTTTTTCATTGCAAATATCATAAATTTGCAGGCTGGGGTAGGGTAGGTCAATTTCTTTCCAGTAATCGCGTCGTATATAATCTGTGTTATTTATTTATTTTATTTTAGCTGTGGCCTGTGGTCTTTAATTATTATTCGTATTTTTAGTTTACTAGTGTTTTTCATTTTTCGATGATTTTACCGGCCCTTGAGCTGTTTGTTAATATTTTTAATGGATCTCACACCCAATTTCTAGTATCTATTCCAGGAGTTTTGATTGCAGTACATAATAATGTTGAATAATTAAAATTTGGACTTAATAAAAACTGTATATAATTTATAAATATAAAAAAATATAACAATTTCAAACACTGTAAGTAGATTTTATTGGATAATAAATGTAAAACTTATTTCTGTATCGTATACATCTTATACTTTTCCATAATATTCGTTGTTGCTTTATTCCTTTATTCCTGCCATTCTACATAAATTATAAATAGTATTTAAAAAAACATGACGCAATGAATGAGTCATAATTTATTGTTTTTTTTGTGTTTAAATGTATCACTTATTTCAAATATGTAGTTGAAATGTTATTTATATCACAGATTAAAATTTATATTTGCTTAGCTAGATAAATTAAATCAAAATTAACTTCATTCAACTACACTTTTCTCAACACTTAAGAATTGCGATTTTCTTAAAACTTGATTATTATTATTATTATTAATGAAATTAAGTTGTTAATTATTATAGTAAATTCATGGCAAAAATTCACATTAATTCCCTGTTTTTTTGACATACAGAAGAGTTAAATATGGATTTGAAGACATTTCTCATGGATGATGAAAGTGCAATGGAAATTTTGAAAGAGTATCCTTATGAGGCAAGTATTATTTACTTGGGTAGGTATATGAAAAATGATTATTTACAATTGAAAATATACTAAGAATAAAACAAAAAAAGCAATGCTAATTTAATTCCTTATTTCCAGTTTGACCCAAGTATAGTATCTGGATTGAACCAGTGCGAGTCATCTGATGCTAGGAAACTTTGTATATTTGATATTGGTGATAAATTGAAGAAAAGTAATAAATATGACATAGGAGGAACTTACACCAATGGTGAACCTGACTTGTCATTCTATTTCACTACAAGTGTTTTTAACAGTGAAAGGTATATTTTAAATTTATTTGTGTGTCACCGCAACATAGATTCATTTAGAATTAAAATAAGTGATGTACATTCCATAACAAATAAAATTAAAGAAAACGGACAGAAACCAAACTCATCTTTAGTTTATCCTGGTACATTGAAATCAAAACTATATACATCATCAGAAATAGATGAAAGTCACTACATCAGGTCTTTCCAATTCTCAAAAACAGACCTTAATGATGTACATACTCTTTACGTACCAATTGAAATTGAATTTAATATAAAGCCTACAATTGAGAAGGAAGTACTGACATGGATAAAAGAAAATCATAACTTTAAAATATTTAATGTAATGGAAAATACTGATTTTACTTTAATATCCTCAAGTGGAAAAAAATATGATACACATAAGTTACTTTTAGCTATGCGTAGCTCTGTTTTGAGAGATAAAATAAGAAATTCACAGACAAATCTCATGACTTTGAAAATTGACGATGACGAAATGAGTCTATTACTTGAGTTTTTATATACAGATACTATATGTGATATAGATAATAAAGATTGGGATCAAATTTTGAAATTAATCGAGATGTTCCATATTGATGGCCTTGTCAAGCTTATCCAGGTGCCTATGCGTGAAAGGATTTGTGTAGACAATGCCATCCACATTGCAACACTGTCTGAAAAGTACAAATTATACGATATACAAAGAAATGTTACTGACTTCATTATGAAGCACCCTGAAGTACTTGAAACTGAAAGCTGGAATAATTTAAATGATGTTGTAATAACTAAGAAATTACTGAAAGGAATATGTAAAAATTCAAAATAAATATTAAAGTGTAAGAGAATTAAATCGGGCTATTAATACGAACATGATTATACACTTATTTTTGAAATAAATGGGTTTTTTAATGTAAATAATACTTAATTTTTATTATTGAGTAAATATTAATATTTGTTTTTTCCTTCTTCAATAGATAGCATGACAAATTATAAAATATTTGTACCACTTTTGAATAAGCAGCCTGATTTATACTTTACAATTGTAAAAATGTTATTGTTATGTCTTTTATATGTAAAAGCGAGAAATCCACCTAATTTAACAATTATTACCACTATTTTTAAGATGTGACAGATATTTCTATCTATACATATAATTTAAAAATAAAATTAAAAATTTTAAGTAATCTCTGACACAAAAAAAATCTCTAAATCTCTAAAATCTCTAAAAAGTAAGAAAAATAATTTTCTGTCTTGGTCTTTTAACTTCACTAAAAGTACTCAATTACCTATTAGTATTTAGATGATGACCTTTTCATATATGTTATATGGAAGTTGTTACTGTTATGTTGACAGATTAAAACATTTAGCTTCAGGTTTTTATATGTATATTTAAAATAGATAAATTTTATTGTACCCTGTGTTATTAAAGTGATTTTTCTATTTTTTCTGTTTATTATATTTTTTAAGTTTTTATATGAAATATTATTTATGTTTTTATACTTTAGCTGTATTGTTTACATATTATGAAGTATATTGTTGGTAGTTACGACTGTCTCGGTGGTCTTGTGGCTAGCTTCGGCTGCAGATACGGAGGTCCTGAGTTCGAGAACCAAGTTTGACGAAATTATTTGGTAGTAATTATTCAGTTATTCTTTTATGAAATTCTCAATAACGATCCAGAGTTGGGGAATTGGCGGTGTTTTCCCCCTATGCCTTGGGGAGAACGTAAAGATAATGTCCACGCTAGTGCACTTTCATGTTCATCTTGCGTTGCATGCGCTATCCCTATTTAAAAACTCCAATAGGATCTCATCAAAAGCGACAAAAGCCACATAGAAAACCAATAAATATTTATTATATAGCACATGCAACGCAAGATAAACATGAAAGTGTACTGGTGATTGGTGTGGACATAGTAGTTCAGTCAAATAAGGTCTGATAACAAGTTTTCATAAAAATGTGTAGAGCTTAAAAATTAAAATTTTACCTAGAAAAGGTTTCATGACTTTTTTTCTCCGGTCAAAATTAACCGAGTGAGGGACGTTATAAGTTTAAGGTGAACTAAAATTTTAAAAAATCGTAGGTAAGGTAGTAAAAAAATAAGCGACTTTTTTTAATTGCTTAAAAAAACTAATCTTTAATGGGGAGATTTCTCGCAAGGAGGGCGCCACACGTATTGCCTATTAACATTCAGTCTGAGGTTAAGAAATTTATTGTGACATCTCTTTTATACCTAGTTTTTTTGCTCCTTTTGTGTTCGCATCTTACCCGTGCAATGTATTGCACCTGGAAGTTAGACCAGTTGAAGGAATAATTGAGAAGGAGAGGTGCATCGTGTGGTGGTCCTGACTAACTGCTGGATCAACACACAGCATAACGGTTTTTGCTGTGTGTTGATTATGTGGTCGTAGAAATTTAAAATTTTTAGGAATTATTGTCAAAAATCATAAATTAAAATAAAATAAAGTGAAAAATATAAAATCCTGAGTGTCGCGGTGTGGCGTAGTGTCTGAGTGTCGAATGTCAGTGTCTGTGTGTTGGACTGTCGAGGGTCCAGGGTATGAGTGTCGGAGTGGCTGAGTGTCGACTGTCGGAGTGTCTTAGTGTTGGAGTGACTTAGTGAGACTGTGGGCATAGCTACTGAGTGCTGTAATACTTACAGCATACTAGGTTAAGTCTTATGACCAGCACACACTAATCCGAACATCCATCAAATTTCATCTACTTCTGTTCGTGTGTTCGCTATACGGACTTAAATTTTGGTCCACTCTGTATTTTTGCTGCGAACTGAATATAAATATTTATTCATAACGGTATTCAGCTCCCTTAGACTCCATCTATTTTATAAAACTTGTTATCACCTATCTATTAATCTTGTCTGTAGCCACCGCTACTTGCGTGTGTAGTACAACGGAATTGTTTTTATCCTTGAAAAATTTGATCCAATGACGGACATAATCTCATCGTCTATGAGCACCTTTAACATTTTGTCTTTACAGAAAAATGATTCTAAGTTAGCCCGGGTGAGAACGAAGTTATAAGAATATTTGACAATTATTCTATTTTACAGATAACTAAAGTAGAAAAAATTATGTAAATGTTACTAAATGCTACGTAACTTCCTAAAATAGAATTACTTTTGTAAATTATTTAACCACTTGAACCCCGCGCTTTTTGACATGAGACACCCCTTAAACCACCGAGCCCGCGCGTCATTTTTCCTCGATACAACCATTACAAAAAAAAAACACTCATAATTCAAATTATAGAGCACCAATTTAAAATGTTTTTGCTGCTTTAGGGTTTTTAAATAATCTGAGCATTTATAATAATATATAAAATACACTTTCAACTATTGATAAATTATAAATAAGCTAACAATATGTGAGTGCTAGCTGAATATTTACTAGTTGTTGTATTATATTGATTTCTGACAATACCACGGTCTATATTTACACTAAATTTGAAACACTATTTTATAAAAAAACATGTAATTGCACAAAACCATCCTTTGATTTATTTACATTAGTTGTTAGTTACAATCAAATTAAAAACTTTATAGCACTCGCGGCTCGTTCGTTGTATTTGCGCAGCTCATCGCGCAATTTTCAAAACAAACATCTGAGTTATAGTGTGTGGATTCTTCATAAAAATAATACTAAAATACAGAAGTCCTTACTTTAAAAACATGCACCAATAAATCTTGAAAATAAGTCACTGTAATTAAAATTCGAATGGATTTCTTATAAGAGAGAAAAATTGAGGTTATTTTATACAGACGCTCGTGTTGCATTGTAATTAACGTTTCTGTATATAAATTTAGCTTAAATTATAAAAGAACAGGCTAAACATTATCACATATATGAAAACTTAACACTTTTCATTCAAGTAACTAAACATTTAAACCTGTGAAGTTGACTAAAATAATTTACTCTAATAATATTTACTATTTAGATGCGTAGTGATGCACCCATGTACCCCACAACACTAAAAACTATCGATTATTTTTGTGAACTTTTAAAAAAAAATTATATTTGTTTATAACATTAAAAAAGTAAGTATTTAAAAAATCAAATATTCATCAAATATTCATTAAATAAACTGCCATTTTTATAAAAATATGACAAATAGAATTATTATTATAAAAAAATCTAATAAATGCAATAGTTCAAGTTTTGGCACGCAAATTGGCTAGCTCTCGTAGCATGAAAAAATTAATTTATTTATTTTAATACATTATGCAATATATTACGAAAAAAAATAACTGAATATATTCTTTATTCATCTACAATACTCTTTTCATGAGTAGTATAACTTAATTTGTATTTTATTGTATTTCTATGATAAATAGAGACAATTTTTGTACGTAACAAATGCCCGTAACCAAAAATATACCATATCTCAAAAACTACTCAAATATCTTCTTCAAATAATAATTAGCGTTAAAAGTATATAAAAAGAGAAATATATATATCAATTTAAATATTTTTACCGTTTATATGGTGTTATTTTTCACTAGTTTCATGTAGTTTTATATACCCCTATCTTTTATTTTTTAAATAAGAATTTTAGAATAATAATTTTAATAATATAACTCTTATAGTTTTAGTTCCTTCTAGAGTTGAACAATGTAAAAAACACTATAAGTACAATATTTAAAACCTCTCAAATGGTAGACATACTTTCCTAAACTATTATTACTGAGTATTTCCCAGTAGAACAACTCAATAATATACACTACTTCAATAGGTTTTTACACTACTATTAGTCCGACGAGACAGTCAAGGAACGCTTATCTCATTTCAGACGTGGAATAGATATAACTTGTTTTCCCATAGAAACGAGATAATCTCCTATGGTAAAAAGTAGCCTATTTCACCCTCCAGCCCTCTAACTACATTAACACAAAAACCATGACAATCTGGCATTTTATTTCGACGTGAAAGAAGGACAAACAAACAAATTCAACGTCAAATTGTATATCGTAGAAAGAGAGAGTGTCCAATATACAAATGCATTCGAGTAGCTTACATTAATTTTAGAGTTTTGAGCTTAGCAACATTTTGCCATTCATTTTTATTTCTCTTATATATATATATATATATATATATATATATATATATATATATATATATATATAAGATATATATATATATAAGATATATATATATAATATTCTATATATATATATAGAAGAGCGTCTTTGTATTCCTATTTTATTGTCGTATATTATGTTTGACTTTGTATTTAGGCTCTTACATATACCTACCATATTTTATAAAACATGAGTATTTTTTTGCATTTTATTTTCCACTATGTCTAACAAAAAGTAAAAAACTATCTTACTTTTTCAACATATATTTATACTAAAATATCGATAATACCGATAGCACATATCGACATTCGTAATGTCTAACTGGTCTTTGATAAGAGTTCAAATATGTCAAATTTGACAGCTCATAGGTATTATTTGTAAATAAACATAATTTATATTATAAAACTATTGAAATATGCTACAAACAACTGAAAATATGCAGTTATATTAGTTTTTCTTTAGTGATTTACCTTTATCGTGCACCAAACAAGAGATTAATAGTCAAAATTCATGTTATATAATGGCGACATATTTTACGAAATTTATACATGAAAATTTGTTGGACCAAAAAACTAATTTTATAACGTGATTGTATACTTATTAGTATCTCAATAGTGGCAAAGAATACTAACAATGAATACTCATACGTTTACGGCACAAGTTCACTAGTTTAAAGATTTTAAATTACACAAAAACCATAGCAAGTCGACGCTCTTCACTTGAAATTTAAATAATTTTTGACGCGTTTATTTTTAACGTTATCGGCATTTAATAAAAATTAAATTTTTTATATACTTCATAAAACTTCTAAGGTTTGCGTGTATTACCCATTTTACATAAAATACACTGATTTCGTCTTGTATTATGTGATAAAAGTGCAACGGGCGAGGTGGTGCCTATAGGCACCAGCGGGGTTGGACGGTAAAGCCGGAAGTGGTGCTTATAGGCACCAGCGGGGTTCAAGTGGTTAATAACCAAAACATTGAAGAAAATCTACATATTATTTTAACGTATTTTGCAAATAAATGACTACATTATTTAAGGGGTAATTAAAATATAACAATTAATTATTTAATTTTCCATAATTACCATATATATTATTTATATATATATACATAATTATACATAATTACATTAATATATATATTATACATAATTACCATATATATTATTAATATATATTATTTAATTTTCCATAATTACCATGGTAAAAAATCAAAACGCCTGCTTTGTGTTTACAACTTTACATTTTCGTATTCACAATCATAGACAAGACACACCTACACACGCACAACAATTGAAATTTCTCCCTCATCCCGAGGAAGGTATCGTCCCGTCAAGCGTGGCTAATCAAGGCACCAAAAGGTAAGGTTTCTAATCATTTAATCGTCATATAAACTGTAAACTTTTGATGATTTTTGCAAATTTTTCTTGATTTTAATATAACAATTTAATTCATGACTAATTTCCGTTAAAAACTATACTATAAACGTAAAAATACTAGAATGCATTACGTTATAAGACAGACTGTGTTGACTATCAGGCGTTATATTTTTTATGGCCGAAATGATTAATCAGTAAGAACATTTTCTTAATTATTTTAGGAAAATGAGCAGCTCAGAGGAGGTATCATGGATTTCATGGTTCTGTGGTCTGCGAGGGAACGAATTCTTTTGCGAAGTGAGTGTCATATAATTTCTTTAAATTTGTTACATTTTTTAAACATGGCTTTTAATCGTTTTATTATTGATTGTATTTTTTGTTTTAGGTGGATGAAGATTATATAAACGATAAATTTAATTTAACGGGGCTTAATGAGCAAGTGCCTCACTACAGACAGGCTTTAGATATGATATTAGATTTAGAACCTGGTAAGTTCTATATTTATTTTATTTAATAGGTTATGTGTTACGTTAAGCCCTCTAAATATTAAATAAGGTTAATGTATCAAAGAATATATTAAACTATGTACCTATTCTTTTCTAAATCTTGGTATTATACTGATTTAATACACTGATAATTTTATGTTGTCTATGAAACAATGTTTTCCTATTGTGTTTACAATAAGATTATTTATTATTCAAATTCAAACAAATAAATTACTTTCAATATTTTAGGAAACATCACAATAGCAATGTTATGTTAACAATATTTAATTTATTTGTAGATGATGATTTAGATGATAATCCAAATCAGTCCGACTTAGTGGAGCAGGCTTCTGAAATATTATATGGCTTAATACATGCTCGATACATCCTAACAAACCGGTAAGGTTATAATGGTTTTTATATCTTATTTTTGACATTCTATATAAATTAAGTGAGCACTTTCTTCTTAGTGATATTCTTTTTCTAAGAAAATATGGCTTAAAGGAAAGATTTCTATTGCATTAATCTTGTTCTCACATTCCTATATTGTATATGAAATAAATATTTACCAATACCAATGTACTACAGTATAATTGTAATATTATTTACATTATTTTTTTCATATATGTACTTGTTAGTAAAAATGTTACTATAAATTTGATCTCTAATATCTGTTTTAACCATATGACATTATGATTTAATGTTTCATACTATAAATTCCAAAATAAAATAAAATTACAATTTACAATAATTACCTGATATAACCGGATATTTCATAACAGTAAAATTGTTGCTCAGAGAGAAAACTTTTCACTTATTGCCATGTGGGTTAAAGTTTGTTACCTTGATCAAATGTCAACCATCAAAAAGTATTGCCTCAGAGTATGGTTTGAACCAATTTAATTGTTGTCATTGTCCTTTAAATTTTTTTTTTTCAGAGGAATTGGTCAAATGTTAGAAAAATTCCAAGCCGGTGATTTTGGGCACTGTCCACGTGTCTACTGCGAATGTCAATCCATGCTTCCTATTGGTATGACAAAATAAATATTCATTTTTGTATCACTTCCGTAAGTAACTAATAGAAATAAAACTGGACTGAGTTAGTTATAAGTTATGTTTGGATCTTTCTTTAGGCACTAAATATTCTCAGTGGCAGCAATAGTAGAGTTGATAAGTTCTTTGTGTTAAATCCCCACACATGTAAAGCCCTCGAGTCATATTGCATTGCAGTCCTTGGACTATGAACCATGACTATGGAGGATAGAGTGCCCGAGTGCATCTATGCCTCAATTAGTTGTAGGTTGGATAACAGTAACAAACAGTTTAGTCTCTTTGTACTTCCAAAACTCGATTTTTTATGTGGTTTTATTTGTATCAGTAATATTGAAACCCATACAGAATCACTTTATAATAATAATGTGATCTGACACCTCTGTTAAGAACTTTTTCTCCGGAGTATTTCAAGTTAAAGCGAAGTTAAGCTAGATCAATCCAACAATTGCAGCTCAGGCTAGCTCTTATGGTTATTGAATTTGCCTTTTAATTTACTAATAATAAAACCATATTATCTTATGTAATGAAAAAAAGTAATGTGTAATAAAATGTAATTTAATTAACAATTATAATGGTTGACAGGTTTATCCGATGTTCCTGGAGAAGCAATGGTCAAATTGTACTGTCCGCGCTGCATGGACGTATACACTCCAAAATCCTCACGACATCACCACACTGATGGTGCCTTCTTTGGCACAGGCTTCCCCCACATGGTGTTCATGGTGCACCCCGAATATAGAGCTAAACGCCCTGCCTCACAATTTGTGCCTAGGTTTGTTTTTAAAATTTATTATCTTTTCACTCAGTTTCATTTTTTTTTTACCCATAAATAACATGTTGCAAAACAATTTCTATACATAATCCGTACTAATATTATAAATATGAAAGATTTTGTTTGTCTTTCTTTCACATCGAAACGGAGTGACGGATTGGCGTGATTTTTGGTTTGAAGATAGTTGGAGAGCTGGAGAGTGACATAGGCTACTTTTTATTGCAGGAGATGAGCTCACTCCCACGGGAAAATACATTATAATACAATCCAAAAAAATATATATGATCAGAATTTCTTGAAACTTGGTATTATTGCCCTTTAATACAATTAAATAAATCTGTGTTTTAGCATCGAAATTCATCCTATAAGGGTAAAATAGGGGATGAAAGTTTGTATGAAACCTACTTTTTATACAGTTGTTTTTTGCAGTTTACGCGGGTTCGCTAGTAATATTATAAGATAACACATTTTACATGTTTTCTTGCAGGCTGTATGGATTCAAGATCCACCCGCTCGCATACCAGATCCAGCAGCAGGCGTCGGCGAACTTCAAAGCACCGCTCCGGACCCTCTCGTACAACAACGGTAAACGTTAGGACGCCGCCCCGTCCCGCGCCCCCTTTTGATACAGATTCTGCCTGTGCTGCGCGGGCACAAACGACTCCTAACGACTGCGACACGTGGCAATGCATTGCAGTTAGTGTGGACACGACCTTATATGAATATTGGATATTCATAGCATAGATCTGTCCTACATTAGATCAGTACATTGACATTCTTGGTCCACAATATATCCCTACGGAATGTAGTACAACTAAGTAAATACGGTGACTTAATAAATTCTGATACAAGTGTACATGTAGGGCTCATAAATTTGAGAATAGATCATAAATGACAAGGAATTTTAATTAGTGCTATATGTAATTTTAATGTCACTGCATATCACCTTAATTACAGCAAAAGAGTTTTATGGTGCATTGTCATGTGAACAAGCTCTGACGGAGTACTGATGTGTGATAGTGTTGTCAGTACATTTCGCAGATGAAACTTTAGTACCTGGCAAGACAGTGCTTCCGTTATTATTAAGGCTGATTCAATTTCAAATATAAATATACATCCGGTGTGATTACCGTCACTTCATAAATCGTATTAGTGAAATTAAGAAATAAGGCGATTTCTGTTAGATAGCAGATATATATTATAGCAATTAATATTTTTGTAAAATAGTTTGTTACGATATAAATAGATTTTGGTGGTTCTATGAACTGGAATGAAATATCAGCCTTAAATACTTTGAAGTGAATGTTGCCTTGATGAATGTTATATTTAACTACTAACATGGGAGAATCTGTATCAAATATATGAAAGGACTATAAAATTTAGTAGGATAACAATGTTTTATACAATCAAGTGACGTTGTCAGTTTATTCACTCAAAACTTTTACTTGTTACATTCGTCCAACGCATAGAAGTCGTATGAGAAACATTTGATTGTTTAATTATGATTGACCATTACAAACTATTGATTACCTAAGTGACTAAAAAACTATCGGTCAAAGAAATGGTTACTCGTTGAAATTTGCCTAAATGACATGGTATGAAAAAATATCAAGTATTATTTGTTAGTTTACATTTTATTAAGTGCGGTATGAATGATCTGAATATTTAATAATATAATGGTCAATTATAATCAAATGTATGGATCCCATTGTCCATTGCTAACCAGTAGATATCACAAGCTATCGCAGACTATATGCGGTTTATAGACACTGTGTAGTTCACTTATAATTTGCTATACCATCAACTAGATTAGTAAAAGTATGTTGTTCCAAAATCAGTTCTGATGGTGTATTTGTTGTGGCAATGGCGACAGAACCTTATGTCTATATTTATAAAGAAACTGAAATAGGGTCATGTAAGTTTTTATTTTTATATCCAATAAATTATAGGATTTAGGTCGTCTAACATTAGCGCGTTTGTTTCATGAAGATTCCTTTGGTTATTGTATGGATACCAGTAATTATAAATAAATATTATGACAACTTTTGGCCTTTTTCTTGCTTATCCTGCATGTTAACCACTTGTCTTTCCTTTCGCTGAATGCATTGTTAATAATATAATGGATTTTGGCATAAGACCGGGATCATTCTGCCTTCAAAATATTTAACATTTATCTAAGAGAAAAGATCAATATAATTATGAGTAGTTAGAATCAATATGTTACAGTAGAATGCTAATTTTTCATCTTAATATTATATGTAAATAAACATGCTCATATAGAAAGTATAGATGTCAGAATTTCATCAATGTTATTAACTTATAATATTTGTTGATTAAAAATTGAAAACTAGTCTCTAATTTCTAACAAGAGGTGATCATTTGATCTTGTTTGTTTGATAATATAATTTTTAGTTCATATTTTTAATCAAGCTTGTTTTTTTTTAATTTCACATACTTTTACATTTAATTGCAAATTTTAAATGATTAAGATTATAAAAATGTATACTATTACATCTTAAAAAAGATCTAAAACAAAAATGTTGATTTGTTGCTTATTAAGATTTCATAATTAATTTGCATTAACTACCTTTTAACATTCATTAATATGCATCTAAAGAATTAACTTTAAACTAAAGAATGTTTGCAAAGGGCCATGTAAGTCTTTAACAAAAGATATATTTGAAAATTGTGCAAACAATAATCAAAGAAAATAAAATATGATAAAATAATATTTTTATTACATATAAAAAATAACATAGGACAAATACATTTTCATTTATTTTAATATCAGACTTATTTGCTACAGAGACGAAGACACCAAGTAACATTCCAAAATGATTAAGCCCATCGAAGTGCTGCATTCCCCCATGCTGACGCAAGGAGAGGACAGTGGCGCTTGACATCCAAATTCAAACATTATTTATTCATCAATTACTATTTAATTAAATAGTTGTGTTTTAAATTCAATAAAGTTTATTTTTATGTTTTCTGTACTCAATTTTTTTTTTAATTTACTGCATTTAAAGACGCTTATAAATATTAAAAAACAAAAGATTTTTATATTAACAAAAGTAATGAAATGTATATAAACAAGCAATAGCATTAAAAGCTAGAACAGAGAAATGTACAGAGCTCTTTAACTAATTTGATATTATCGAGTTCCTCAAACATACTATTTTGAAGTTTAACTTTGTAATTTTTTATGTACTTAAGAGCAGCTAATTTTAATTCATCACAATTATATAAATCTGCTATTGCAAGTATTTCAAAAACATTTTCACTATTCAGTTGACACATGAGCCCATGTTTACATATTTCTGTCAAACCTTTTAAATCATACTTATCTCCTAACATCATTAGGTTAATAAAGTTACAGTTTTCCAGATGTTCTATGGTACCCGTGTAAATGAAATGTATTATGTGTTTTAGATCCTCACTCTCTACATCTACCATTTTCATACACCTATTTTGACTTTCAGCTGTATTTTCTTTAAGCATTGCTTTAAACACTTCACTATTAGCACTCAAAATGATTTCATGAACATTGAATTTTACTCCATCGGCAGATTCTATAACAAAATCAGAGCACACAGGATCATTTAAAAGAGCTTTGAAATCTTGTTTTTCTAATACTTCATTCTTTGCATCGCTACTTAATTGATCATTGTTCCTTAAAGTTACAGATATATAACATTTTAAATCTTTTAATAGCTCCACATCTGCTTCAGAAAAGCTATATGTTATGATATAGTTGCATGTAAGAGCTGGGGCATCATCAAATTCATAGGTTTTCTGCATTGAAGTTAAAAATGCTGCATATTGTTTCTTTTTTAATAATATGTTGTTCTTACAGGCTACTGATAAGTTTAGTTGACCTTGTAATCGGTTTACAACAAATAGGTGAACTAAAAATATTTTACCAATTATTTCAGTTCTACAATTAAACCATAAATCTGCAACGTCTTCTATATATGAACCACCAATATCATAAAAATTCGGCCTGAAACATTTCTCATACAACTTTTCAATTAAAAGCCATTTTACTTCGCGAGTTTGACATCGGCGATGTCCAAATATCACCTCGTTATCCTGAAATTTTAATTTTAAAGGTATTAGTCATACTTATTTAAAGTTTTCAAAATATCTAAAATTGTTGTTTACACTTACCAGCATTTTCAAATCTTTATTCATTTTATATTATCCAACTTCCTGTACAACGAAAAATTATATGTCAAATGAAAAACGAATAATAGAATTCACAAAGAAATAAGAATTATAGCATAAATTTGTTATTACTTTTTATAAGTATTATTTATCAAATTATGGAAACATCAAACACCCATTACTCATAGTGGCCAGAAGTTTTATTTGTCATCCATGGCCAGAAGGTAAATAGTAAATACCATGGATGACAAAAAAAAAGTAAATACTAAATAGCATAGAGTATATTTCTATTTGGCATTTGCTTTTGATACATATAAAAAGTAAATAGCCATTATGTATCTAAAATTATGAATCTATGACTTACGAATATGAGTAATAAAAACAGGGCAGCTAGAAAACAGTCATTGATTTACCCGACCAATAATGAATAAACCTCAAAATACCCTGTTTTCCTACCGGTGCGGCGCCAACCATGAGCAGAATACACGAAAATAGTTTTTTTTAAGTAATTTATTCATGTTTTATACAGAATAAAATAAAGTACTAATGTTAGAAAAAGAAGTCATTGTAATCAGTTCTCAATTAAAAGCATTAAATTATCAAATCAAACATAAGAAAAAGCTTAAACTATCAAATTAATCAGCTAAACTAAAATCACTGCTTTTACCTCGCTCAATGCAAATACCCATCCAAATTACCTGCCATCAAAAATCGTCTAAAATTACCCTCTTTTCGGGTAATTTACCCGCCAATTGGCAGCGCTGATTTTAATAGGCAATAGCCAATAGAATAGGAAGGAAACACAGAAAATATATGTAATGTCTGTGGAAGGCAAGGACTAGATTAGATAGAGTGTATTCAATTTTTAGCCAAAGTGGCAAATGAAGATTACTTTAATATGGAATGGGGAAGATTTCTTGCAAGAAGGACTCTACACATTATGATATATTTACATTCAGTCTGAGGTAAAGCAATTTATTATGATATCTCTTTTGGTACCTGGTTTTTGTGATTTCTCCAATTTTGGTCGTCTTATTGCTTTAGTCCAAAATGTCTTTAGTTTTTGTCTTTTGCATTCATTTTCTTTGCATCCTGGCACTGCTCAATTTGTCATTATAATAAAATTATAAATAATATTATGAAAAAAAATCCATCCACGTTATAGAGCTTTACAATAAATTGAGGATCATAGTGATCACGACACCGGGTGGGAGAAAAATGCAACATTTTTCTTACTGAACTGTGTTTTACTAGTCATCTATGGTTGTAATATCTGTCTGCTCTATGCGGTGTGCATTGTTGACTTTTGTTTATTTCATTCATTTTAACTTGACACTTGACAACTCATAATGTCAGATAAATAGGAAATTTATTTGACAATAAAATTTTATTTCTCTGCATGGGTATCATTTATGTTTGGAGTTTTATTTTTTAATTTTATTATTATTCATTATTCTGTTCTATTTTTACTTATGCTATGATAAATTCTGAGGCTATTAGCCTCTTTAAATATGGTACTGAACGCTGCTGTACAAATGTTAAGGTTGGTTGAAACTTTGAAAATATCATTGGCATTTTAATAGTATTTCAAGTTAACCAATTAAATACAAGCTTAGATTCATTTTATTTCATTTTTTATTAGAAAATTGATACTTTGCTTACAATGTATTATTAAAACAATATATATTTTGTTCCTAGAAAGATGTTTTTTTTTTAATTTTGTATAAAACAGTTTAAATATAATTATTATTTTTCTTCAATAAAATCTTTCAGGGAAGCGGAGGAGTTAAAGCAAAAAATATTAAAATTTAACAATGGAACTTCAATGCTTCAGGATAAGAGCCTTTGGTCAACACAACAACAATTACAAAAGGTAATGTGTTATAATGATTTATGATAATGAAAAGCAATAAACTTATATCTTTTTATCATATAATAGGTGATAATATTATAACAGTATCACAATCTATATAAACAAATGTTAATCAATTTTTAAAAAAACTAATAAAGTTTCTCAAATTATTGTTCTTACCAAATTTTTTTAATAATATACTGGCATTGACTTAGCTTTCCTAAAATTTTGAAAATAGGACTTTTTTACACTCAGGTATATCAAAAAGTTTTGGTGCTAGATTTAGACTATGCGCTGGAAAAGAAAGTGGAACAAGACCTTTGGAATGTAGGATTCAAGCAACAGATTGAGGCATTGCAGGCAATATCCAAAGATAGAAAGGTATAATGAAAATTATTTTACTTATAATAAAAACAACATAGTGAAAATATATTATATTCATATAGGCTAACTTTTTATTGTTATTTGTATGATCATAATAATATACCTATTGTGTAATGTTTTAATAATGTGTCAATTCTTTAAACAGAATCCACTTAAGAGTGAGGCTCAAGCAATGCTATCATGGGTTTTGCAAGCAGCTGTGGGATTTTATCTTTGTCTTCTACATCAAATCTGTACTTCTTTCAAACTAGACTTACCATTTAGGTAAGACAATTTCTTAAGTTTCCATTTTATATAACTTTTTAAATATTCACATTCCATAATCATATAAGAATACACTTTCATAATCATATAAGACTACAAAACTTAAACAAATGAATTTGTAAATAGCTATATACCTTATTCCCGATGTTTTGACCACGTCTGGTGCATTAATTCATGCATTTAAGTACCATAGTGTTACTATTTATTTTTTTCATTCTTCAGAATACATTTTGTATTCTTCAAAACAAGGTAAAAAATTTATTAAATCCTTTTCACGATGTCAGTTTTTTATCAATATATGCTATAAAAATTTTTGATCAGAGTAAATATTTTAAAAATGTAAATAAATATTAATAAATAAAATAAATAAAATAAAATAGCCTTTATTACAGGAGTCAGAGTTACAGAGTTATTCAGATAAAGTTGTTTTAGGGTTTACAAAATCTCTGATTTCTGTGTGCCTTTTGGCAAAGGCCTCCTCCATCTGTCTCCATTGGACTCTATCTAGCGCCACTTGTGTCCACAGTGGCCCTAGAGTTTGGCAGATTTCATCCTCCCATCTCCTTATCTGGCGCCCTCTTTTGCGTTTACCGTCTCTGGGGTACCAGACCGTTACGCGTTTGCTCCACTTCTCCAGGCTACTTCTTAGTAGGTGCCCAGTCCACCTCCATTTTAATTGGTCAACTCGCGTGAGTATGTTGGTAACTTTTGTTTTAGATCTGATATCATCGTTGCGGATCTTGTCTTTTAATTTCACTCCCAACATACTCCGCTCCATTGCACGCTGACACTTTGTAAGTTTTTCCCTATGGGACTTTGTTAGCGACCAGGTCTCGCATCCGTAGGTCAAGCATGGTAAGATACATATGTCAAAGGTCTTCCTTTTAAGATGGATTCCCAGCACTTTGCTCTTCATTACTTCCTTCAAAGACCAATATTTCTTCCAACCATATGCAATCCTCTTGTTGATCTCCTTAGTCATTTGGTCGCTTGGAGAAATTATTTGTCCTAAATAAACATATTCGGTAACATAATCGAAAAGATCACCATTGATTGTTATGTCTACATGTTTTGAGTTGGTCATTATTTTAGTTTTGTTCTTGTTCATTTCTAGCCCTACTTCCTTGCTTTTCGCAGCCAGATCTTTGATCATAAGTTCTAGTTTCTTGGGATTCTCTTCGAACAAAACAATATCATCAGCGAATCGCAGGTGGTTAAGACGACAGCCGTTTATATTTAGACCTAAACCAGCCCAGTCTATACTCCTAAATATACTTTCTAAAACAGCTGAGAAGAGCTTTGGGGATAGTGGGTCCCCTTGTCTAACTCCTCTGTTAATAGGGAATGGGTGACCAGTTTCTTCCAGTTTTATGCTACTTTTACTTATACTATAGATGTTTTTAATTATATTTATATAGACTTCGTTAACACCCTGCTGTCTTAAGCTTGACCATATGTGGTTGTGGTTGAGCGTATCAAATGCCTTAGAGTAATCAATGAAAGCCACGTATAGGGGTTTCTGGTATTCATTGTATTTCTGGATGATCTGTTTCACAGTATGGATATGGTCAATAGTGCTGAAATTCTTTCTAAACCCTGCTTGCTCCACCGGTTGATTCTCGTCCAGCGTTTTTGATATTCTCTCCTGTAAGACTTTGGCAAACACCTTATATATATTAGACATTAGGCTTATAGGCCGGTAGTTACCCATCTCATCTTTAGCGCCTTTCTTGTGTATAAGGATTATGTGGGATTCGCCCCATTGATTTGGAATGAGCTTAGTGCGCAGGATGTCGTTGAATACCACTGCTAGTATTGGGCTTAATTCCTCAATTGATCCTCTCATTAGCTCATTCGGGATTTTATCAGGTCCCGGTGCTTTTTCTAGTTTTTGGGAATTTATGGCCTTCTCGACCTCTCCTGCAAGTATAGATGGTATTGGGTCTTCTTTGAGTTGAGGATCAGATTTGTCTTGCTGATTTACGTCGTTAGCATGGTCTTTGGAGTACAATGTGCGGAAATAGTCTGTCGCTAATCTCTGTATATCTTTTCGTTTAGTAATGCTAGTTTGATTCTTTTTCATTTTGGGTATCCATTCTTTCCTTTTCTCTTTTAACTCTTTTAGTGCTTTCTTCATGCCTCCTGTTTTCACTATGTGTTTTTCTAAAGTTTGAAGTCTTCTTGTTTTTCTATCTTTTTTCATACTTTCCCTAATTATTTTACTAAGCGCAGAGATTTTGTTTACGTTGTCTTTTTCCGAAAACAACTTCTTTCTTTCTTCTAGGAGATTTAAGGTTTTTTCGCTGTGTTTTGGTTTTCTTGTGTTTGTTATGCTGGTTTTTGTTAATTTAGTGGGTTTGTTTTCTACTAATATTAATAAAAGCTCCTGATAATTTTGCAGACGTCGTGCTTCACTACTTGGTGCTGTAGAAGGATGGGACGCCAGCCCACCAGTGGGTGTGGGTGTGGTGTCCGCAGGTGTGGGCGCCGCTCGCTATGCGTGCCAACACTGCCTCGTGCATTTAGGTGACTTGGCCCGGTATAGGCAACAATTGAGAGTGGCACATACCTTCTACAGGCATGCTTTGGCAGTGTCTGTGCACTCCGGACAACCATACAATCAGGTATTTTACATATTTATTTGATGTGAATATAATTCACTTATATATATTAGATAGGCAAAAGTTTAAATACCTTCAAATGCCTTTACTGACAAACAATTGATGTACAAAATAGTATTTAATATAGTAAAAATTATTAGTAGTATATAACTATATAACAATATTTTTATTTTATTTATTAAGGCTAATTTGTTGTTGAAAATGTATTAATATTGTTATAGTTCTATTAACCCATGTTTCTCTTGACAGTTCGTCGCAGGACTGAGCCTTTTCATTTAAAACTAGTGTTTTGAAATAAATGCTGGTGCAGTTGTTGCGATACTACTAAAGCAAATGCAATGCAGTTTATAACTAGCATTTAGCGCGGCTCCGTCTGCGTTTATAAGACTACAAACCTTTCCGTTAATTCAATTACTACAAAACTTCACAAGTTCCCGCTGGACTAATCGTCAGATTGCTTGAAAATTTCATCAAAATCGCTCCATCTTTCTTGGTGTCCATAGGAAACATACTTTACACATCGATTTTTATATACAGTACCTGTGCTACCGAGCTCCGCTCGGGAGTTTTTGGCCTAAAGTACAATTTTCTTTTTTTTTTTATACTAACAACTTGGATGAATATTAAAAAAAAACAAAAGTAAAAACTTTGTATGCGACCGAGGTTCGAATCTGGACACCTGTGATTGTTGATCTTGCACCTTGCCCGCTTAACCACGATGCTTATGCCCGAGCGTGCAAATTACCGGCCATATTTTGCGTAGAATAATGCAAAAGAAAACTGCATGAAAACACGAAAACACGCGTTTTTTCAGACATAAAACTAATCTAGATCGATTTATCGCCCCCGTAACCACCTGTATTCTAAATTTCATGAAAATCGTTGGAGCCGTTTTCGAGATTCAGATTATATATTTACAAGAATTGTATAAGCAATAAACGTTGTGTTACCTGTTAGCTGGCGCTGGTGTCGTGGCGGCGCGGGCGGCGGCTGGCGGCGGTGTACTGGCACGTGCGCTCGCTGCTGGTGCGCGCGCCCTTCCCGCCCGCGCCCGCCAACCTCGCGCGCACGCTCGCCGCCGCCGCCAGGTCGGTCACCTCACACCTGCTTATTTTGTCCATATGTTAAGTATTAGGAACGCAAACAATTTTATTCTTATACTGGTACATATATGTATATATTCAAATAATAATGTCTTCCCGACTTCTTTTGGCCACGACGGCAAATCTTATTGAAACTAGCACTCTGCGAAGGAGATATTACGAGTATAATGCAGCGCGTGTGCGCGCAGACACTGTCTATTCCTGTCATTTTCATGCTCCGGTGGGACGACACGAGACACGGCTTAACGTGCTCTGCCTCGGCACGGGGGTGAAACACCGCCAATTTCCCAACTCCGGGCTGTTACTGAGGTTTACTAAACAGATGATTCATTTTACAGATGTTGTTATGATGTAAATACTATATTCCCAAAAGGTTTTCAGTAAATAAGAAATGATCCTGTATATAGTAATTGATGATATTTTACAGTCGTGATGTGAAAGAAGCCCCGCCACTCCCAGTGCTTCCGGGCCTCGCAGCGCCCTCGCAGACGACAACCAACGTTCCGGAGAGATTAGACTCGCACACGTACGTCAATGAGCTGGTGCGGGCCGTGCATTACTTGCACAGTGTTGAACAGTATGTATATTGTATACAGACTACAGTAAATGTTATTTAAATAATTTTTCTTTTCTTTTGTATAAATTGAAATTGTAATTTAGCTCGAAATTTGGGTATTTGAAGAAATCTTACATTCTTTAGAATATTTTTGACTTTTTTAGATTAACGCGAATAATTGATATTTTAAATAAATTCACGGGAGCATACGTAACGTTGGGAACCAAAAATCTAAATAAATCCAGCAAAAAAAAGAAATTCGAAAAGATAGTTTTATTTAATGTTTTTATTTATATTTTAAACCATGCATCGATTAACTGGTTTTTTTGTTACGAGTCTATATGATATACATAATTAATAATTCTAATTATTTTGTCCCAGGCTGGACACAGCAGAGGAGTTAGTAAATACTCTCAGTATATCGCTGTCGCCACTCATAGCTACCGATAGTTTCGATTCGATGACTCTTATAAAGGTAAGAAACAAAAAAAGGTTTATTTTATGTCTGTTACAATTAATAATATTTAAAAAGGTTTTGTAGATGATATTGCTGCATTTAATCAAGTAAGTATAACATACGCTCAGTTGTTTAATCAATGAATTTTAATTTATTCAGCCCTTCTTAACATCCCACTGCTGGGCACGGGCCTCCCTTCAATACGAGGGGGATCAGGCCATAGTCCACCACGCTGGACAAGTGCGGGTTGGCGGACTTCACATGTCTTTCGAAAACTTGTTAGGTTATCTTATACATGCAGGTTTCCTCACAATGTTTTCCTTCATCATAAGGCAAGTGGTAATCATGTTGGAAATGATTCGCACATGAAAATATCAGAAGTGCGAGACTCGGGATTTGAACCCGCTTCACTCTGTTACCCAAGCGAGCGCGATCACCACTGGGCTACCACTGCCTAATCTATAATGATCTACATAATATCTATAATGGGAAAAATGTGTGACGTGTGCCAGATGACGTGCGTGCTGATCTGGCTGGCGCACTCGGCGACGGAGGAGTTCACGTTGGAGCCCGAGGCGCAGAGCGCGGCGGAGGCGCGCGCGGCGCGGCTGGCGCTGGCGCTGGGCGCCGCCGCCGGCCTGGCGCTGCTGCTGCCGGCCTACGCGGCCGCCGCGCCGCCGCCGCGCGCGCTGCCCGCATGTATGTACACCAGCTTTTTGAAGTAAAACTTGTTTACGCACGCTTGACTTGGGGGGTAAGCTGGTGAATGCGTTACGGAAAAAGGTATATACGTTTGTTGCCATGGTAACCGTTGTTATTGTCTGACTAAATATAATATTATATTCTTTCCTTAAATGATATTCTATAAATATATGATTGTAATATGCCTCACATGCGTTATTTTTAGTATCTCACCAATCCTAATTGTTTGAAACATAAATTGAATTACACAAAGATAACCTACAAAAGTTTTACTTCTTGCGCGTATACACATTCATACACACACTTTTTAAATTTTGACTGACTAAATGCATAATATGAATATATTATAATGCATTCAGTCAAATTGGTTCAATAAAACCTATTGAATAGATCATCAAGCTTCAAAACACTCGTGATAGTAGACAAGTAGTAAATTAAAAAAAGTTTTTTCGAAAAAAATTATCAACTAACCAAATGTAGCCGATTACAAAAATTTAATTTAGAGATAATTGTTTTATGAATACATTATACATATTTGTAAATATAAAAAAAAGAAGATAACGAGCTAATATTAGTGCCGTTGAGTTTCTTTCGCCAGTTCTTCTCAGGTCTGAGGCTTCTTCTTTCCGAACTGGTAGTAGAGTCATGACGTTTAGCAAAAAATTGTAATAATTTTATACTCGATAAAATATTTTGAATTTGAATTCTGTTCTCAGTAAAAGTATGGCTACAGTGGGTAGTACTCCATCCGAAGGTGGTCAGCTCCAAGGCGTGGGCGTCCCGGCCGCAGCTGTGGGCGGCACTCGCTTATGTGTTCAATAAGCTCTCACCTCTTACCAAAGAATATGACAAGAAATGTATGTATTTTACCTAAGAATTATAGCACGGTTAGGTCAGTAGGGGTTCACAAAAATTCTTTTTATCTATCAAATGTTATATTCGATTTAGAACAACATGGAAGGTCCTTTCGGGTTCACATAATACTTTCTTAGATTTACGCGAAAAGGAGGATTTTTTTATCTATCTAACAGGTGAAAGTATAAAACTATATTAAACATAAATACCATATACATTAAACATGTAGGGTCCGGGAATTAAATAAAAACACATAACAATACTCCAACTATTTCTTCTATTAAAATTATATACAACAATGTTTACGCGTATCGTCGTATTATATTTATATATATATATATTATAGCACTAGCAGATAACTGCTTATAAAAGCAGTAACTTAGGCTACTTTTATTTTAGAAAAAGCATTAGGGTTTCGTGCAAAAACATTAAAACCCATTAAATTGCGAACAAAATCCACCTACCCAGTGACGCACCCTGTGGTGACGGGAATTAGGTAAAATGACACATAGCGGAATACGTCGAGTAATTTTTTATTAATGCCTATACTTAATTACATTGTACTCATATCTAGATACAAATATCATCACCTAATACACACTCGAGCGAAGCCCTTGCTTAAATCGTTAGTTTTAAATATATCTAAATAATTCATGCATTACAGATGACGCGGTGCCATTACCAGAAGATGAAGAGCTGAACGGTTTCTTGCCGCTCGAAGAAGCCTTCAAGGATCTGAAGTTTAACAACTCCAGTTGGGAGACCAACAAGCTGCCCGAGACCGACCTTTCCGACGAGGATGTGGGGTGAGTGAAAGTTCCAATATTAATATAGGTTTATTAATATTATTAGGTTTATTATTATTAATACCTTAAAAAAACGAATTTTAAAACAAATTACAAACAATATTAATCTATTCTCATTTCGACCACAGACTTTAACATAAACAAAAGAGTACATAATATGCGTGTGTGTGTGTGTCAAATACCTGGTAGTGTGTGTAATGTTTTTTTTATTGATTTAATGATTTTCTTATGCATAATTTTAATAAAATATTAGCGTTCTGCACTCTTTCTCTATATAAACTATAAGTGTGGGAAATTTCATACTCCGTCCGCGCAATATTCGTAACAAGAGGTACAAAGTTTTTGCTTAACGTATTAATATATTGATTCCAGGTCGACGGGCGTCTCTCCCCTGTCGCTGATCGGCGAGCCGGAGCTGGAGCAGCGCGTGCGCGCCGCGCGCCTGCTGCGCCTCGCGCGCCGCCTCGCCGCCCTGCACCCCGCCCACCTCACCTACACCACGTGAGTTGCTAGATATTTTATTCAGCCCTTTTTAACGTCCCACTGCTGGGTACGGACCTCCCTTCAGTACGAGGGGAATATGCTATAGACCTGGCCTATAACCTGGCCAAGCTGGGTTGGCGGACTGCACATGTCTTTTGAAAACTTACTAGATTCTTTCAGATATGCAAGTTTCCTCACGATGTTTTCTTTCACCGTTTAGACTCACGTAGGTAATGACTGAAAATTCGCACATGAAAATATTAGAGGTACGAGATCCGGGATTTGAATCCGTTTCGTTTAGTTTTACAAGCGAGCGCGTTACCACTGGGCTACTACTACTAGATAGAATACTAAGCTAGCTAGTAATTAGTAATACTAATTCTATGGGAATTTTCAACTAACTTACAATAAAAATAATACACGAAAATAAAATTCATTTTCTATTGATGACTTGATGGATTATATTTATATTCTGATATCACTCCATAAAAAAACTGACTCCTAAGCTATGTAGTGACCCTTTTGATAGGACTAATTCTATATTAGAGTTATCATTACATATAATTAACACATTTGCTAGAGAATGAGTTACACATCTAATGGGTAACAAAGTTTTTCTAAAATCATTTCGAATGGGTAACCATTTTATTGGCGAGATGAATTGGACAAATTATATCTAAATTGGCCTATTCTTACGCAAGACCGCACAACTTGGAAACATAGAGGGGCGGGCTTTTGCCCAGCAGTGGGATGATGTCGGTAAGCAGAAGTAGAAGTGTTAGGCGTAACTCTAAACCCAGATTTTACTACAGGTCACTGATCGAAACTTATTATTATGCACAGTAACGAAGACGGTACTTGGACGTTCGAGGCGAGCGCAGTGAGCGGCGAGCAGCTGGAGCGTACGCTGGCCGCGTTGGCCCCCGCGCCCCCCGCGGCAGTCCCCTCGCCCCCCGCGGCAGGCCCCGCGCCCCCCGACCCCTCGCCCGGCGACCCCTCGACTGACGACCCCGCATCCGAGGCGGAGTCCCCCGCGCCGCCGCCGCCTGTCATCATATCCGAAGCTGATTTTAGAGAGAAAGGTATTTTATGTACTGTACCTTTTTACTTTTTATATATTACTTTAGTCTTTTAAGGATACATGTCAGTGAATAGAAACTTTTGTCTAGTTCAAAATGTCTGACCCACATGGTTTACTATTCTTTTTTTCTTCAATATATTACATACTTCATCAAATAGGCTTTTAGTCAATTTTTACATTTAAGTCAATATCAGTATAGTTAGTGAGGAAGCTACCAGTGGCTCGAAAAGCTAATTAATGCGTGAACTTTTATATCGAACTAGCGACTCACCCTCGCTTCCCTCGGGTTCGCGGTACGTTCGGTACATTTTAATTTTTTTTGAGCGGAACCCTAATTCTTTTTTAAAGATTAAAGTAGCCTATATTACTCCTTATAACATCAGCTATCTTCCAATGAAATTCCCGTCAAAATCAGTCCAGCCGTTTCAGAGATTATTCTGAACAGACACAAAAATTAAAAAAATGTGTTTTTCTTATAAGTACTGTATATAATTCCATACGCATTTAGTAAAACTCTGTTATTTTGACATTTTGTAATGTCTCTTCAATTTACAGACAATTCAATTTTATTTATCTGTACAAATTAAAACCGTGTAATTTGGTTACTCACAGTGTTAATTTTGTTTGTTTGATACAGTGCGAGAGAAACGCGTCGGCATCCTGAAGCCGCAGGGCTCGCTGGAGCGCGCGCGCGAGGAGAGAGCTCTCGCCACCACGCACGAGGAACCGGTAACATGTTAAATATATCTTTTTCTATCATATTTTTACTGTAGGCCTTATAAGTAAATTGGCTAGCAAGTTGGCTATAGTATAGATTTGAGGGTACTGGGTTCGAGTTCGGAAAAATTATGGTTATTGGGTTTTGGATCATTCTGTGAAAAGAATAGCCAGTACTAACCATGAAATGGAAATTTAGCGGTTTTCACATACCAAGATGGAGCATGTAAAGACGTCGGTCCATCTGTATTTGTCCTCCCAACGCTCGTATCATGCAAATACACTCTGGCACTCGCCTACACAAATCGCAAATGCTATTCTTAGATAGACCACCGTTATCAAAATCGTCAAAAAAGGTTGTACTTTGAATATTTGGACAAATTTTTAGTTTATCCAAAAATATATTTAAACACTTAAATACATTAATTTGAAAGATAAAATATTATACAGTTCTTTTAAAAGTACATGTTTGTATTTTAGGAAATGGAAGCTTTAGAAGAAATAAGTAAAAGCGAAGATAAGAAAGAAGCTCGCAAGCCCCGCGTCAACATCGCGATGGCCGCCATTATGCGCAAGCAGGAGGAGACCAACAAACAAGTATGCATTATACTATATGTATTATTCTTATTACAATTATTAATTTTATTCATGAACTAGCGACTTATCCTCGCTACGCTCGGGTGCGTCCCTAGGTTCATTTTTTTTGAGCCCTAATGAATTTCCCTAAAAAATTGAGGAACCCTAATTCGTTTTCTAAAATTAAAATATCCAAGTTACGCCTTAAACCATCAGCTATCTGCCAGTGAAAATCCTGTCGAAATCAGTCCAGCCGTTTTGGAGATTAGCCGGAACAAACAGAGAGACCGACAAAAATTAGAATTGTTTTTCGTATAAGTACCGTATATAATTTCATATGCATTGAGTAAAAAGCTGTTAATTTAACATTACAAACAGGCACTTTAATTTTATTTTTCTGTTTAGATGAAACTACTATTGAAACGAAATTCATTTGACCTAATATTCGTGTCTCATTAGCTCTATGAAAATTCTTTATAAAGCAAAATTTGAAATAATTATTTTAATTTTAGGTGAAATTCGTAACCCCGCCGCCTACACCTGATTCAACAAGTGAGTCAGCAGAGACCAAAGATGAAAAACCTAAAGTAATTCAACCAAAAGCAATAAAGTCCCTCGCGAACCTACCTATAGGCAGGAAAACTGGAGGCATCCTCTCATTGAAGGACAAGTCGGCCGGGTACCCGCACTTACAAAACATAGAACCAGAACCTAAGAAACCAGATAAAGATGATAAAAAGGAACCCAAAACCAACCAAAGCGTCAGTCCTAACTCTCAAAGCTATCAAAAACGAGATCAAACGGCCAACTGGCCGAACTTGTCCCAGAACTACGATAGTCCAAGAATGAACTTCCAAAAGAATTATGGCATTCAAAACGCAGGCCTTAGCTATAACCCAAGTTACCAAGCAAACAACCAAGGCATCAAATTACCAGTTGTCAATCCAAAAGAAATAGACGTGAGGACCGCAGCGCTACAGAAACAGAGTTCTCGCCAAGAACTATTCCAAGATGGCCACAAATTCAACCAGGGCTACCAAATGTCCGGAGACAAGAAGAACTTTTTAAACGATTTGCCGCCTCGTTTCGCGAACCAATATCGCTACTGGCAAAACGCTCAGGACAACCAGTTCAACGAAAATAAATTTAGGGATGATACCATGAAGAATACTTCATTTAACCCAAATGCAAGACAGAACTGGACTCAAAGTGAAACTCAGCAAGTGCAATGGTGGAAGCCGGAGAACCAACCAAATTTCAACCCGCCAAGTTTTCCCAACCCACCCCTAAATATGCCCAACTTCTACTCGTCGTTGCCAACCAACATGCCAAGTCCATATACGAATATGCCATTTAACCAAAACATGCCAAGCTTAGGACAAAATATGCCAAACATGGCACAGAATATGGCGAATATGGCACAAAACATTCAGAATAAACCAGAAAATTTGGTCAATTATCCACAATCAGTGATAGGGCAACCACAAATGCAACCTATTCAAAATTTGGTTACTTCACCAAACTTTAATTCTACTTTAAATAGCTTCAGTCCATACAATCCTTCGGTTAGCTACGATTCTTCAATGTACCCACATTTTAATAGCTATCATCCGGTGAAGATGGAGAAGCCCAGTTTCCAGGGTCAAGGGAAGGAGCCCGACACCCTCAACTTTGGTCCCAATGTCCTGGAGATGCACAGGAATCTAAATTATAACGAGTTTGGGGATGGTGCCATGAAAACGTTGGATGATGTCCCGGTGAGTTTCTATTTAATCTATACTAATATTATAAAGATTTAAAGTTTGTGAGTTTTATTGTAATGGATAAACTAAAAATCCGCTGAACTGATCGATATGGGGGATCAATTATTACTCAAATAAGGGATATAAAACTTATCATACCTAAGTATATACTAATATATATATAGTCTATCTTTTCCATAATAACCGTTAAAACTGACGAATCCGAGCAAGACGAGGATGAGTCACTGGTAATATTATAAAGATGTAAAGTTTGTTTGTTTATTTGAAAGCGCTAATCTCAGGAATTATTTGATTTTTTGAAAAAATCTTTCTTTCCATTGCTATCTTCAAAGGTTACTACATTTACTAATTTGTTTTCAAATATGCAAAATATTTATAAAATACAAAAGCACTAAAATCGCCTCGCTGAAATAGAAGTTCCACGTTAAACCAACGGCAGTGTGCCCCAAACCCCGACACAGCCCCACCCGATTTTTTTTCTTATTCTGTATTCTTTAGTGCGTGCAGTAAAGCATTTATCTATTTATGTATCTATCTAATTAATGTGCATGCGATGTGTATGCAGCTAATCAAATCATATAATTGTTAAACTAATTTTTAAATACTTTATAACGCATGCTATAGCTTTGTAAAAAAATTAAAATAACGATAAATATATAAATACCTTATGCAAATAAATAATGTAATTTGCTAGATTAAATTTATTTATATTATAAGTTAATTTGTTTCATGAAAATACTTAATTATTCAAATCAAATAATTGTTGAACCAATTATAAATTTTATTTTTTACTAGCGTCTCACCCTCGCTTCGCTCGGGTTCGTATATTGTAAATTAAAATGGATATAGTATGTTACCCTTAAGAGATAAATATATGCCATCGCGGACTTTTCTGTAGACCTATATAAGATACAATTCCACCATAATTTATTTTGTTATATCATACATTATTTTGTTATAGCATACATTATTTTTCTGCCGACACCTCCAACAAATATCGTTATATTTTAGCCAATGTATACCAAAACTTAAAAATTATACACTTTCCTCGAGAACCACTCTATCCATTTGAATTTGGTGAAAACGGCTTCAAAATAGGTGCATAGTTTTCGAGTTTATCGCGAACAGACAGTCAGACGCGGCAGAGGACTTTGTTTTATAATATATAGTGATTAAGAAAATAAAAGGCTTATTATTATTATGTACGCAGCAGCAGCCGGGCGCGGGCGCAGGCGCGGGCGAGGCGAGCACGTACTCGCTGTTCAGCGGCGCGCCCGACGCCGCCGCGTGGCCGCCCGCACACCAACAGGTGATTCTTGTCTAAACATCACTTATCTATACATAATATAATAATAAAATAGTAACTTAGCGAAATCTGCACATGAAATATTTTTTAAAAACAATGACTGGAACATATTATGTACAGAATATAGATTCCAAAACATTAGTTATCAAATTTTTTGTCTGTTTCTTTGTGTGTTTGTGTGTGCACGCTACACGTAAAAAGTACTGAACCGATTTTAACTTTTTGTGTAGTGATAATTACTCGGGTCAACATTTAGCATGCCTTTTACTACTGGAAAATCTTTTATCCCCACGGGTAAACACAATAACTGGTTTTATCAAGTCGTCATACACTGGCAATAAGAACTTATATTTAAAACGTGCCTACGGACGAACCCGAGCGAGGGTAATTCGATAGTATTTACTTAAAACAATCAGAAAAATCGATTAAAAAAAATGAATACAAAACAGGTACACCCGGTTAAAGCTCTTTTTAAGGTAGTCCATAGTCAATAAGAAAATTCATTATTATCAAAAAAACCATCTCGACTATACATTAAAGGAGTTAATGATATTTTTATACAAAACTCTTACAGTCCCTCTGGTCCGGTCCGGGGCCTTCCCCGCTGGAGCGTCTCCTGGAACAGCAGAAGCAGATGAAGCCCCCCGCGCCCCACTGACCTTTAAAAAACAACCTCACGGAAACTAAGCAACTATACTTCGAATATACACCCCATTCCCTAAAAATTTTATGGGATTTTAGCCGCCTTTTTAAGTTTTTACAAAAGTTAAATTGTTAAATGTTCGTAGCATTGAGTTTTCATGTCACGTAACTTGACCCAATATGGCGACGGTTTCTCGTCAACGGAATTTTAGGCTGATTTACGTGCATAGTGGAACTAATAACAAAAAAACAACTGGTCAATCTATATTTCGTATTTTAACGTAATTATATATTATTCTGTAGAATAGAAAAAAAAATAATAGTTATATATGTAAAGCATTTTCTAAAAAATTTTTTGTAAAAATAATACCGCGGTGCATTAATGTTTCAATTTTGTACTAAATGTTTTATCTATAAGAAATGTTAGTTGTATACATTTTTTACGTGATATGTTTTCATTTTAAATATTTGTTTGTTAAGTAACATAGTGTTCTCCTTTATTATCGTACTGTAAAAAAGACATTCTCTTTAGACATTCATGGTCATTAACATTGTTGTTTTTGCAAACACCATGGTCATGGGCTATGTATTTGATCATGGTGCTTGCAACGGTACCAAAATATTGAAATATAAAATTATAAATAAAAATGCAAAACATGAAAAACTTCCCGTTTTATTAAATAGAAATAAAATTATTATTCCTACAGCATTATCCATTCAAAAAATGAATTATTAAAAAATATCAGTCTCTTTCAGTTTTTCCTTTAACTATAGTCTCGATCTATCAACACTTTTGCTATGGAGACTGGTAATTTATTTTTTATTTTCTAAATATGTATTTAAATTAAATGAGGTATACATACTTCATAATTTTTATTTTCTAAACTTTTACAACCATATATAAGGCGAATTTGTCTATGGTATTGCTTAACTTTATATACTATAATAAAGTATATAACACTACAAATGAATAAAAAATTAGGTCATTTTCGAGCTTTTTTCTATGAGAGCTGACATTAGCAACCCGCCGCCATTTAAACAAGTAGTAACACACGATGACGCATATGTAAATGAGTAATTTTATGGACACTGATAAATAAATAATATCAGCAATATTGTGTTCAAAGATGTCAAATTTTCAAGACATTTTAAGGTAAAGATTGTTTATAATAAATAAATAAATATGTTGAGACATTAATACACAGCACCATCTAGTTCCACGGTAAGCTACGAGGCTTGTGTTATGGATACCAGATAGTTGATACCATACACATATATAACTTTAAATACATACATATTATAAATATAAACGCCCATGACTGGAGTACAAACATTCATGCTCAACACACAAATGAATGTCCAGAGGGACTCGAACCCGCGACCGCTGGCAGAACAAGTAGGGTCACTACAAACTGAGCCAAACGTGTCGTCAAATAATAAATACTTTACAGTATTGTTTGAATAAAACGTGACACAATAATTTGAGTCTATTTTTAATGATTATCGTTGTATAAATATGGCGATCTTTACCTTCAAATGTCTCGTCTACGAACGAAACGTGTTTCTTTTATTCACACTCTTTTGAAGGTAACATAAGTAATATAACATATTAAATATAAAACATACATACTATTTTAAAACATTTAAAATTTGAAAATACTTTTTTTATTTAGAGCGCAGCATGGAAACTGTAATTTTTAAATATATAGTGTAGTAACATAGGAACATTAAAATAAAAAAAATGAAAGTGTTTCTTATATGCGCTCTAAATATAAAAATGACGGAATGTTGGCAATGCCATAAAAGTCTATCTGCTTTGTATGTAATTGATCTTATTGATGTAATAGCCGTAAATACGCCTTTATATATAGAAGTTTTTATATATTATGTTACTTAAAATGTGTTTTATCATTTTAACGACTGGAAAAGATGTGTGTTTTGCGTGTATTTACTGTGTTGAGAACATCACTAGTAAGTGTTGATCAAATATAAAAAATTGGTCAAACAAAAATTTACTTTTGTCCTTTAGACAAAATTAAGGAAAAAATATAATTTAAAATATTAATTTATTATTTATTGAATGGAAATTATATATGGTAATATATGTTGCTATAAAATTATTTAATCTTTGCCATTGTAAAATTGTGTCGCATTGATTTTAGTTTGTTAAAAATAATGTGTTTTGTTTGATGGAGAACTTAATAAGTAATAACTTAAGCTGCTTCGCTTATTTTATTATTGCAAAGACGATATTGTGGTCTGACTGTATCTATAAAAATATATTGATAACATTTATTAGTGTTAAAATTGTAATGTTTTGTGATAGATAAGTAAAGGCAAGTACCAATTGGGAAATTTTCTAATAAAGTTATTTTTGTTATACACCTCTAGTTTTCTTTGATTTCTTTCAATCCCTTACGCAGAAAGTGTAAATATTTAATATTTTATCTATACCTTAAAATATTACTAATCTATTTTAAATCATTAATTTAAAAAAAGTAATATATGAATGCCTAACACACCATAAACGCAAAAAAATCAAGTGTAATTAACTAATGACCGAAGTAAGCTACTCGAACTTCGTCAACAAATCTATTCCTTTGCTGTGTAAATATATATATATATATATATATATATATATATATATATGCATATTACATAATACATAATTTTTGTCCATTCTTGAAGACGCTGTTGCAAGATAAAACTGGAATAAGTTTATGATTGTACCTTAAACTTTAATCCTTTTTGTATTGTACTTGTATGAATTAATAAAAAAAGTGTGTACTTATGTACGCACGTAAGAAGTTATACTTGTTTGGCGTAACTTACGCAGAAAGTGTAAATATTTAATATTTTATCTATACCTTAAAATATTACTAATCTATTTTAAATCATTAATTTAAAAAAAAGTAATATATGAATGCCTAACACACCATAAACGCAAAAAAATCAAGTGTAATTAACTAATGACCGAAGTAAGCTACTCGAACTTCGTCAACAAATCTATTCCTTTGCTGTGTAAATATATATATATATATATATATATATATATATATATATGCATATTACATAATACATAATTTTTGTCCATTCTTGAAGACGCTGTTGCAAGATAAAACTGGAATAAGTTTATGATTGTGCCTTAAACTTTAATCCTTTTTGTATTGTACTTGTATGAATTAATAAAAAAAGTGTGTACTTATGTACGCACGTAAGAAGTTATACTTGTTTGGCGTAACAGAACAAAAATAGCTAAAGATTTCATCCCGTATGTCACAACTCTCTGTTTGTAAAAGGAATGCAGCTAACTTCATCATGTCGCTTTTTGGCTGCCGGTGTGCGCGCGCATCGTAAAAATTCTACTCTCATAATTTTTTCCAAACGTACCAAAAGAAGTATAATTTCAAATACCAATTTCTCTCTCCACTTTATACAATATAGGAACACAAAGGTTAAAAAAAAAAAACAATTATATAGAGTCAATAATTTAATTTTATTGTTTTTCATCATAATTGTAATACATTTCCTAGTTAAAAAGCGTATTTAATAATAATCTAGTTGCATTAAAACAATATTTACAATGTCACTAAAATTAAACAAAATATTTTTTTAAATTATATCATGCATAATGTTATGATTAACAGTATCAATTGACTAATAATTAAGAACATATGAAATAGAATTGATTTAAATATATTAGATCTATTTAAATTATCGACAAACTGGTAAATTAATATAAAACATGACAATTTATTTGTTGTATAATAATAAAATGTCAACCTATTCCATTCACATGCTTTCACAATGGAATACCTACTTTAGAACCTGTACACAATTACATAATATTATTAGACAATACGTTGTCTCCGTGCTTATTCGTCCAAACGACCAATTTACCAAATGACTTTTTGATACAGAATTATTGACTTTTAAATGTCAATTCTACTGGTATTAAATACACATTTTACTTTAAAAAAGTCGAAATTGTGTTCTATATGTATTCAGCCCTTTTTTTAACGTCCCACTGCTAGGCACGGGCCTCCCTTTCAATATAGGGACATAGTCTAACCACGCTGGCCAAGTGCGGGTTGGCGGACTGAGCATGTCTTTCGAAAACTTGTTAGATTCTCTCAGACATGCAGGTTTCCTCACGGTTCACCGTAATGGTAATCATAAAAATATCAAAAAGTGCGAGACCCGGTATTCGAACCCGCTTCACCCGCGTCACTACTATACATACACAGATGTATATAAATCTTAAAAATAAATCTTTTCAAATAAAAGAAAAATCTCTATTATAAAATACCTGCAACAAGTATTAATTGTTTGAACAAATAAACACTAAGTCGACAAATCGTCTATTGGACCTTGAACAAACAAATAGGTACAACAATCGAGGCATAAGTCTTACATATATATATAATAACATAATACATACTAATGATGAACAATCATAATTTGTAAAATGGAACTTCATATTTTACAATTGGCATAAAATTATCAATTTCAAATAAATCAGTTCGAAGTAACCTCATCGAAAGCAAGCCTCGTATAAAGCATTATATATCAATGTCAGTTTTGTAAATTCGTAATAGATTAAATTACCTAAAATTATTGCGAATAAGATATGTATGTATAAAATTGACGCAAAGATGTATAAAGAGGGAGCAAATCACAACCGTTGCTCGAAGCCGCAGTTATAGTATATATGATATACTTGCATTTCTAGTATCATTTATCTCGTTACATGGCGATGCTAACTTTTAACACCGTTCTTTTGTATAATTCATCAAAACGTCGGTGTACAACTAACGTTTGATAATTACCAAAGTTATCGAAAACCGTAGAAACAGAGGTAAAAATCTTTTATGCGCGGATTGAATTTCGTTTGAATTTTTTTTTTTCTAAACTTAATAACTTTCTAGGCCAAGCAATTAACTCGAACAAATGATACTAGAAATGAAATGATTAATATTGCTGTATATTTAATACACAAATTGTATAATCAATATAAAAAGTCGAGCACAAAAAGTAAGCTAATAGTGTGTAATTGGCCGCGAAGAGTGACTAGGCGTAAAATTGGCTGCGCGCGCGCATGGTAACGGTCACGTGGTCAGACAAATGAATATTGTACTGCTTTTTGGCACCGTCGTCTTTGTAAATAAATATAATTAGACACAACGCCAATTAATTTTCATGATACACGCAATCAATGGACGTACTTGCTTGCCTTCACGATATTATTTTTATTGGATTATAATAGATCTCTAACATTTGATATCCTGATATATATGTAAGTCATATTTATTCTACGAGCATTCTAATTATCATACATGATCAAATATACTTAAAAAGGCAATTTTGTGCAACCTCCAATAAACAATTCAAGAAAACAAACTATAACACGCTTTAACCACTACAATTAATTATAGAATAACAATGAGAGATCAAATTAACGAAGAAAATTATATAATGTATACTATTATGTATAAAATTATTTCGTCATCAAGTCAAAGGTGTGCTAGATATTTAAATTGTCACCGTTACGTTTATTTATTACAATATTTTAATATTCATATCGGTTTTTTCTCCTACTTATCCACCATAACTATACCATAATATTTTAGCAATTTTCTGCCATTCTCAAGTAGTCATCACATAAAAACATATCTATTTATACTGTGGAAATGATGACAGTTAAATTTGTCATTTTTACATTTTTCTTATCGATTATACTTAGCTTATAATAAGTTTACTATAGCGAATGAGAAAATCTTGATGCACATTAAACATTTAAATTTCGTATAGACTATGTACACGTCATTTCGACAATTAATATGGACACCCCTTACACAAATATTTAAGCATCCATACCGAGAGGCATTTGGATGTATTAAAAAAAAATTAAATTATATCTCATTTAAAAAAAATACATGGATATTATATAGAATTACCTTAACAATATAAAAATACGTTCGCGCTTGTTCCCTGCTTATCCTTTACTCAGTCTAAAGCACACTCTGGTGCCGTCAAGGCCTCGTCACACTCGTACAATCTCAACGTCACCACAGTCTAATAACCCATACAGTCGTCCAAGGAAGCAATCTAGAGGGCAATGGCGCGGGGCAAGCGAAGTAAGACGCGTGTGAGTACCACAGTACCGACTGTCATATTCACTTTTAAAATATGTTGGGACATTAACACACAGCACCATCTAGTTCCAAGGTATGCTACGCTACGAGGCCTGTGTTATGGATACCAGATAGTTAATACACTACACATATACATAATAATATAACTTTAAATACATACATATTATAAAATATATAAACACCCATGGCTAGAGTACAAACATTCGTGCTCATCATACAAATGAATGCCCAGCGGGACTCGAACCAGCGACCGTTAGCACAGCAAGTAGGGCCACTACAAACTGAGCCAAACTTGTCTTCAATAGTCGTTTTATAATGAAAATTGGGAAAAGTCTTAAGGGTTGACGGAAATAACTGTTAACTGTGTAATCGCTGATATCTTCCACACCCACCAGTTGACTGGAAGAGATCTCTTTCAGAGATAAATCCACGTTTGTTAAAGAAATTTATTGTTTTCTTTTTCTGTATTACTATTAAAGTGCGATAACGTGTGAAGAGGTGGTACTACAGTGGTTCCACTTAGAAATCATTCGCCAAGAATTTGACATTTTTTTTACAGCCCTTGCATTTGACAGTAATTCCGTTAAAATAAATGGACGATGGCCTACTGTATGGATTTTTATACTGTGATATTACCCAGTAACGGGGCACTAAAACCTAACAATTATATTAAGATCTTTGACAAACGAACACCATATCCACCATATCATATATATTAAAAGTTTAAAATTATTATATAAAAAGATAATGATTAAATTGTTAAAAACAGCGGTAACTTTTGTTTGTTGTCAAAGTCCTTCCTATAATAATAAAATTATACCGATATGTCACCAATTGCTTATAAATTATGTATAATTCGATCAAATTCCTTAAATGGACATTATTCCGTGCCTGTATTACATATTGGTACTATGTAAATTTAAGTATAGCTCTTACAAAAAAAAATGTAAAATAAATAAAACGTTTAGAGAGGAGCATAGGAATTTTACTATTGAAAGACGAACGACACGACCCGATTAAGCTTGGTTTTTACAAATTGAACCCATAAAAATAGCGTTCCATACAGACATTTTCATTTCTATATACCTTATAGAGGACTTTGTTAAAAAAATCCTTTCATAGTAGTTACCCATGTGACTATAAAAAAAAGTTACTAATATTTAAACCAGCAGTTAAATCTACGTTGAAGAATCAGTCAAGACAAGTTACTTTATATATATATGTAGATATATAGAAGAAAAACTTCATAGTTAACGCGTACATCTAAGACACTTTCACCGTAGAATAAAAATTGACGATTTCAATAAAACGTCGAGTCCTCTCATTTTACCTGTACACGTATTTTAAATACATTTATTTTATTTTAAATAATAAAAAGTGTGAAAATTAAGGTTATTTAGTATTTTGTTATGAACAAAATGTCTTCAGGAATATTTTATAGTACATTCTAAAGGACCTGTTAGTCTGGGCAGCTATAGAACAACGTTATTTGTGACACATTCATTATATTATATTGCAAATTGAAATTTTTATAATCAATTTTCATGTACAACATTGATATAACATTTAATTTCATTACACTTATCATTATTATATTTAATACTTTCTTAGATTTACGCGAATGTTTGACATTATTAAATAAAACTATCTTTTCGGATTATTTCGCGGATTTATTTTGATTTTTGGTTCCCGACGTTTCAAATGCTTTACAGCATCCATGGTCACGGGAGAGACTCTCTCCCGTGACCATGGATGCTGTAAAGCATTCGAAACGTCGGGAACCAAAAATCAAAATAAATCCGCGAAATAATCCGAAAAGATAGTTTTATTTAATAATATTATTATATTTATAAGTTACAATAGACATACTAGATGGTAATTTGAGCGCCATTTTCAATATACAAAAAGTTGAAAAAATTATTTATAGATGTAATAAAAGGTACGTAAAAAGCATAATATGGCTTTTTATGAATGTAAATGTGCCGTTTAAAATTAATAAATTGATGATTTTAACATTTATACGTAGAATTTTGAACGAACGAATGAATGATTCAGAATGAATGAATTAGTATGTGTTACCTTTTTAAAGATTTCTTTGTCAATGTTTCTTTCAGTTGTCATTTTATGTGTTTGTCTTCATATTTGGTCTTCAACTCTATCACGTCTGACGCTCGACGGCGAAATTGTAGGCGTAGTCGCGGTCGAGGTCGAAGCGAGTGCGTTGTTTTATTATTGGTAGTTGTGCCTGAAGACAAATTGTTATTTCATGTTATAATTATTTCATTAGAAAATCTTTATTTCCAAATATATCCTTAATGGTCCATTTGTACCAAAATACTTAATGAGAATTTGACAGTCTTAAATTATAAGCAAATGTCAAAAATTATACCAAAAAATTTGAAGCTATTTATTATCTATAAAACAAGTACATATTTAATTAAAGCGTAGATTAATAAGAATTACCAGAGTATCACTCGGAAGTCCTCTCAACTTCGGATTTAGAACCAACGGAACGCCTTCCATCCCGTTATATCCGCCTAGAGTTTGGTAGTTTGAGACTTTTGGCAAAGGAGCGGGCCCCTTCTTCCTTCCGACCGCCGGCGGTGACTTCGGTCCGGGACTGTTGTGAGGGACCGGCGACTTCGCTGAGGGCGGCCGGGGCGCCGGTCTCGCCGGCTTCAGGTTGTAAGAAGGGCTTAGGGCTTCATAGTCGTGGTCGGATGTGAACTCCTCTATACTTAATTCGGCTATTAGCGGAGAAAGCTTTGGTGGTCGCTCTGGCGCAGGCTTCAATCTGTAAGTCAATATAATATATTTTTTCAGTATTACACAGGACCATTTAGTTCCATGGTAAGCTACGAGGCTTGTGTTACAGATATCAGATAGTTGATACACTACACATATATACTTTAAATATATACATATTATAAATATTATGTAAACACCCATGACTGTAGTACAAACATCACACAAATAAATTCCCCCAGCGGGACTCGAACCCGCGATCGCTAGCACAGCAAGTAGGATCACAACAAACTGAGCCAACGTGTGGTCATAATAATTTAACATTATGTCAATCCTTTTATTGTGGTAAAATTAAATAAAAACATTTAATAGTGTTACGATGTATTACGACAAGCAATATTAAGTTGGAAACCACGGGTTTTTCCGCTTAACATAAATATTTTGGTAAATACTTTTTAAATATAACGAGATCACCGTTGTTCATTCTAGTTATTCGTATTGAGCAGTACTTTGCCAGCTAGATCCCTGTTTGAACCATAAAAGGTCACATTCAGCTTGATTTTTTTTATATTTAAAAAGTATATAATACGTATGTATGAAGGTCAACCTATAATTCCAAACTTGCCGTCAAAGAACCGAAAACTTAAATCATATAAAAATGTTATCTCTACGTAAAAACATTCTAACAACTTTAGTGATAATGTTATATGTTTTCTTTTTAATCCCTCTACGACCGCGGACACTCCGGCGTTACAGTTAAAAATAGATTTCTTAGAAATTTAATTAATTTCTTAGAAATTTACCTGGGGAGTCTGGCCGCCAAAAATTGTACATTATCATTCGTGAATTAGTAACACTCAGTAACATACGTGAATGAATGTAACACATGTGAACTTTGTTAAGCATAGTGCACATTTTGTAGTATGTGAATCACATACCACAATATCAAGGTGTATTATTGTCGAATTGTATTATACAAAGAGTTCAAGTACACTTTAATGATGTCTTTACCTTAATAAAACAGAGTTTACCAAAAATGATTTATTTTGGAATGTAATACTTGTTAAAGAAAACTAAGATGCTGATTGGCTTCACAATTATAGACGCTGAATTTTCATTGGTTTTTGAGCCGAAGCCTTGGTGTTCTATCCACCATCATTCTAAACATCGTTCTCTATGGGACCAACTCTGTACAATAAAAAAAACAGCTGATCCAGACAAAAGCTCAGTTGAACTTTTGTATGGAACAGCTAATATTTTTTCACTGTACGAAGTTAGTCCTATAGTAAAATTTGTTCAGAATAATGGGAAAAATACCAGAGCTTCGACTCAAAAACCAATGAAAATTCAGCGTCTGAGTACAGTTTATGTTTTTTACCTACCTAAATTACACAAAATAAAAATGACATCGTAAAAAATCACAGTAGCCAAAAAGTTTTTAGTTCGAAAAAGCAACAGCTTTTTTTTCTTAAATTACAGAATTAGTAAACATCGTGCTTTCATTTATTAATTATTCTTAAACAATATAATCAGACTTAACATTATAGACAATATACCGAACAATGCAATTTTACTAATAATCTACTTTATATAAATGTTTATCCTACTTAGAGTATTATAAATTATTAACAGTTTTTGGAAAATTTGTAAAGAACACTATGTTTATGTTTTGTCTATTTTTTTGATCTCTTCATTGTTTTCGTAGGGGTTTTTTTTAGTCTCCGTATAGTCGCTAATATTTTTTCTTTCCTTATTCCGCGCAAAATGTTTGAGTTTAGTTTCTTCAAAATTTTCTGGGTTGTTTAATCGCATTCTCTCCCTGTATCGCTTTTGTTTTTCCGCCGGTGTTAAGGGCATCTAATAAAATTATTATATGTTTTGTAACACGTCAGGGCCATTTTTTATTTAATTATATATTTAAATTATAATTTAAATTTATGTATATTATAATTAAAAGTATAACAAGATAGATTGGATTCATATTATTTAGAACTGCCTCAATTTCGAGAATTTACTAGATACCCTGCGAGGATACGTACTTGCGAAAAAAATAAGTTGAAATTTAAGTTCTGTAGTGTACACTAACCTTAAGAACTGATCACGAATGTTACGTAACACATTAAGTAACACACTATACCATTCGTGAATCAAAAATACTGTGTACGTAATCTAAAAACATGTATTCGGGTTTATTTTGGAGTAAGAACATGACGAATAGGTTTATTTGTTAACTGAATGATCTATCTACACACAGAGATTAAAATAATATTGTAAAATTACATTCTTACCGTGCGTTTTCTTACATAAAAACATTAAAAACTCCCGAGACAAAAGGGCCGGCCACTTTAATCTTCATTTTCACAGAAAACAAAATGGCAATATTTGTCTACAGTGTCGCCAACTTGTAAATGGGATTGTTATATAAGTAAAATATGTTTAAAGACTTGGAATCTAGGCTGATTTCATTGTGATTTATAGTAACTTGCGTGAAGTCATTCGGGAACAAAAATCGAGATATATACTTTAAAAGTTATTTTACAATAAGTTTTTACGTAACTTGTTACTAAAAATCACTACCGCTTATAAAACTAACTGAACAATTTAGCAATGCTAAAAATTAACACTTCATTAGGCATTTTAGCATATATTTTTATTTCAAATTATAAGATGTTATAGTGGGACACGAGATTATTGTATGGACGCCAAGACTACCCTCTTAGAAAAAAATTAAAAAACAGCTGTTAAAGGAAACCGAAATTAATTAAATTTTTCCATAAGTATAAACGTGAAAATGTGTACCTGAAACTATTTACAACATAAAATTAAATGAAGTAGTATATGAAAATATTTTATTTTGTTTGAGAGAGACACAGATTTTTTTCCATATGTACAATTTTTGGCAGCCATACTCTGGAGGTGATTTTTGAAAAAAAAAAGTCATATAAATTTTATAAAAAATAAAACAAACTTAATTACTATTTTTGCATAATATACTATATATTACTTATTTCATTATACCTACGTATTATGATAATGTATATTATAATCTATACATATAATAAAATTGTAACTAAGTCGAATCTGTACATTCGATATTTTTTGGAAAATCTTATTGAAATAGACATTATTATCGATACAGAGTCCGAATCTATAGTTTTTAGAATTTTTGGCTGTATGTCTGTCTGTCTGTTACCGCATCACGAGAAAACCACTGGACAGATTTTGATAAAATTTGGTATGATAATAGCTGGTTATCCGGGTCAACATATAGGATACTTTTTACCGCGGGAAAATATCTCATTTCTGAGAAAAAATACAAAACTGTAAATATATATATATATATATATAAATATATATATATATATATATATATATATATATATATATATATATACAGGGTCATTTTTAATTTACTGAAGACCTTTTGGGAATATACTATTTACATCATAACAACAACCTCTGTAACAAGAAAAAAAAATATTTCTTAAATTTTCATTTTCATACAAAAATAAAAATATTTTCTATATCATCATCATCATTATATCTGGCCAAGTTTGAATGAGTAAGGACCACTTCCTACACCCCTCCACCCCACGCCCTCCACCCCTCGCCCACCACCGGTCACGCGCTTTCTTTTGCTAATTGCTGGACTATTACCGTTTAGAAGGAGCAATAAAAATACTTTTATTTTTGTAAAAATTTATATTTTTAATTTTATATTCGTTATAATTTATAATATTCGTTATAATTTTATGAAAATTATTACGAATAGTATATGTATAATTATATATATATACACATACTATTCGTTATAATTTTTTCGAAATTATCGATATTTTATTAGTTTTTGGAGTTAATTTTATTGATTTTTCTGAAAAAAATGATTTTAGGGCAATTACAGAAAGAAATGAAAATCATTCGTAATCTAATCTTGTTTATTCATTAGTTAAAAATATATTAAAAAAAATTAAGTTGATATATTTTATAAAATTTAGTCATAGATATGTTAAAAAATCGTAAATCATCATCATTCATGATCAGGTCATTTTATGAATTTCTATTCCTTATATACCTGCTAACATTTTAAAATCATAAAACTTCAGGTTTTCAATAAAATAATTATTTTAACAATAAAAGGATTCCGATGGGTCTATTAGTACCTACATAAACAACAAAAAATTCTATAACTTTCAACTTTTGGAACGAGATTTTTGTAATTGATCTAAACCACCCTTCTTCTCCTTTCTACCTTAGAGAGCGTTTCCAGTTTTTAAGTGATACCCATACTCTTCCACTTCGCTCTAGTGAAACGTTGTTGCTTAAAATTCCTTCTCACTCCTCCTGTTTCCTTACCAACTCCTTCGCAGTAAAGGCTGCACGCTTATGGAATAATCTTCCAATAGACATCAGGCGTGCCAAAAGTTTTGATAATTTTAAGGTACAGTTAAAATCATATTATTTGTCTCTATAGTATCTTCTATTGAACTTTTTATACTTTTTCATCTGATCTACATTTATGTATGTATGCATTGTATTTATGCATTTATGTATGTATGTATATATGTAATGTATGTATGTATGTATGTATTATGTATGTATGTATGTATGTATGTATGTATGTATGTATGTGTGTGTATGAATGTATGTATGTATGTATGTATTTATGTATATCTGTATTTAGGATATGTAATTGTGTGTAGTAAGTACACCGCCTACCATTTCATATAATTTCTCCTACGCCCTAAGGTTGCCTGGAAGAGATCGCTTATAGCGATAAGGCCGCCTGCTGTGCATCATCTATTGTTTATATCTTCTTTTTGTATATTTATTTGTGGTGTACAATAAAGCATCTATCTATCTATCTATCTAAACCACCTATTTATTTTTTTATGATTTTTTGAAGTCATCAATCTAAACAAGTCAAATTTTAAATGATATTCGCCACAGAATTGTAATTTAGAGTTATTTCAGTTTATGAATAAAGGTGCGATGTAACTTGTAGGGAATGTATATTGTACGCAAACCGTTAAAATAATAAATATTAGATAAACTTTGAAATTGCTCTTGCGCCGAGTCGCGCCGCCCCCGCCCCCGCCCCCCGCAAGCGCCCGCGCGTCACCGGCTGCTGCTATCATAGTGTGCGTGAGAATTTGCGTATGTTGTATTTGTGTTGTTCACTGCCGGGGGGATGCAAAGCGGTATGAAACAGATAGCATTTTTAAAAATACCTACTCTCGCCGCGTATCGGCACTTCACAATCCTCTTAACACGCCGTCAAGAACATTCAATGACGTTTAATAAATTATATAATGTAGGTATAGTTATATTCAGCCCTTTTTTCGAAAAGACTCGCACTTGACCATTGACCAGCGTGATGGACTTTGGCCTGTGCCTGTGCCTGCACCCCTCATATTGAAGGGAGAACCATAACCAGCATTGGGACGTTAAAGAGGATTAAATATAATTCATAGTCTAATTCAATAAAGGTACGTTCAATTAAAGTTTTCGGTTAATTTGGCCATCTCAATGAGGCTACCTAACTGTGTAGGAGATGTTATGGGGCCCAAGTGTGAGCGCTGACTCAAGCGAACTCTCTTTGCCTGTCACTCTCAAACTTTGGTCGGACGATAATTAGATTTTTATGAAAACTTCGAGCTGTTACTGAGTGTTTCTTGACAAAAAACCCCAATATCTACACTTGGCCCGACCCGGAACTTTAACCCTGCCTCCACAAAGCAGCCGTGATAGCCAATACACGAACGAGGCCATCAAATTTAAATTGCAATAAAGTAAGAAATAAGTAATGTTTTTAGAGAGAATTATATCACGATTCATGTATTGAAAATCTTAGTTAGATTAACTCTTTCACTTATTGTTAGCCTAAAAATCTGTCATAACGTTTTTCAGGATTACTAATATTATTTATAAGACATTCGAAACGTCAGGTTCTAAAAGAATATTTAACTAAGTTATACTAAAATCTTTATAAGACTTATAATTAACATATTATGTAATATTTGAATGTATATCACCTTCTCGCGGCTTCAGGCGTGAGGTTGGTGACGACGTTCTCGTATTCGTTGGGCGCGTGCGTGGGCGACGTGTCCGAACTGCCGCCGCTCACTTTGTAACATACTACTTTGCCGTTGATCTCCCTGTAAATATTTATATTCTAACGTCATTTTTACTTTAACACTCACTACAAGAAACTATACAATTCAATGAAACTCATCCTACTAATATTATAAATGCTAAAGTTCGTGAGGATGTAAAGATATATGAATGTTTGTTACTCTTTCACGCAAAAACTACTGAATGGATTTTAATGAAACTTTATAATAATATAGTTCATACATCAGAATAACACATAGGCTACTTTTTATCCCGAAAACATCTACTGTTCCCGTGGGATAGATTTGTTTTTGTTTTTCTACAAGCGAACCCGAGCAAAGCGTGGCCTGGGTGAGCCGCTGGTTATATATAAAATTATATTAGGTATTTATCACTTTTATTTACCATAGTACCTATGTACTAGCGTATTACCCTCACTTTGTTTGGATACATCCCTAGCTACCTTCCAGTAGTCTAGTACCTATGTATGTTCCTGGCATCTACGTACTTTTATTCAAATCCCTTCATCCAGCAAGCTTTAAGAAGTAACTCCCAACTCACCCAGCCAACACGAACCCTTTCGGGGCGGAGCGCATCTTGGAGCACACGATGACGTCGGTGACCGGCGGCGCGGCTGCCGGCGCTTGCCTCGACACATGCGTGCAGAGACGCCGCTTGCCCGCCCTTCCCGCCACGCTGTACCCCGCCGGCGTGGCTTCACGCTCGCCCAGCACTAACACCCCGTCCATCACATATCCAGGCACTCCTGTACAAAAAAAAACAAAATAAATCTTCAGTATTATAAAAAGGTAATGTTTCTAATTTTCGATGTAGAGAGTAATTTTGAAAGTATACTCGTAGTATAGTAGATGCAATACTGAACATTTTATCACTAATAGGAAGCTGTCTATACAAAATCCACCCGCTTTGCCGGCCTTTAAGGAGGACACGACTTTGAAGCGTCACATATTATATCATCATCATCGATCATGGAAATTCTCAAGAGAAAGATCGTTCCATAATTTTTGCACGTGCAAGGCAGAAAAGGACATGGTGCTCGCACATTTGTGGAATTCCATAAATCAGGTTTAATTTGACAATTTTTATCGATCTAAATAAAACGTAAAAAAAACATCAAGCTGCGCCGCTACTGTCACAACTCACTACAATCATTGAAGAAGTTCCATTTAATCCATCCAAGAGAATTTTTGAAAAAGACAGCCAATAGCATGCCACGATTACACTATTACATGTTTAGCATTGTGACAAATACCTTACGCGGGAATCAAGAGTCCATAACAGTTTATTAGACCATAGCAAAGGTCATACATAAAATTCAAGCAAACCTGTTTTTTGTTTGTCTGTATGCGTTTCACACAAAAAAAAATCAGCCGATTTTAACTAAATTTTATGTAGTATGATAACATATTATTCGATCCAACATTTAGTATGAATGTTACTACAGGAAAATATTTCGTTTCCACAGGAAAATACAATGACTGGTTCAAGTCGATGTTCGGTTTAACAAGGTTTAACTTAAAAAGGCTTAAAGAAACTCCGCTATATCAAGCATGAGTCTATATGGACTAAGTACACTCGCAATGACTAAATTCGATTTTCTATTTCTTTTTTGCATATAGCTTTTTGGATGACAATTAAAATACACGTGATTAATTTAACTTTCGATTTTTGAATTATATTTTTTGGTTTTAATTAACGTCACATGTCTACGCGACTTTTTAAAGAGATATTTTTAGAAAATGTGTCCTATAACTACAAAGTTAAGCCAACTTACACTATATTGTCATATAAATAGTTTTTATGGCTATACTGACATCTATAGAGCTTTGGAGAGTAATAATATAATTTAAAATGGGATAATTATCATATTTAGCATATACTTTTATTTTTTATTTTTTTTATTGCCGATATTTCGGCATTGTAAGAACTCAGAAGAGTCATGGTCGTGAGTACTGAATATGCCCCTGATAATAATATTGTCAGTGACCATGAAAGTTAGCGACTTCTGTAGAGAATAAATTCTAATTTTATTATGTATGTTATGTGTTACTTATACAGGTTTCGGCTAAAGGAAACAATATCGAGCATTTAAACAGTAGATCTGTGGGTTTATTTATGTAAGTCGAAAATATCTTCAAACCTAAATGGACCTACTAAGATCTTGTGCAAATTGCTATATACAAAACTGCATCCGGTTTATTGCCTGACATCGTTCTAAACAAACGCATTGCATCTTTGCAAATATGCGAAGCGTAGCGTGACCGCACTAATGACACCCAATTGCGATGTAGATTAGATGAATGGGTGCTTACAAAGAGATAAGTCAAGTCAAAGTGCCATAGATACAATGTTTAAGTATCCTAAAGATAAATTTAATTAAATATTATATTTAAAAATGTTATTTTTCCTGCATATTATCATGAAGCATTGAAATGAACAAAAAGCAGATAATAATATTTCTGTAACAAGTAAATAATTACGATAGTAAAAACTTGTTTGCTTTATTGGCTCCGCATTCATCAATTCAGTTCTGACAAACGATAAACTTGATTTACCTCTTACAAAGTAGAAAAGAAGAAACGTAAAAGGGCTTAAAATCTATACATATAATAAAATTGTAACTTAGCCGAATCTGTACATTAAATATTTTTTTGAAAATCTTATTGTAATAGACATTATTATAGATACAAAGACCGAATCTATAGTTCTTAGAATTTTTGTCTGTCTGTCTGTCTGTCTGTTACCGCATCACAGAAAAACCACTGGAGGGATTTTGATGAAATTTGGTATGATGATAGCTGGTTCTCCGGGTCAACACATAGGATACTTTTTACCGCGGGAAAATGTCTCATTTCTGAGAAAAAAATACAAAAATTGCAATGTAAGAGTACTAATATGTAAAACCTAAGAATTTGGTTTTTGGTCATCTGAGTGCGGGCGGAGCCGCGGGGAATGCTAGTTAGTACATATATCCGTTAGATACTTAACAAAATTAGAAAATTCATCCTGTCAAGTAAAGCCCCTAGTTAATAAAAACACAATGGTGTACAAAAAATAAGGCCAATCTAAACGGTAACGGAGTTGTTCAACCTTCGGCACCGGCTCCTTAATGAAAGCCCCAGCCTGTTATTGCGTCATTCACTTTCATTATTAGCGGCACTATTAGCGAGTGGAGTTCAAGACCATAAAGACTTGGACTGGACGTGTAGTCACTGAAGAAAGTCTTATGGCCGACTTCACCAACGTCACCTAAGTTTAAGGGATCCCCTAAGCATGGTTAGGGGGCTGTTAGGGGACAGTTTCTGTTTCACCGACAGTTAGGGGTCACCTAAATATTAAAAGGCCCCCTAAACTTAGGTGCTCGAAATATGGACTTAAAGACGATTGTAAAACGAAATTTAATTTAGGGGCTAGTTTAGGGGACTTTTAAGCTAGGGATCACATACGTAGGTGGTAGCTTAGGTGATGTTGGTGACTTGTCGTGGTGGGGGGGCTCAGTAGTGCCCGGCAACCCAACCGGGCGCGAAGCCAAGAAACGCACAGGGAGGTGGCCCACTACGGTGGGCGGTGGGAGGTGGCCCTCTTCGGAGGGCGGTGTACCATGCGGGTTGCTCCTGGTACTTCTCTGATAGCAGAGTGGACCTTGGAGCAACCCCGTGGTTGTTGTGGTCTGCTTCGGCAGACCTGCCGTCGGAGCGTCGTAGTTGAATGCGTAAGCGATCCTGCGACGCCCCATTAAGACGGGGGAAGGCTTTGTTGGGTTTTAGTGGGTAGTACTGGCTTTGCCGGTGAGTCTCACACCTCGTGCGTAAATGCATTTCCCAACATTAAAAAAAAAAAAAAAAAAAAAGTTATGTTGGTGAAATCGGACAGGGCCTGAAAGTTAGGGAATGGAAAACATTTAATATGTCTACTTATTTTGATTTAAAAAATATGTAGTAAGTACATTTTTTAATAGGTGTATTTTATAGATTTATATTGAATTTCGTCATAATTTAAGCAAGAATATTTACGAATATGAAAATTACGTTCGTAAAGCAATAAAAAATTTCTAATTCCTATGCGTCACTCATTACTGTTAAATGTTTTAAAAATATAAACGACGATAAGGAAATCAATTTTTTTTCAATTTCATAAAACTTTTAAAAACCTGTAAAACAATACTTACCTACTTTAAACATTAAGTAACTCTAGCGTTTGAGACTATATTAATTTACAACACGACGTGTCTTATTTCAAAGGGCGTACAAAACCCTTACAGCAATGGTTATTTATTAAAGCCTAGAGAAGGGTTTGTAGTTAAACTCTACAGTCCTGTAATAGTGAGTAATAAATAAAGCGTTTACAAAAACTCGTGTTCGCCAAATGATTGAAATTCGACCGTAATTTTTACTGATAATTTGGGGAAAACATATATAAATAGAATATTATCCTTATTGTATACTAATTTATAGATTGGTAAAGGCAAAAATAATTCATTACTTAGCGCTGGATTTACACTAGGGGCACGCGGCAGCAAATTTTTAGGGGCGGCCAAATTTGGAGGGCGGGAATAAAATTTCCTTCGCATTATCGAAAGTGCTTTTTTTATTTTACAAAAAATGAAAAATAAAAAACAGATTTACTAGTAGGTACATTTTTCGAAAAAAAATCGATAATATGGCGGCATTTTTACTGTGCCCAGGGGATGCTCATAAGGTTGAATCCGGCACTGTCATTACTATCTATCTATACACATAATAAAATTGTAACTAAGCTGAATCTGTACATTTAATATTTTTTGGAAAATTTTATTGAAATAAACATTATTATCGATACAGAGGCCGAATCTATAGTTTTTAGAATTTTTGTCTGTCTATCTGTTTCCGCATCACAGAAAAACCACAGGAGGAATTTTAATGAAATTTGGTATGGTGATAGCTGATTATCCGGGTCAACATATAGGATACTTTTTACCGCGGGAAAATGTCTCATTTCTGAGAAAAAATGCAGAAACTGCAATGTAAGAGTACACTAATATGTAAAACGTAAGAATTGGTTTTTGGTCATATGAACGCGGGCGGAGCCGCGAGCAATGCTAGTCTCTACATATAATAAAAGTGTAACGGATCGCTGTCTGTATCGTACATGGAAGATATTTGAGAAAAATTATTATTGTGGGTTACCCACACAATAGAACCCAAAAACAATGATTTTTAGAATTTTTGGCTGTTTGTTTGTGCGTTTGTGCGCGCTAATCTCAGAAACGGCTTAACCGATTTAGATGCGGTTTAAACTAGTGTATTGTGGTAAGCTTCACTTAACATTAAGTATTTGTTTTATTACAATCGGTTCATAAATAAAAGAGTTATGTCAATTTAACGAATCACCTAGAGACGAACCCGAGAGAAGCAAGGTTGAGTCGTTAGTAATTTTACATATATATGTACATATCTAATAAGAGATGTAACAATAAACCTGTATCCAATCGTAAATCAGTTGGAAACATAAGTACTCTCGCTCGAGTGCTGAGGGCTTCATCAATCTCTGGTCCCATCACTCACATCTGATGATAGTGGACATCTAAACTAAACAGGACGTCGTTAGGATGTCGGAACCAATTTCGCTTGCATTAAATATATAAGGGGCCCCCGCCTTCGTAGCTGTTGTAATACACGATGACATCATAACACTCAGTTGGTAATAATCATTTAAAAAAAATAAACTTATTAATATATAGAAACTTTTTTGAGTTTAATTATAACCGCGCGGACTTCTAAGGATTTTTTCCATGCTTAATTATGACACAGATTAACTCTAAAATCTACATAAGTGAGCTGTTGTCAATGACAGAAATTAGTACCTACTAGCATTGCCCGCGGCTCCGCCCGCGTTCGATGACCAAAAACCAAATTCTTAGGTTTTACATAGTAGTATACTCTTACAATGCAGTTTTTGTATTTTTTCTCAGAAATGAGATATTTTCCCGCGGTAAAAAGTATCCTATATGTCGATCCGGATAACCAGCTATCATTATACCAAATTTCATCAAAATCTGTCCAGTGGTTTTCTCGTGATGCGGTAACAGACAGACAGACAGACAGACAAAAATTCTAAAAACTATAGATTCGGACTCTGTATCGATAATAATGTCTAATTCAATTAGATTTTCCAAAAAATATTTAATGTATAGATTCGACTTAGTTACCATTTTATTATATATAGAATACCTAGCAGGAAAATCAAATAATTAGCAAATTTAATTGGCGAATATTTTTATCAAAAACTATTGTTTTCCCGCAGCACCATCTGTGTAATTTATCTAAGTAGGTATTTGTTCCGCTCCTAGTCGGAGTGTGCATGATGTTATCGATGTTAGATACCTATTCTATAACTTTCCTCAATTAATCTATAATAATATTATAATTATGAAAGTTTGTAAGTATGGACATATTGATGGATGTTTGTTACTCAATCACGCCAGAACGGCTGAATGGATCTGGATGAAATTTAGCATAGAGATAGATTATAGTTTGGAATAACACATAGACTTTTTATCCCGGACAAATGTACGGTTCCCGTGGGATAGGTTTGTTTTATTCTTCCAGAGACGAACCCGAGCGAAGCGAGGGTAGGCCGCTAGCAGGCTATACATATTACAATGAAAAAACATTTTTCAAATCGAACTGGTAGTTCCATAGATTATCTCATTCAGACAAACTAAAAACCAATTCTTCAGCTTTGTATATCAGTATCTGTATAGATAACATTGTTCCCATATTTTAAAAGAATGTTTACTTGCGATAACCCTTATCAGAATATTAAATTGCTAAGCGAACGTGTTATCTCAAAATAATTAGGTATCTATACAGATAAATAAAATTGAAGTGTCTCTTTGTAATGTTAAAATAACATCTTAATACTAAATGCATACTGAAAGTATATACAGTACTAATAAGAAAAAAATATTTTTTGAGCAGAACTCTAATTCTTGGTCTAAAATAAAAAATAGCTTAAGTTACTCCTTATAACATTAGCTATCTGCCAGTGAAAGCCACATTAAAATCAGTCTAGCCGTTTTGGAGATTAGCTGGAACAAACAGACATTTACAGACAAAAATTATAAAAGTTTTTTTATAAGTACCGTATATGTTTTCATATGCATTTACTAAAAACTGTTATTCTGACATTACAAACAGGACAATTCAATTTTATTTATCTGTATGTATAGATGTATAGATATTAGATAACCTAAATTTCACGTTCTAATGGTTATGTGAAATCTATTAGTTACACTGAAAACTAAATATGTATTGCTAATATCCAAATACAGTCTCCCGAACTCTACCTTTTCTTAACTAAGTATCACGTGACTTAGAAAAAATAATTAAAATTACTATTTTTACAACTTTTATTCCCATTTTCAGCCTCTTAAGGGATGATTTCCGGGATAAAAAGTATCCTATGTCCTTCCCAGGGTCTCAAAATATCTTCTTACCAAATTTCATCTAAATCGATTCAGTAGATCCAGATATTACCCCCTACAACGTCACAATCTCACAAGCTTTACCTCTTTATAATATCAGTATAGATTATATATAGATGTTGCATAATTTGACACATTTATGTCGCTTATAATTCGGTGTCTAGTAAAACGGAGTCATCGTTCGTTGGCGAGAAACTTTTTCTTGGAAGCCATTTTAGCATATTACGAAAAATGATATAGTTTTACTGGAATAGAGTTAGACTGCCGTAAGAAATATAGGTCACCAGCAAACGACGGACGTTTCGACATCGCTTTCGACTCCAGAATTCCACGCATAAATGAAATGAGTATGCGCATGTTTTATTTTTCAGGGATCATAAACCTTGAGGTTTTTTATAGTAGCTATTAAAATGGCAATAAAATTGTAATAGAATCTATTCTTACAGCTTTTATTTTCATTCAAATAAATGATAATAAGGTACCAAATATTACTAGAATGACTTCTTCAAAATGCGTACTCTTATAAACAAAAAAAAGTGCGTGTGTGCGCAATTCACACATGGTGAAAGTGAAACTTAATATTATGTATTTGTCAGCAATAACAATGGTTACCATGGCAACGTGGCAACGTATTCTATCTCATTCTCTCGCCGGCTGAATCCTATATATTTTTGTTTGTCTCTTTTTAGTGTCGCATTTCCGTTTCATCGAGTTTCAAATCACAACAATTCTGAAGAAGTTTCACTTCAAAAACGTAAGACTAAGCAATACATTTATGTTTTACTTTGAATTTATAGCCAGAGACATCTGCCTCATAGAAAGATGAAAGTAAGATTGTACTGCGAAAATCAGACGAGACGCTTCTGTGCAAAATAAAGAGCATTTATTCTACTTTAAGAGTTTCATATTTTTGCAATAAAATACACATAAAAAAATTGTAACTAAGCCGAATCTGTACATTAAATATTTTTTGGAAAATGTTTATTGAAATAAACATTATCATCGATACAGAAGCCGAATCTATAGTTTTTAGAATTTTTGTCTGTCTATCTGTTACCGCTTCACAGAAAAACCACTGGAGGGATTTTGATGAAATTTGGTATGGTAATAGCTGGTTATCCGGGTCAACATATAGGATACTTTTTACCGCGGTAAAATGTCTCTATTCTGAGTAACAATACAAAAACTGTAATGTAAGAGTATACTAATATGTTAAACCTAAGAATTTGGTTTTTGGCCATCTGAACGCGGGCGGAGCCGCAGGCAATGCTAGTTTATTAAAATTAAAGAAATTCATAATGAATTAAGTACTTCACGACATAATGCCGGTCAAGGCTTCCTTCCCCCGTTCAATTAGTTATTTCTATTGTATTTTCGTTAAAAAATTTTGCTTATGAATTATTAAAATTTAGCAAGTTAAGACTAATTTAAATATATGTATACATATAAAGCTTGAAAAAAATAAAAAGCACGTTTATAACTTTTAACTAACCAGTAATAACTTGGTATTTTCAAATCCATATGACGCGACGTCTAGAAGTATCTATAATATGTTAAAAATAAACTTCCAAGACTTGATAACAAAGTTGATTAGCTGTTATAACTTATAAGTGAAGCTAATACACGCGTGATAATTAAATATCGCTTTCAAAGCTTGAACAATGGACACGTAATAAGTAATAACATAAAAATTGTTGACACATAACTATATAAACACCTCAAATATACTTTAAATACATTTTTTATTGCATTATAAGTACAACTGACGACATGTTTGGTTCAGTTTGTAAAGATCCTACTTGCTGTGCCAGCGGTCGCGGGTTCGAGTCCCGCTGGGGGCATTCATTTGTGTGATGAGCACGAATGTTTGTACTCTAGTCATGGGTGTTTATATTTATAATATGTATGTATTTAAAGTTATATATGTGTAGTGTATCAACTATCTGGTATCCATAACACAAGCCTCGTAGCTCACCATGGAACTAGATGGTGCTGTGTGTTAATGTCCCAACATATTTTTTTATATTTATTTATAACTGTGAAATTTATATCATTAGCAGATTTGAAAAAAAAATTAGATACATTATCCGCAAGTGAACCGATTTTATTAGGATTTTTCTAGTTATCCCTCAAAATGGAATACATTTAAGTTATTTAAAGTAATTTACTTACTTTTAAGTTATAAATTAATTATTACTTTAAAAAGATAACTTAACCTTTAACATTTAAGCAAGGAGAGATAAAGCTTACCCTCAGACTTAGATAAGCATATGTAATGGCTGGGCTTCTTGCCAAATAGGCCAGACTGGCGGAGTAATCCTGCATCTGCATCTTCATCGTATGTCCTGCTCACTGGCCAGTATCCTGCTGGACACTTTGCTACACTCTCCACTATTTGGAGAGATAGCAGTGGCCTCTCATCTGGCAGAGCACCACCTAGTGCCGATAGCACTTTCGACATCTTAACTCACATCATAATTCACACATAATTTAAACTAAACTTCACTTGAATGTTACTTTATATCAAAATTAGCAATTCTTTTTCACTTAAAACACTTGTTGAAACATTAGAACCAGCTTTAAATTGTACCTTTGTTATTGTAGTGTAATTCTATTACTTAGTTGAATGGTTAGGCTGAGTAAATTGTTAATCTGCTTAGGCTTGCTTTGTATTTATATCGGATATCAATTGTGTAATTGAGAAGGACCTGCAAAAAAGAAATAATGAATAAGCTCAGTGAGTATTCATGAACAAGTTGTGTTCAGATTGCACTCAATATATTATTTTTGTTCTTTTAAGAACAAATACAGATAAATTTCTTAGATTAAGACTTATGTAAACTTCTAAACATAATATTACCACTAAGATTAAAAAGATAACTAATTAGATATATGTATTTAAAATAAAATTTCATGTCTGGAATTTACACAATATAAAAACCAATGTTTTTTTTTTACTTTCTGTCTAGACTTTGCGGTGTCTGCACCTACATTATATCATATATGTATAGGTAATGTATATGTAATGTGTTTTTGAGCAATATGAAATATAGGAAAGAGGCACAGACTATCTTACTACCAGATTCTGGCAGTACAGATGACTATTTATTAAGTAAATACTCATTCATATTATAATTTATTTCAGGATTATAAAGGAATCTACATAGTTTTTGTAGTTTGGATGAAGATATAATATTTGAATGGATATGTAACATTCATGATTATAATTTATAACTTAATAAAATATATATATTATTCCTATTTTTGATAAATTTATTATAAATATTATGTAAACAAAAGTATATCTTCATGCTCAATTTTGTGTATTTTGCAAACATCTTTACCTCAACCAAATTAATGAATTGGAAATATGCAATATCTTTTCCTTAAATAAGCTTATTTACTGTAAAGCTCTGATGATATTACAGTTTTATTCAAAAAGGATTAAAATAACCTAAAAAACAGTTAGGATGAAATAACACTTTATATAAAAAAGAAGTCTTTATGTTCTTACTTTAATGCATTTAAAAAGAAATATAACATGCCTAATAAATTTGATTAGTATCTACAATCAGTGATGAGAGCACAATGGGTGCACATTTATAAAACTGAACAATAGTCTTTCTCAGCTTTAATAACTGTAAAGAAACAACTTCATTTTAACAATAACAGCCATTGTTCTCAGAATGAAAAGAACTCTTAGAGGATTTGTTTTTCACATTCAATTAGGATTTCAATTTTTTTATCATAAAAGTTTTATATGTTACTCATTCACTCGACATATATTTTTAAAATATATTATACAATTGTTATGACAGTTAGGTAATTAATTATTTTTATTAGATATATATGTATTGGTGAATCATAGTTTATTAGATAAATAAAATAATAGAAAAATATAATAACAGATACCTATTACCTACATTGTACCTTTAAAGATACCTTACCTACATTGTACCTTTAAATTAACAGACAAGTTCAAAATGGTATTATAAATTGCAGTTAATATAAGACATAATTATAAATATTTCTGCAATGACTCAGTCAATTTAGATTCTACATTTGCTCAATTGACATAAGCATTGGTAATAAAAATACAATGATATCCCACTGTCCAGATATTTGCTATATTTGTAAAAGTACCTATATTTAAGTTATTACTGTTACCAAATGCTTGAAAATTGCTAACTTAGTTTATCTATACATATAATAAAATTCTGAGCCAAATCTGTATATTAAATATTTTTTGGTAAATCTTATTGAAATAGTCATTATTATCAATACAGAGGCCGAATCTACAGTTTTTAAAAATTTTGTCTGTCTGTCACCGCATCACAAGAAAACGACTGGACAGGTTTTGATGAAAATTGGTATAATGATAGCTGGTTATCCGGGTCAACTTAAAGGATACTTTTTACTGCAGGAAAATATCACATCTTTGAGAAATTTATACTATTCGTTAAAACATAACTAGGGACGAACCCGAGCGAAGCTAGGACGGTAGATTAGAAACAATAAATCATTATTTAAAATTTTAAAAATATATTGTATTCTTTAACTTATTGCGACAAGTTTAAAAATCTCAAAATATTTTCAATAAGATATAGACATTATTCATATTGAAATTTTCGTAAACTAAAGTTATGAATGGGAATAATTACTTTTTACACAAATACAAATCAATGATAGATTTACAAATACATAAGTCATAACTCTATGTATCTCTAAGGGCATTGTGAATTTTAGTTATGCCATCCATGACCGATTTGGCAAATTTCCATGTTTTATTATACGAGATTTACCAATTGCGTGCAGTCTTAGCTGTTACTTTTAATATTGCAGATTCCTTTAAGATTTACAGAGAACGTTGACCCCTACTATTCATAATGACCATCAAAGTATTTGATAAGCTTACCGTAGTCATGACATCACGAACAATAACACGGCACTGAGCTAAAGTAGGAGCTCCAAGTTTTTTCAACTGGTGCTTTTTCACATAAAATTAAGATTAAACATCAGGAGTCATGTAAATTTTATTTTGATATATTGTGTCACTTTAATATCACTAATAAGATAGCCGAGAACGTGCACTATCATATTATTTCAGTAAATCAATGATTATTTAACAACAATCCTCCCGTACGAAAGAAAACTACAAAATGAACACAGATTACACGATAGTAAATACTAAATATTAATGATTGATGAATGTAATATAGAATGGTATAATTACAGATATAATATAGTTTGTGAGACTGAGATTGTATGTCGATCTTGGAATTGAATGGAAATGTTTTGTTCTTCAAGGAAAAGTGTTGCCATGATACAATATAAAACTATGACCTAAGTTTTAACAGTAAATTAAATATAAATAAATATATTTGAATTACTGTTAAAACTATTAATAATTATTTAAATAATGTAATCAATTGTTATTTATATTAAAAACGGAATGTAATTAATTTATTTAATACTTTTAGTAAATATTATAGACTTGCAGTTTATTATCTAAACAATGTCTTTATTGTAAGTAGGGGAGCCCAAGAGGGGATTTTGAGATTTACTCGAGCGCGGCCTTTGATCAACAGTAGTATTGTTTATCGAAGAGCGCAGCAGATTAACATAAGGGGGATTGGGAAGGTAACCACCTTGCATTCTGTTATTCCTTCCAACATAAATAAGTCTTCTGCATAAGGCTGCGCGTCTAAGTCAGCTTATCAAAATATTTAAAAAATATTTTGACAAAGTAGAAATACTCAAAACCATCAGATTAAGGTGAGTAGGCTATTAATATTCTGAAAAGTGTACAATATATGTAGCACTATTTAGTGTATAAAACTGTGAAATGCATTAATAATTATAACTGGTACCACCAGTTCGGCCATCCATTAAATAATATCGGCTACTCCTCGTGTGTACGCTAGGTCAAATTTGGTCTAACCCGAATCTTGTCGTATAAAGCGCCCTCTATTAAGTAATGTCAAAATTACATATTTCTATTTTTTATTTTTGACCATTATTATCCATGTTTGTCTATGTTGTTAATCAGGGGCGGCCTTAGCCATTGCGAGGCCCCGGGCAGGAGATCTTTGCGAGGCCCTTATTTTTTATGAAATTTATGTGAATTGAAAATATTTTTAATGATGATTCTTGACGAGAAATATAAAAGATATAAATAAATAAATTTAGAGTTTAAAAATTGTATATTGCAAATTTAGAAAAGTTAAAAAGCACAAAGAAGACAAGATTATTTTGTCAACATTTTTAGGTTTTGCGTGACTCGCCATTAATTCTATTAGCTCATTTTGAATTATTTTTCAGAGATAGTGGACATTATTTGTATCTTTTTAGCAGCGCTAGATTCACACTAGGGGCACTCCGGGCTAGTGCTCAGGGCGGTAAATTCTTAGAGGCAGCAAAATTCGGAGGGTGGGGAAAAAAATGTCTTTACGTTATCGAACATGCTTTTTTTATTTCCCAAAAGATGAATAATTAAAGAAGATTAACTCGTAGATACATTATTCGAACAATTAATATCACTTATAAATTATTATTTCTGCATTTTTCAAAAAAATAATAATTATTGAAACTATTCATTTTATGCAAAGTTGCGATAATAGGGCGGCATTTTTTTATAGTGTCCATGGGCGGCACTAAGGTTGAATCTGGCACTGCCCTTTAGAATTCACGAGCTCGAAGGAGCTCGGTTGTTTGGAAGGCTTGTGTCCACATGTCCAACACGTAGATACCCCTTAAGAGATTTAAATGTTTAATATGACGCATATACCGGCATCTATCTCTGAGTAACCCATAAGGAATTGCTTAAATATTGTCCGGACAATGCGTAGGGACTATGGAAAATATGGAAAACTAAAAGAGTCTATGGAATGGAGTTTGGATGTGCTACAAAACTGGGCTATTGGATGAGACAACCGAATGTCCGCCTTCTCAACAGTCTTAGATTCAATATTTGGCAGACGGTGACTCGCCTTCCACTAGTGGCATAGCGCTTCGGCACAACATCAGTGTGGTCGGCTAAGATTATCGAGAAGTGTGCACCGTTTTCACCATCGCATGTGCTTGTGGGTTTCCCCGTTATTTTACAGATTGAGCACTTCTACCCATTCAAGGACTTGGCTCTTGCACTTCACTCTGGGCGGCCAATGAAGGAAAGCCTCTGGGCTAAAGAGTCAATAGTTGTACAGCTTTTTAATCCGTTCTCTAATCCGTTCACAATCCGTTCTCTAAATTTAACCGTTTTAACATACAATCTTTGTGCAGCCGAAGTCGTGTAACTTTAAATATTTACCGAGGTGCTTCCAATTGCAAAGTTCTGCACTGGACCGAATTCTTTATATTCTATTCTGAACAATCGAAAGAAGAAGTAAATGGCATGTTTTGTTTGTGAATAAATCATCTAGTGCTTGTCCAATTTTTCGCCATAAGCTAATATTTTGTTGTAATTATACCTATTCACTGAATCACCGTCTATTATCGTTTACGGTAAAAAAAACCGTCTTAGCGCAGATTGGACCTTTCAATGAAATCTCATTTCGGTTTGCATCAGTAATTGTTGATGGCCATAAACCTGAGTCACTTTAAGTATTGAGTATAAAATTTTCAATTCCGCCACTCATGGGTGAAGACATAGATTTAGATTCGTATTTCTGGCTGGATAGTGTTGACGACGGCGGTGGATTAGCAATAATGTTGTTTACTAACTTTTATCATCGCTAAGTAGCAGCGGCATCCCAGACGATGTCGAAAAAATTATTTCAGCTGCTTTAGGCTTAGAATGCAATAACATGTCACTTTTAGTCACTGGAAGGTCTTAAGGACTTAGAAGCTTCTTGACCATCACCTTTTATATATTTAAATAGAGACCCATACAGTTTTTCTTCTACCTGCTTTCTTTTGATGGCTTGATGCCTTTTTGAACTACCAAACTCAATTTTTCTACTAGCATCACAATCGCGCGAACTCATTTAGAAAATATTTTTTGCACATAAAATTAATAATTAATAAATTACAAGCAGTTGGACGCAGTTTTTTTTCTAATTCACTCTTTACTATAATTACTATAATAACGTAAAATTTAATATCAATGGCTTATTGACTTAAACGCTATATGCTAGTACTAGCGCGATGTGGGTTTTGTAATGTCCGGCGTAAGGCAGGAGATTCTGATACACTTGGGTTGTTATGCGAAGGCGCGAGGCCCCTACAAAAGCGAGGCCCCGGGCGGTTGCCCTGCTTGCCACCCCCTAAGGCCGCCACTGTTGTTAATATACTTCTTTTTTAACATAATTCAGTGAATTATACAACTAATCAATTATAAGTACTTTAATATGAAAAGGTACAAAGACAAAAAACTGTAACAAACTAATTTTGTCATTATGTATATGATAGCATATGTATAAGTAAAAAACAAGTTGATTATCTTAAAATTTCCGACGGAAAGGCGAACAAAGTTTTATGGTTTATTTGAATCAATTACACCTCCAAATTTTTCATCATAAATTATGATCTCTACAAAGATATGTTTTTAATTTTATACTGAGTAGTAATAAAAAAAACATTAAAAAACGAAACACTATTATAATTAACAAAGTCCTTTATTTAATATTGCATTAATATATATCTATACAAACTACAAGGCAATTAAAATATATCACGATCAAATATTACAGTATCAACTGCAAATCTCACATATTATATGCACTAAACTGCATAACAAGATCACAAAATTTTATTGGAGACAGATACTGCATATTAATAATGAAAAAAAAATATGTTTTATTAAATATTAGTAATAAATATAGAAATCATTATTTACCAATTTGTGTTTCTAAAGGATTTTACTATAGCAATATAATATCACAACATCATGGAACTATGGCAACTAATATTATTCCAAAACTTTGAATGGTAGAGTTGTGCAATCACTAGTGCCCGATGAGGTTGTGAAGTAAGGAATTACATCTGACAAATAGTTGCGAGGAAGAAGACCAATAAGCAAAGCAATTTTTGCAGCAATAGGTGCTTTCTCTTCATCATCAACTATTTTATCCTGATCTGGCATTACCTGCAAAAATTTCATTTTTTTTAATGAATTTTGTCATTTGTTTAATAATTAACCTGATAAGTGATATACAATATTGTTCAAAACATTGTAATAAAGCATTAGAAAAATATGAATGGGACCCACAGATACGGCAGAAATCTTCTGTTGTAAATACGTTGTATTTTTAATTTATCCAAATCAAAATGTATATGTAATTGATGATTTTTTTTAAAAATACAACTGTTTTTTGCTTAATAAAAAGATTCCCATTTTAACCCCCGACGCAATAACGACGGTATGTTATAAGTTTGACGAGTCTGTGAGTGGCATCATAGCTCCCGAATAGATGAACCGATTTCGATTTTGTGTTTTTTTTGTTTGAAAGGTGAATTAGTCGAAAGTGTTCTTAGCTATGTTTGATGAAAATCGGTCCAAGATGGCCGCCGCCACGAAATGGCGGACTACATGTTTTTTCACAACTCCCTCAATATGGGTATCAAATGAAAGGGCTTGATTAGTAGAGTACTATACACTATGATAAATTTCAAATCCAAAATGGTGAATTACATGTCGGGTTTTTTTTATTTTTAATTTAATTTTTCATTACCTTATCAGCAACATGTTTCTGGATAAGGCCATCAGATCCAACATAAAATGTTGAAAAACCATCATACCACCTGAATAAAAAAAAAACAATTTTTAAATATTTTTCTTGATATTAATTTATACTTAGAATGCATAATACTTACAATTCCTGATCTTGGAACACTTGTTTCATGTCCCATAGCTTATATTTCCAAAACATAAAGAATACCTTGAAACCTGATATACCTCTGATTCTCCATCTCATCCTAGAATTAATGATTAATTAATGGCTTCAAAGCATGCCGGCTGAGCACAGAATACTTTACTAATGTCATCAAGTTTGTTTAATATTTCATTAAGAGCTGAGCGGATTATAATATATACCTGATTGAAGAGTCTTCTGGATGTGGTGTAATCTTCAGTATTTCAAAATTTACATAAGCAAATTTAATGTGTGCTACTGTGCGCAGGAGTGCAACTTGTTTTACATAGTGGAATAAACCTCTAAAAATAAATTATATTACAACAATATCTGGTCATTATAAAATGTTATAAATATATTTCTTTATATTGTATTAAAATCTTATATAAATGAACTTTAACTTACACAGTAGTGGTGCCCCTTATATTGTTTACGAAAATTAAATTGGGATGGTAGATTGAATAGTCCAAAGGCTTAATAAACAGACTAGGCATCTGAAAACAAAAGCAATTTCTTTTAAATCTCAATGTAGTTATACAATACTCAAAAATTAATTTTTGATATAATATAACATTTAAATAGCTTATATCTATCTTATTTAAAGCTTACAGTAGTAGAGAGAGCCTTAAATATCCTCATAAGCTGTTCTTCACTAGGTTTTCCTTCATTATCGGATTCACTAGTTGGAGTAGTTGTCTGTGCAGATACTGTGGGCCCACTACAGTAAGCAATTGCATCTCGCTCAAAATCAGATAAGCATGTAGGTACTATATCCTGTAAAGTTCTCAAAAATTAATATAAAGTTTTGTGTATGTCAGTATTTTATAACTGTTTAAAAAGTCATACAAAAGATTAATAATTTCATATTTATGTTTACCTCATTGCATTTTGAAAAATCTACATCATTCATACTAATAGAGGGAATTTTATATGAATTAAAAGAAGTGGTCTGCTTCTGTTCTACATAATCATCACTATTCAAACTTAATATTTTCATGCCATCTATGCAATAATTGAAGTGATTTTCTATAATATCATTGGTTTCTTTTGAATCTATTTTGTCTATGAAAGTTAGTTTCGGCATTTCGTTCGAGTTTCGTATTAGATAACTATTGGCAATGGCAATCTCATGAACATAGATATCATCAATGTTACTTTCCACCGTACATTTTGGTGCCGTCTGGCAACTGGATATGCGCCTCTTGCTAAGAAACTGAAAAAATATATTAATATCTCACACGACACATAATTGATTCGAGGTCAAATTTGATGTGATAAATAACCTTTTTCAAAATTTTGTTGTCAGTAGTATAATATATTAAGGTGCTAGCAGGAAATTCTTACAATGTTATAATACTAAATCAATGAGGAAAATACTTACATCTTCTAGAAATTGCGTACGCACTGGGATTTTTCGCGATAGCCGATTGGAATGATTTTTGGTAGTAACGATTCCGTTTAATGGCAGTATTTTATGAGAAAACGTACGTAAACAGATAGCCATGTTTACATTTACTTTAATTAAGTTCTACCGACAAATATTCCATAAATATTCGAAATTTTTCGCAATACAGAAACATTGCAAATCAGCCACACCGCACATGACAGTTGCGTTCAATAACTTTATAAGGAACTTTTAATCACTATGTAAAATGTTCTTATAATAATTTCTTATAGTATCACAAAAATGACACTAGTTTTATTTTTAAAATTGGCGATATTATTCGATAAATTATCAATGTATAACATACTGACTTTATTTATTTTCAGGTATACAGTATGTTTATGATAATGAACGACTGAAATTTCTGAAATCAGAGTTCAGACCCGTCAAATGATATTCAATTTTAAATTTCAATGTCAAATTGTATAAGTTTCAGCTGGGGACTTACTGCGAATTAAAATACGAATTTGTGTAGTTTTATTTGATATTGTTATCTAAATTTATTTATAATATACAAATAAAAAAACTATTTTTCATAAGTTCCAAGACACTACAGTCAAGAATCCAAGCGGAACATATAATGAATATTAAAAGGATTTTACCCAGAGTATATGGATTACTTGTAACAAATATTAACACAGTATGTATATTTCTTTTAAAGACGGAGAGAGAGAGAGAGAAAATGAATGAATAAATAAACAATTTCTATATTTAGTAATTTATTTATTATAAATATGTATGACATTCCTTGCAAGTCTATCATTTAAAAATTCAATTATTCCAATATTAAATAGGATAATAAATAAGCATATTAAGAATTAATATAACTAGAATATTGAACCTGAAAATAAATGTACCCATCATTGTTACAATTTTATGATCAGATTTGTAGTTTATGACAAGTTCTTTACACCTTGTTATAGAATACTCCTGTATCCTGTACCACATTAAGGTTCCAGCACAGTAAAAATGATATAAGTGAACACAGAGCTAAAATTTTGGCTCGGGGGCTTCCTGAAAAGAAACCATTACCTGGAGTAAAGAGTATAATCCTTGTTGCATCTGGAAAAGGTGGTGTTGGGAAAACAACTACTGCTGGTATGTTCTAAACTTTTAACCCATACAAAACTATCATAATAAGTATAAAATAATAATATGATTTTGCTATTTCAAATCTAACAATGTTGACATACAAGCAGACTTTTTTATTATTCTTTATTTCTATTTTTTTAAATTAACCATTTTTATAATTTCAAATCTATAATAATCTCCATAATAACTAATATAAAATGTACAATATTTGGATTAATCACAAAAAGTAATAAATTTATTATATAAAGGTAGTAATATTTTGATTAAATTTTATTCTGTTTTGCTATTATAGGTAGAAAAGCATAAACCATCTTATATATCTTTTCTAGTGAATCTCGCATGTGCTATGAAAGTAATAGAACCTGATAAGGAAATAGGTCTATTAGATGCAGATGTGTTTGGTCCTTCAGTACCACTTATGATGAACATTAGCGGAGAACCTATGCTTAATGATGATAATCTCATTGAACCTCTACTTAACTATGGTGTAAAATGGTATGTTCATGTAAATCTAATTGTATAATTTTTTGTATCTTTTTTTTGATTATCAAAAATTATGTATTTATACTGTTTTTTCTTATATACATATATCTGCACTGTCAATCGAAGCACTTGCTGCATGAGAGTTCATTGTCTGTGATTGCCTACTAAAGTTAGGTACATTTAATCCATGTTAATCCATACAATGACATTTTATTTTAGAATAAAATTTAATTTAAAGTTGAATTTTTGGACACAACCTTATTAAAAAAATATGATTTTTAAATCAGTCCACAATCAATTAATGTTGCAGTGATAAATAATTATGAGACACGAAAAATCTATCCCTCGAGAACCATATATTTTTCGTAAAAATATACAGTTAAGTAGCCTATATATATACATAGTATGTGTTATTCCAGACTATAATCTATCTCTGTGCCAAATTTCATCCAGATCCGTTCAGTCATTCTGGTGTGAAAGAGTACCAAATATCCATACATAACTTTATTTTTCTTTGACATTTGTAATATTAGTATAGATATTAACCATTAATATTTTTTATAATATTATGTCCCTATAATATCCTTTATACTTCCAGCATGTCAATGGGTCTGCTAGTGTCTGGTGAGAATGCTGTAGTATGGCGAGGACTGATGGTGATGCAGGCACTGGACCGACTGACGAGGCACGTGGCGTGGGGACCGCTCGACTGTCTGATAGTGGACACTCCACCCGGCACGGGGGATACGCATCTCTCCTTAGCTCAGAATCTGCCCATTGATGGTACGTTTGAATGAAATCGAGGCTGTTGCATTTTGTATATGTAATAATGGCTTTTAAATTAGTTTTTATTTATTTTTCTATCTCCGAAAGTGATAATGAACAAAAAACTCATAATTCGATATCAACTAAATTTAGTAAGCATATGAAATTATGTCATATTTTTGCGAATACTTGCTGTTTATAGAAGCACTTAAGCTTTTCATATATTAATTTCCAATTAATAGAAATACACATATGACTCATACGCGATATAAACAACGAAATTCGATGCGAAAAACGATGAGTTTTACTGTATAGTATTAGTGTATAACTAAATTTTATTTGCATAGTTTTGCGATAGACTCTTAGGTTAATGTTAATTATTATTATGTACGCATTGTTTTAAAAAATGTAGCTATTACAGATTATTTAAAAAATATATTGGCTGTGTAGACTGGACAGCTTTTCTACTGGAAAAACGTATAATTCACTTGTGGTCGATACCTAATAATTTTGTGTTACTTTGAAAAATAAGCACAAAATAATAAAAGCCTTATGCCCGATTTCACCAACAACCCATAAGCTACCACCTACTTATGGGATCCCTAGCTTAAAATTCCCCTAAACTAGCACCTAAATTAAATTTCGTTTAACCATCGTCTTTAAGCCCATATTTCGAGCACCTAAATTTAGGGGGCCTTTTAATATTTAGGTGACCCCTAACTGTCGGTGAAACAGAAACTGTCCCCTAACATTCCCTAACCATGCTTAGGGGATCCCTTAAACTTAGGTGACGTTGGTGAAATCGGGCATTAGATACAGATACTTCATGGTGTCCACTGTCCATATACGCCAAAATTATAAAGACTCGTTGTTTTAGAAAACAGTGACTAGACAAATTTTATTTCCACCAAGAGTTATAAGATATATACCTACATTTTATATCTTCTTTGTAAGCGTCTTTATTATCTTTTGTTTAGAACTATTTAACCTCTGCTATGCATGAAATAAGACTATATGATAAATATTGCCAACTGTATCTTTGTGGCTGGCTGCTAGCCATTTAAATTTATTTGATAGATTCATAAAATAATACCTATTAGTCAATAATCTAGCTCTATTGATATGTTCAAGAGAAAGTTTTAATATTGTCATCAATATATAATTATTCAATTGTTAGAAATATATTAAATACTAGTGACTCACCCTTGCTCCACGTGTACTCGCAGTTACATTTTACCGTTTACCTCAGAGATGATATATTTTCCTGCAGTAAGAAGTAACCTATATGTTGACCCTGATAACCAGCTATCATCTTAGGTACCAAATTACATCAAAATCTGTCCAGTGGTTTTTTCTTGATGCGGTCACAGACAGACAGACAAAAATTCTAAAAACTGTAGATTCGGCCCCTGTATCCATAATAATGTCTATTTCAAAAAATATTTAATGTACAGATTCAACTTAGTTACAATTTTATTATATGTATAGATAGTATATTCCACTAACATCCATTAAATATTATAAATGTGAAAGTATTTGTTTGTTTGTCCTTCTTTCACGTCGAAACGGAGTGACGGATTGGAGTATTTTTTTTATGTGGGGATAGTTGGAGGGCTGGAGAGTGACATAGGCTACTTTTTACCGCGGGAGATTATCTCATTCAAACGGAAAACCGTTATAATACAACCCAAAAAATATTTTTGATCAGAATTACTTAAACTTTGTATTAATGCTCTTCAATACAATTAAATAAATACGTGTTTTAGCATTTTTCGAAATTCATGAATGGTTGTGATGAAAGTTTGTGTGAAACCTACCTTTTTAAGTTTTTTTGTAAATTCAAAAGTTTCTTTGTTACATCTTCACGTTGCAACTGCTGAAGGGATTTGAATAAAATTTGGAAAGGAGATAGTTTATATCTTTGATTAACAAAAATACATATTAACATTTTATTTACGTACCTATTACGTATGCGAAGCCGCGAAGAAAAGCTAATAAATCATATTCAAGTTTCATTTGTCATTAAACGTTTATTGTTAAAATTACTTATTTTACAAAAAATAATCATCCACAGGTGCGATAGTAGTAACAACACCTCAATCGGCCGCTTTGCAAGTCACCAAGCGGGGCGTCAATATGTTTGAGAAACTGAAGGTCCCTATCATTGGGCTGGTCGAAAATATGTCGCACGCGATATGTCAAAAGTGCGGTACAAAGAACTATATATTTGGTAACGAAACAAAGAAGGCCGCTAAGGAAATGGGTCTTGAGATTATAGAAAGCTTTGAGGTCGATTCAAATATGTCGGAATGTATAAATAGCGGTAAACCAGCAATATACGCACTTCCAGATAGTGTCCACGCAGAGAAGTACCGGCATCTGGCCAACAAGGTGTTCAAGTATATATCGGATAAAGACAAGCAGGAAGCGGAGGCCGATAAGCAGTAATTGCATGCAAAATATTTACAAATATTATATGTTGAATTTGTTTATTATTATTAAATATTTTACAAATAAATCTGTTATATAAAAGACTTTGTCTGACTTACATATACAACATGGCAAAGGCTGTCTCGCACTGAACTAGGCTACAAAATAAAAATTAAAAAAATATTATGTCATATTTATTCAGAACGTTTCATTTACGAGTCCAACTATACTTCCCAAGCGTACAATAAAAATAAATATAAAAAAATACTATAAAAATATTTTTTGTCTTTTCAAATAGATTTTCGTAGAAATTTAAATTAACAAAGAAGAACAGTGCTATTATATTGTAACATCGCGTCTTAGACTCGTCATAACTGCATTTAAAAAATAAAAATTTATATCATAATAATATTTTTTAATTTATAAGTGATCAGTCAATAAGTACAAATACATATATTTACATATTTGTTACAGTAAATTCGGAATGAAATTACAATATTATATTAAGTGCTATGCGAAATTTTAACTCGTGTTTCTTATTAATATGTTGACGATTGCACTTACACAACCAAACAAAACCATCACAGTGATGATCATAGACAAGACACTAAGAATAATCTAAACAATAAAAAAACAGGAACAATTATTGTGCAAATAGTTTATAAAATGTCAATATTTTTAAAGATATCGTTTAACATGTCAGCCATGAAATATGAAATTGATGAAACATTTATAAGAATACTACATTAATATTGAATATTACGATAAGATGTTGGATCTGGGATGATCCGTATAGAAACAAAATTCTAATATAAAAAATGCTTATAATATCCACCTACTTTTAGAACAAGACAGTACATTTTACGCATTTTCAAAAGTAGAATATTTTGTTTAGATTATTGTGTATATCCATTCCATATTCAAATTTTAAATACAGTACAATTTGAATATGGAACAGACTCAGATATATTTGTATATAGCAAATAAAATGGCCGTTTAATTTTGAGACAGCAAAAAAATTCACTTAAAACATGAATTAAAAAGAAAACAAAACGTACTGTCCAGTTAATACAAGAACGGCTTTAGCGCGAAAAAAAATCACAAAATCTACATGATATTTATATTTAAAAAAAAAACTCCCTTCAGTGCCCTCTAGTGATGATAACCAATCCGCATATTTACATAGAAACACTGCCAACAATGTTATTGATATAGTCTTTACACTGTCACTACCACTTCTTCTTGTGCTCGTCCATACTGACGCCGCCGGGCCCTAAGTACACTATCATGAGGAGACCGCCGATCACCGATAAGGTCTGAAATTGAAATTATATTATTTTAATATTTATATTGAGGACATTATAAAACATTTAAGCGGAAATTTTACTGGTTTGTGTTTTATATATAGTTGTTTATTTTTAAGTAATACTGCACTGTATGTTTCTCAAATATATTAAAAATAAATAAAATATTGCATTAAAATACATATGGAAAGTTTTCGCGTTCAACAACTTACTAGACAACTCATGGCATAAACGTGGAGAAACAACTCGAAAGAAATTTATATTGTAGAATTTAAATTTAATTATCTCAATTGACTAAATAAAAGGATTATAAAAATCAGTAGATAAATAATCCAGTCTTAAAAACTCTTATCTTATACATACTTTTAATTGATATAATAAAATTAGTGAGTTTGTTCCTCGTTTAAGTAATGAAGCAAATTCAAGCATCAGCAAGTGTATCTAAGGTTTTTTTTTAAATATTAGTTACTGAAGGACAGAAGTTAGGCCAAGAGTGAACCAAGAACAGGTTGTTATAGAACTGAAATACAAATCATGTTTTTTAAATGATAAGATTGGAATAATATGATATTTCTATTGATAGCTAAGTACTTATTATGTAGTACTGACGACAATATGAACATAATTTTTAACAATTTAAATAATTTCATATATATAATTATACTTTCATGTTACTATTACACATATAATATTAAAATACGTAACTGTTACAGTACTATTGCTGAATTTAAAAGTTATAAATAAAAAAAGTAGGTAGATTATTAAAAAAAAAATAAAAAAAAATCTTATCAAAGTCATAAATTAACTTCCGACATATAAATCAATACCAACACTCCAAACACTAATGCGTATTTATTAGTTTGACCTACCCCGCAACACCACATCGACATTTCCTGATCTAGATTCTCATCCCGGCATATCAATATCTTATATGTACCTTACTAGAATATTACAGAGCTTATAAGTATGAGGAACTACTCAATAGAACTATTATTATACATGTGAAAGTTTATATGTCTGTGTATGTTTGTTACTCCTTCTGTCCTTTGAAAACTGAAACAGCTCTACGAATTTGGGTGAAATCTAAATATATAGTACACAAATAGATATATGTAATAATTTCTTAGATTAACGCGAATATTTGACATTTTAAATAAAAATAACTTTTCGGATTTCTTCGCGGATTTATTTAGATTTTTGGTTCTAGACGTTTCGAATGCTTTACAGCAATCATGGTCACTGGAGAGACTAAGATTGTAGAAGTACTAAGGTAAATAATTAATTTTAACTCACCTGGAAGAAGTCGTACTTGAGGAAGTCCCTCAGAGGCTTATAGTTGGGTATAGCCCACCAAGCATTGTGGTAGAGGTTGAGGACGGTGAGCACTAGCACCAACATGAGAGCCGACAGCTTGGTGCGGTAACCGATCGTCACCAAGACCATGAGTACGCTGCCGAGCAAGTCTTGCACGATCTGGATAATTGAGATTATTGTTTTAGAAAATTTGACTAAATGAAGAGATTACAACAGCATCTTTTTATCACCGACGAAAAATAAAGTGGATGGACTATATCCATCAAGCGATAATGGGAGTGGAACTGTATATGTTTCCGTTTAGTAGTTAGGTTCTCTCAGACGTGCAGGTTTTGTCACATGTTTTCGAGGATCATATTAACAAGTGCTAATCATGTTATGTCATATGACAAGACAATTTAAAAATATAAGTGAACATTTTATTTTACATCCTAAAATTAAGAGAATAATTTGAAAGACTCGTTTTCAGGGGCTAACTAGTAGTTACTATTAATACGTGTACAAACACTGTTACATATAACGTCTCTGTGGAGAAAAAAGACTTAAAATAAGTTTCAAATACTAACAACAAGACCCTTATTAAGTATGCGTGTTTCAGAAAGTAGATATATTAAACCTTTTTTTAAGGAATTTTTTTAAGGAAAAACGAGGAGTCGCCAGTCATATACATCAATTGCGACAAAGATTTAAGCAAAATTACTTAGAACTTCACAGAAAATTGATTCTCATAGTATTTTTTATAAAACTTATTTTCTTCTTTTTTGTTAAATTAGATATCTATAAAAGCTATTCACAAGGTGTACCACACAAAACTCCTTACTCCCTTTCACACACACACAACTTCCTACAATTCATTCAAAATCAATCACACATGAACCTACCACTCACACACAAAACATCTTGCTCTCTCATTTTCTGCTCATGGGATTGCACAAAAATTTTGGCATCCTCTACCTCATATTACAATAATTGTTTATTATATTTTCTTACTCAAATATTCATTATAAATGGCGACTAAATCTATTGAAATGCTTTACCAAAATACTCGAGGATTACGAACCAAAACACAACAATTTAAACAAAAACATACTAAATAATGAATTTGATTTTAATATTAATTACAGAATCCTGGCTATGTCAGAGTATATATAATGGTGAAATATGCGATGATAGATATGACATCTTTAGATGTGATCGACACAAAGGTACATCCCTGAAGGAAACGGGCGGAGGAGTTATGCTATGTGTATTGAAAAAATTTCAAGCACAACATAAACAGGATTGGATGTGTAATGGCGTAGAATCATTATGGATTAACTTTACCCCTTAATAAAATGAATAGCTACGAAAATGAAAATAAAAATATTCATATTGGTTTGTTCTACGCCCACCAGACAAGATGTTGCCCAGTAGGTTGGAAGCAATAACTGCTTGCATTGCCCAGGTAATATTGATCCATCCTCACGATCATTTTTTTATAGCAGGTGATTTCAATCTATGTAATACTAGGTGGACTGAAAATGGACCTATACATACAAGCTACAGTTCTGCTTCCTTATTAAATGCGGCCATGGACTTTTTAGATATGTGCAAATTTATATGGACTCAAGCAATATAAATAATATACTGAATTCAAACATAAAATTCTCGACCTTATCTTTGCGAATATGTAACATATTAATGTATCTCATTCCAAGACTCCCCTCGTGATGGAAGATGCACATCACCCATGTCTAGAAATAAGCTTAACAAATCTAAATATACGTACTTTTCGCCCAAACCCATTAGCAAACCAAACTTTTATAAAGGTGATTATGAAAAAAATTAATGATCATTTGCTTAATATTAATTGGAACCTAGCCTTACAAGCGCGGACAATAGATGACGTCATGGATACTTTTTACACTATATTATATAATTTAATATCTGAATACATACCTATAAAAATATTAACTCTTATAAATTTCCAGTGTGGTATACAAAAGCGTTAATTCATATAATCAGGGATAAAAAAAGAACCCATAAACGTTGGAAAGCCTATAATAACCCTCGAGATTACGATGAATTTGCTTTGCTTCGAACAAGACAGAAATCTAAGCAAATAGAATGTTTTGACAAATATACTTTGCAAATGCAAGAATATATCAAAAAAGAACCTAAAAACTTGTTTTTGACATATTTGAACTCATTAAAACACAACAAAAGTAGCTATCCTAATAATCTTACCTACGAGGATAATATTTACACCGAAGAGACCGAAGCTTGCAATGGATTTAGTAGGCATTTTGACAGTGTATTTATGAAACCTGCTTCATCATATAAAGACTTAGATCTACAAACGAATAACGTAAATGATTCGATTTCTGGGTTCATCATAACTGAATGTACTGTCTTGAAACAATTAACAATGCTTAACGTAAGTAAAGGCCCGGACATGGAAGCGATAACATACCGCCTATATTTCTTAAAAAATGTGCAAAAAGCTTGGCTAGACCCCTTACAAATTATTTTTAATTTATCTATAAATACTTTTGGTTTGCTTTCCTACAAAATGGAAAGAAGCATTAGTAGTTCCAATTCATAAAAGTGGATCAAAATCTTTAATAACAAATTATCGACCTATTTATATTAAATGTCATGAGCAAAATATTTGAGAAAATAATACGTGATAAAAAATTAATTTTAATATTAAAAAAATGCATTCCTATCGAACAACATGGATTTATGCAAAGACGCTCTACAGTGTCGAATTTAGGAGTTTTCACTGATTACGTCCCTTAAACAGTCATGGATGAAAAAAGATCAAGTTGACGTAATCTACACTGATTTCGAAAAAAGCTTTCGATCGAGTGATCATGTAATTTTATTGCGTAAACTTGATCTTCTGGGTATACATGGAAATCTGTTAAGATGGTTTCGTCATACGTTAAAAATAGAATGCAGGCAGTTAAAATGGGAAGTGCTAGGGAGTAACTTCTTAAATATATCATCGGAGTACCTCAAGGCTCTATCTTGGGACCTCTTTATATAACGCATACTTATTTGACATAAGTAACTGCTTTAAGCACTCTCGCTTCCTGATGTTTGCTGATGACAAGAAAATATTCCTCAGAGTTCGTACTATTGAAGAATGCAAAAAGTACAAGCAGACTTAGATAGGCTAGCTACCTACTATGAGACAAATAGAATAACGATAAATATTAATAAATGTCATCATATTACGTTTACCCGAAAACTTAAACCTATTGACCACACTTACAGTATTAACGGAGCAACAATTGGCAAGGTCTCATCAGTGAAGGATTTAGGTATTACATTAGACCAAAAATTAACATTTAGCGAACATTATGAAATTATAATCAACAAGGCTTATAAACAACTCGGGTTTATTAAGCGTGCAACCTCTAGTTTTAAAAATATAGAATGTATCAAAATGCTTTATTTTGCATACATACGAAGTCTACTAGAATATGCCAGTAGTATTTGGTCACCTTATCATAAATCAGTATATACAGAGAATCGAAAAAATTCAAAATGTATTTGTAAAATACTTACAATTTAAAACACACATATAAAAAATTTGATACAGATCGTGATGCATATGAATATTATCATATAGAAACACTCGAAAGTAGACGAGCACAAAGCGATATGAAAACTGCTGCACGCAATATTAAACAATAAGATTGATTGCCCTGAACTTCTATCAAACATATCCTTTCAGGTTCCAAAGCAGCGAACGCGCCATACACCCTTGCTATATGTACCTCCTACTAAAAACCAATATGCCAAAAATTCCATCTTAACGCGATCAGTTAAAATTTATAATGAACAATACTCTGATTTGGATATATTTAAGTTATCTGAAGTAGTCTTTAAAAAAGAGATAAAAAAAAGAAGTATAGCCATTAAGTCATAATACGTGAGCAGTCATTGATTTGTTTATTTTAAGTAATAATAATAGAATTTATTATTTGAGCATACACACTCAACTTCACACAATACACACATACATACACACACACACACACAAGCACACACGCACACATACACCTTTATATTTTTTTACCTTTGCACCAAACATAATAGATATTATCTTTAGATCTAAAAAAACATCTTTTGAATATCTACATTTTATTTTACCATTTTGATGCCTGTTGTTCATTATTATAGTATTTTTAGTGTAATCTAATTTTGGCCTTATTGTAACTCTCCTTTGTGTACAATGTGCAATCTTAAGTAATACTGTAACGCTGTTTGATTACCAAATAAATAAAATAAATAAATAAATAAATAAACCTCTAATTTCAAGTAGATAAATAAATATGTTGGAACATTAACACACAGCACCATCTAGTTCCATGGTAAGCTACGAGGCCTGTGTTATAGATACCAGATAGTTGATACACTACACGTATATATACTTTAAATACATACATATTATAAATATAAACAGCCTTGAAGGAAGTACAAACATTCGTGTTCATCACACAAATGATTGCCACCAGCGGGACTCGAACCCGCGACCGCTGGCACAGAAAGCAGGGTCACTACAAACTAAGTTAAACGTGTCGTCGAAAGATGTACTTATTTTACTGCAATATAAATTCATTGTAGTTAAAATAGTAGAACTGGTAGCAATATATAAAAATGGTATAAAGAAAACATGTTCCAAGATTGCCTATTTAATAAAACCTGACGCCGAGACAAGTCAATGAATAATTAATTATGTTTAAATCCGCCATAGACGTTTAAGATCAATATGCCACTCAACACCCACTAACATACAATTTATGTGACCTTATATCTACCTGAATGATTAACTTAAATAGACTAAATTTAATATCAAGTTAATTAATGTTTTTAAGGCTTGCAATAACGCTAAATGTTGTCTTAATATTTTAATAATTAAAAAAAACTGTAATATGTATTACTAGCGGCTCACCCTCGCTTCGCTCGGGTTCGTCTCTAGACAAACAATAACAAATCTATCCCACGGGAACCGTACATTTTTCTCGGATAAAAAGTAGCCTATTTGTTAAACTGATGTAGGAACTACATATATTACTGTAGTTTCATTAAAATCCCATCAGTAGTTTTTGTGTAGGTACTAAGCTGTATAAGTTACTATAGTTTTTTAACTATCCCACGGGGACTTCGGAGATTAGCCCGTACAAACAGACAGAAAACCAAAAAAATTGAAAAAAATTGGATTTGTTCTATTTCTCTTCTTACATCCCCCTAAAACGGTTTTTAGCATATTTTTTGTCCATGTCCAGACATTCGATCTCTACAGTTTTATTATATGTATAGATAAAGCCAGATGATTTTGACACTATTGTAAGGTTTCGCTATTTCCATTTATAATAAAACAGTTATAATTGATTATACTGGTCACAATGACGACGCAAATGCACAAATTATGATCATCAGGCAGTTAAAAATGACGACATTGGTCAGGCCGAAAAAATAAATAAAAATACAATTAAAAATAGAAAGAAGAAATAAAAAAAGAGACGATTGGTCGGCGGGAAGTTGACAGGGGGGATGCGAACCGTGATTTTTAACTCGAAACAAAAAAAAAAGAAATTGTTGAGAATAAGTGTTTTCTAATAAATTGTAACTAAATCTAATTATTTATATATAAGTTTAGAAACATGATGCTGATTTATCCTAAGATATCGTACACTATAGAATGATGATTTCGATCTCATAGTGAACTTACCTGTAAGAAGGAAACTTCAAATCTCAACAATGTGATAAACATGAAAGCCAATAGGATGCGACCAGCTAGTTGCAAATAAGTCTTAGGCTTGTTCTCGCCCAATGAAGGTACTCCAGCAAAGAGACTTCTCCCCTCTGCGCGAGCTTCCGCTAGTACGAGCAGTAGGGCTCCGATGAGGGCCAGATTACGGAGTAAGAACTGCATGTCCCAAAGTATACTGTAGGCGAATGTCTGGAAAGGTGGTTTATTAAAAAAATATTATAATTTTATTCATATTTTTTATATATATTAGGTATTATCGTGACATTAAACAATTTTGGAGGTTAAAAAATATTTGTCTCTATTTTTCTCTAAATCTATACTTAAAATAAAATTCTAACTGATTGTGAGTCGAATGTGTACATTAAATATTTTTTGGAAAATCTTATTGAAGTAGGTAGTCATTATTATTGATCCGCCACAATCTGTAGTTTTTAGAATTTTTGTCTGTCTGTCTGTGACTGCATCACGAGAAAACCACTGGACAGATTTTGATGAAATTTGGTATGATGATAGTTGGTTATCCGAGTCAACATATAGAATACTTATAACCGCAGGAAAATATCTCATTTCTGAGAAATCTATACTAAAGGTTAAAACGTAAGTAGGGACGAACCCGAGCTGAGCGAGTGTCGCTAGTACCTAAATGTTATATAATATAGCTTTTTCTGATGGACCCCATGTAGGAAACAATACTGATAATATTGGGAATTTATAAAATAAAATTTTATCTACAATAAAAAATTAAGGCCATTAAAGGTTGGCCTAATAACCCTGAGATAAACTAACCAGAACCAAACAATATTTTAATTTTGTCTAGACCATCCATAATTATATAATTTTTTAGACCGCCAAAATGTGTTAGCCCAGGGCCTCCCAAATTCACGGTCCGCCTCTGCTTGTACACAAAGTAACAAAAAATAAATAGGTAGTAGTTATTGTTATATGTACCTACATATTTCTTGTTACACGATCAAGTCTTAAATTTAAAATCTCACGTAATTATTGTCTTCTCACGTACAATAAATCTAATCTATTATAATGCGTAATCTTTTTTAACAAATATTTTACGTTTAATATGTGTAATTATAAAAAATAGTATTGTAATATAGCGATAAGTAACTGACATGAACGAATTAGTCTCTAATTCGTTCATGGTAACTGATATCGACGTTATGTAAGAAGTTGTCAAGACTGCATAGATGGCTGATAAACTTGTGTCCATACGTTTATTAACTTTAATAAATGAATTAAGTGTATATTATTGAACTACTATTATAAATACGAAAGTATTTATGGGAGTTTTTGTTGAAACGGAAGAACAGATTTGGATGAAATATAATATTTAGGCAGATTTAGACTATGACCATTTTTTTAAAATTTGAGAAACGCTTTCACGCATACCACTTGTAGACATACAGGTAGGATATGTGGGCTCATCGGCTAGAGATCGAAGCTAGTACTACCCTCTAAAACCTCCCCAGTCTTAAGGGGGCGTCGCAGGATCGATTACGCACTCAACCACTACGCCACGACGGCAGATCTGCCGAAGCAGACCACGTCAACTATGGGGTTGCTCCAATTATCCACTCTGCCGTCAGAGAAGTACCAGGAGCAACCCACATGATACACCGCCCACGGAAGTTGGCCACCTCCCAGTGCGTTTCTTGGCTGAACAGCCGGACGCTATTGAACCCTCATGACAAGGTGAACGCACGTTGGAGAGGAGATAGACTATAAACTTGACGAACACCTAGACTACTATTAGGCTCTAGGTCATCCTAGCGAAGCGAAGTAAGCTAATAGAGCGCTTGTAATTTTACATACTCTTAATCCATCAAATTGATCGTAATTAAAGTAAATTACACAACAATAATTCTAATTGTACAGAACTTAGTTTATAATGATTAATTTCTATTTGGGTTACGTAAGTTTAATTAAAATGATAAAACATTACTGATAATCAGGATGAAATTATCAAGATAAATATATCTTTTGATAACTATCGCGATAATTATCAGATAATTATCAAACAGATTAAACTTAGCAATCCTTGTGTAGGTATTGGTATTTGACTACTTGCCTATCATAATTTACGTTAGAATAAATTATACTCTTTTAACAATCAAGGTAATCTTTTATTATTATATTTTTTCCATTATTTTGACACATACAAACTTGGAAATAAAAACAGAACAAATTTAACCAACTATATAGACACTATTTAATTAAATTAAGGTCTCTGCCCACTATACCGTCTCATACCATGACCGTGCTAGGGCCGTGTTAGGCAAAAAATTATCCTTTGTATTGAAAAGTATGAGACTATGCCCACTAAACCGTTCCATCACCGACCAAGACCTTTCCGTCACGAACTAATACCGACGTGTGCCGTGCATGGAAAGTTAACAATAATTGTCACCAAGAATATTTTGCCGGTACCGATACGCTCCGTGCCTGGCACGCGACGTCACCGAACGGTGCGTGCGGACGGCGAAACAATGAGCACACCGGTTATAACTACGTATGATGACCGTTCTAATCCCGTTGTTATAAACGTGTTGTCGCTTGTCTTCTAGTGATAATATTTTCTTTTAAATTATATTTTTTTTAAAACGGCATGAACCTAGTAACGTCGTGATCGACTGATGTTATACTCTTTCTTTCTCGCCTAACACAATGGCAATCATTGTTAATTTTCTATCGGACAAGTTTCTAATAGCCATTTTATAGGTATAGGAAATAATTTTCGTAACAAAAATATTCCCTCGCTCTTCCTGACGCGGCTGACTCACGCGAAAGCACAGGTGAACTACTACGACTGAGAAAACGGGAACTATACGGATATGACACGCGGATGATACGCGAATGATACGTTCTAGTGGGCATAGTAGTCCGTGTCGCTTGTTTCCGTGCCTGATACGTTCATAGCACGGTCATGGTATAAGACGGTGTAGTGGGCAGACTCCTTAATGAGTGGAATATCATCCTCATCCTCCTCAACTGCATTAACTCAGTTTGCTGATTGAGTTTTTTGAGCTGATTGAGCCATTTGAAGAATTACCAATTAAATATTTTCAATTATATTTATCAAAAATAATTATCAAGCCATATTTATCATGATAATTATCAATGATAATTATCGCTTCGAACCCTGCTGATAATTACAAGTAGTAAAAAATAATAACTATTTTTTAAATAATTTGTTGTTTAAATATCATGTTTAAGTATATATGTAAATTAAATAATGAATTCAAAGATGTATTGTAGAAGTGATATCGCACAGTATAAAAACAATATCCAAAATAGGTCAAGTCAATGTACGAACAAAGAACGTGGCTATATATTGCGCATTTGGCCACACTACACGTACATGTGAATTTGGGAAATACATTAATGACAATGCCAAGTGCGAACACAATGTAAATAGATCGGTGGAAATAACAAAAAAATATGTTATCTAAATTATTAGATATCGGATTGTCGAAGCGTTACAGAACTATATTATTTAATAGGTTTACATGACTACTTTAATTACTTAATTATGTTTTAAATTTTACATCAGTGCAGGTTTCCAGCTCAAAATATCTATCGCTGCACTATCACAACACAGTAAGGGCCGCTCCACACTATAGTGCCGATCGCAGTCCGTTCTCGGTCCGATATCCGTCTGGTAAAGTATTGTTATACAAGAAACAATGAATGCATTCACATTATCAGTAAGACTCACGTTCCGGTCGAATCACGCTCCAGCGTTTCTTGTTTAGAAACACTTTACCAGACCGATATCGGAACGAGAACGGACTGTGATCGGCATTATAGTGTGAACGGAGCCTAAATATGCGGAATGTACCCGCAGTCTACTATCGCTGAGCTCACGTAAAGTACTTATTGGCTATATTGCCATAATAGTTTTAAAGTTTAATACAGGTATATACCTACTTTTATCAAACATGAAAAGCTCATTATTTTATTTAATATTCTATAAATGTAAATTACCTGTAATACGACAATGAAGAACAGTAATCCACATGCAATGTCAACTTTTAACCTTCCCAGGACCATGACGCAGCCACCGAGCTGACCTAATAAGTTGATTATCTGGAATCAAAAAAATCAATAAATTTATTCAATACAATTTTCTTGTTAATGGCTTCAAAGGATAAAGAAGACGCAAAATTTATAATTATACTAGCGAAAAACAAAAATCTATCCCACGGGAATCGTACATTTTTTCGCAATAAAAAGTAACCTATGTGATATTCCAAACCATAATCTATCTCTGTGCCCAATTTCATCCAGATCCGTTCAGCCGTTCTGGCGTGATTGAGTAACAAACATCCATTTATCCAAACTTTCACATTTATAATTTAGATTTATAGATTAGACTCATTAGAGAATAGAGATAAATAATAAAAAATCTTTTGAATGCTATTTAATCTCATTCTATCTCTTATTGTATGTAATTGAGTTTACTTTGAAATATTGCTAATTGTATAACAGAATTAAAGTTTCACTTGTATAATAGTACTCATATACCTTGTAGTAATAGGTGAAGAATAGGCCCCCATAAAAGAGAATTACTGATATTTTGTGATGTGAAAAAATGGAAACAAGATTGGTTTTAACTTATATTTTACGGTGTAAATTTTATTGAATAAAAAAATATAGGTAGTGGAAATGAAATAGTTTTGTTCTAAGTCACTTATAAAGCAATTTTTTATGCAAAAGATTATAGTTTATGATGACGATTGTCTAGTGCAAATTTAGACTTGTGTACTAAAGTCTAAATTTGCACTAGAAATATTATATCGGTTTTTGTTTTTATTCTAGTAACATAATGCACAGCTGAACACATTACTATATTAATACTAGCGACTCACCCTCGCTACGGGTGTCGGGTTCGTGGAATTACTGTTTAACGTTTACTATAGATTTCTCAGATATGAGATATTTGTCCGCAGTAAAAAGTATCCTATATGTTGACCCGGATAACAAGCTATCATCATACCAAATTTCATCAAAATCCCTCTAGTAGTTTTTACGTGATGCGATCACAGGCAGACAGACAGACAAAAATTGAACACACATTTTATTTTAAGAATATATCTCATTTCTGAGAAAAAAAATACAAAAACTGCATTGTAAGAGTATACTAATATGTAAAACCTAAGAATTTGGTTTTATGTCATCTGAACGCGGGCGGAGCCGCGGGCAATGCTAGTTTATTATAATTTATTAATTCTATGAGCATTCACTACTTTCTAATTCCATCACACAGTGGCCTAATGTATACGTAAGACAGTGGTTATGCAAGACATCGACAGTTACGTGTATTTTGTGAGTCGACACTCATCAAGTCGCGGCCGCCGTGCCGGGTGTCGGTCAAGGATAGCAAGGCGGTCAAATACCACACGCATCATTTGCGAATAATTAAGACGTATAAATGTTTAAAATTATACATATTTATTGAAATATCTAATAATGGATAAAAATTGACGAAAGATAAACGCGCAGATAAACGGTAGCAGAGGTGGCCGGTTCGATTCCTGCTATCTATGATTCTATATAGGATCATACAAACAATTACGAGCTATCAAGTCCAATTAAAACAATGTTTAGGAAGTTCTTCTAGTAATCTTTTTAAACTTATATCCTCCACAAGTGTAAAAATATAAAGTTAAAAGAAATATATACATATATTTACTTATTTTAGATAGCTACATGAATGTTGTTTTGTGCAATAGCAAAGAGTCACAACTGTGCTACACGTGGCTTACTTCCTAAATAGAAAGGACAAGTAAACTTTCACTAATAGTAGGCAGGGTGTTCTGAAAGTTATCACTTCCTAGTTTTGTATTATTTCATCAAAAAAAATATATTTGCTATTTATCTATACTTCGGAATATGTATGTATATCTTCGGTGCTTTTCTCGTTTCTACAAACGTATTTATTATTTTAAAAATATCAGGTTTTGCTAGTACACTGTAAGCAGTGTAGAGTTCCGAATGAATTGTTAAGTATGAAACTACAATTCAATAATACTTTGTTAGATTTACGCGAATATTTGACATTTTAAATAAAACTATCTTTTCAGATTCATGGTCACCGGAGATCCCGTAACCATGATTGCTGTAAAGCATTTGAATCGTCGGGAACCAAAAATCAAAATAAATCCGCGAAATAGTCCCAAAAGATAGTTTTATTTAAAATACAATTCAATATTTAATATGAAAAATCTTTTTTATAGCATAAGTACTTTGGTGGAATATATTAAACTTAAGACTTATCATGTGCACGATATGAATGTATTGTGCAAGAAATTCAAACAAGTTTATGCAACAACTTACATTATACTGAAATTTAAAATTACAAAATTTATCACATCATTTATAACTGAAGTAGAGGATAACAAAGAACATGATTACAAAAGAACTAACGCGATGTACATTACACAAGAATGGTTTTATCTAGTTTTAAAGCAATTTTAAAATCATAAATATTATGGAACATTTAGATATGCTCTACGTAACTTGATATGTTTTCAAACTTTGCATATACATAATACATAATAAATTATAAAGTTGTTATACTTTTAATATTTTTTAAAACAACTTTTCTCTAAAGAACAAATTTTCCTAATGGATATGTGTACTAACAACAAATAATAGCAGTAAACTTTGATGTAAGTACACAAATAAAATACTTTAGGACTATATTTAATACTAGCAACTTGCCCTCGCTTCAGTTCGTCCCTAGGCATGTTTTAATATTAGTATGGAGTAGATAGACTATATATTACCTATGTCTCTTATTTCTACTTTCCTCAATAATCAGGTTCTCTAATGCAAAAAGAATTTTTCAAATCGGATTAGTAGTTCCTGAGATTAGCATGTTCAAACAAAAAAACTAACAAACTCTGCCTCTTTATAATATTAGTATAGATTAAATAAAACTATAAAATATTTTTGAACTCTTTTAACCTATGTACCATTTAACTTATATAATTTAATGAATTGATTCATCATGATTAAATTGTTATAATACTAAAAATTTATTTTAGTTTGCCTATTACAATATTAGACAGAAGTATGATATCTTAAATCTTTGAAGAAATAATACATGTTATATCATTACATTTTTATCACAGGATAATTTCTTACAGTTTCTTGTTTTTTGTAAAACATAATAATAAGTTATGTAAATTCATCTTTCACATCCTTCTTCAACATCATTTTTTATGGTACAATATAAATATATGACATTAATTTAAAATTAATCATTACTCTAAAGAGTAAACATTGTTAAATATAAGTGTTAAATATTGGTCATACAGCAGACATTTTAATGATGTGGTACATTATCTATAGTCTATGCAGATAAACAAAATTGAAGTGTCAGTTCGTTCTGTAGAAGTAAAAGCTTTTTACTATGCGTATATAATTATATATAGTAGGTACTTATAAGAAAAACACAATTTTTTAAAATTTATGTCTGTCTGTTCCTGCTAATCTCTGAAACGGATGCACTGATTTTGATGGGATATTTACTGGTAGGTAGCTGATGTTATAAGGAGTAACTTAGGCTACTTTTATTTTAGAATAAGAATTAGGGTTATGCTCAAAAAAACTTAAAATATACCTAGGGATGCACCCAAGCGAAGCGAAGGTAAGTCACTAGTAATAACTAAAATATGTGGTATAAATTGAATGCTCTGCCTATACCCTCCAAGTTTACAAAAACAGTCACATTTATTTACTTTTAAATTGTGTTGTATGGAAATAATTATTTTTAAACTTACCACAAACATAGTTGCTAAAAATTTTCCACAGTTCCATGACATGTCCATATAGTCTCTTTGTTCTGACCATTGAAACCACATTCTAAGGCCATCTTCCAAAAAAGTTGAAATGAGACACAGTCGTGCCACTGTGGGTAATATGTGTTTGCCTTTTCTGATGACCTGATGATAAAAATTATTAATAGGATTAATTATTGAAGGCTATTTTATTAAATTTTGATTCACCATGAAATGTATAAGTGAGTATTAGAAATCCAAATATAAATTTATTTTATTTACTTTCAAAGTTATTTAGGTATTCAGTATATTTTAACAACTAGAGTAACATATAATTTGCACACAATAAATGTGAAAAATAATTCATAATATGTATGTCTAGGTGGAAAAATAAATTTAAAATAGGTATATTTATTTACAAATTAATGTTTAATACATTTTTTAGAGGAAATCCTCTTGCATTTTATTTCCATTTAAAATAGAAAAATATTAAAAACTATGATTCTAGATTATATAAAGTATAACAAAAGGGAGAATATCATTTTCATTTTTTGGAATCTAATCTTAATAACTTCTAGCAGCGCCAACGAGAAATAAGTTCGGTGACGTGACAAACATAGTCAAAGTGCAATAAATCGACATTCGCTTGAAAATAATGAACTTAATTATATTAGAAAAACTACTTAAATACCTGATCAGCAATATCCTCTGCTGTTGAGACATATTCATTGGGAATTTGCATTTTTCCTCACAAATTCACTAACACTATCACCTGAACAAAATTTCACTGTCGCTGGACTCGTCGTCGGTCTTCGAGTGACGTGTGGACAGTTGGATATATTTCCTGTTCAACTTAGAGGCAATTATATGATATAATGAGTATTTAGTAATTAAATTAGCTAATAAGTCTTATTATCTCAATAATGAATAAATTTAGGAATTTTCTCTATAAAAATAATATTGTTTTAGATTTAAATGAATATAAAAGTTATAAAAGATCGTTTACCGGATGTTTTTCCCGTACGCTGCTCGGTTTATTGTCAAAATGACAATAAAGTTTCATAATACGCGTTTTCATTGATAATTTTAAAATAAAGCAAGCAAATCATTGTTTTAAGAAAACAGTATATGTAATATCTATATGTTGTTTATAGTGTATTTCAATTTGGCTGTTTCTAAAAAATGTTTTTCAAATACATTGCTTATATCACATATAATATTTTCATTGTTCCCTGTGGTTATAATTTAACTGTCATCATATTATAAATGTAGCAAATAGCAATATACTCTATGACTGTCATCCTAGCACCTATATCAATGTGTCAAAAGCGAAAACAATCACAAAAAAATTAGGGCTTATTATTTGTATTGTTTTGTTATACCTACTTCAGACCAAGGTTTTTGATATTGCATATTACGATTAAATAATCCTTTATGAAATCTAAAAATTAGGTAAAATCATAGTCCTAAGTGATTAAATGTAACCTCAATTTATTTTGCAGAAGATGTTAGAAGTAACTTGCAATGATCGTCTCGGGAAGAAAGTTAGGGTTAAATGTAACCCAGATGATACAGTTGGGGACTTGAAGAAACTTATTGCAGCGCAAACTGGTACAAGATATGATAAGATTGTATTAAAGAAATGGTACACAGTCTTTAAGGATCACATTAAACTATCGGATTGTATCCTTTTTTATATCTATTGATTATAAAAATTAACATTATTAACTTTTATATAAGTTCATTTACTTTTCCGTCAGTAGTAATTTCATAACCAATTAAAAATTATACTCAAACACATTTAAAAATATGTACTAACAATATAATTAATTGTTTTTATATTGAGTTGTGATCAATTTTTATCCCCCGACGCCAAAAGAGGGGTGTTATAAGTTTGAAGTCGATGTCTGTCTGTGTGTGTATGTGTCTGTCTGTGGCATCCTAGCTCTCAAACGGATGGACCGATTTCGATGCGGTTTTTTTCATTTGAAAGACAGTTTCCTTGTGGAGGTTCTTAGCTATGTTTGATTTATATCGATCCAGCAGTTTAAGAGTCTCAGCTCTTTTCCAAAATGATGTAAGGTTTTGGCATAAGATTAAACGATTAAGTGCTTCACATGTACCAGTGTAATCGTTAAATGACAATTAATTTGCTTAGGGGGTTTTTAAAATTTTTAATCTTTGATATCCTTTACTAAACAACACAGATGAAATACATGATGGCATGAATTTGGAGTTATATTACCAATGAGATGGATTTCATCATATTTTTTTTAAGTATAACTAACATTTTTTAAGGAAAGGCTGAGGTGTGTAAATAAAAATGCTTAAATGAATGTGCTTATAATTTTATTTCATTTCTGTAAGTATTTTAAGATAATAATTATATATTAATAAATTATATGAAGACAATGAACATTAAAATTGTGAACAATTTTTTTTATTCTTTGGTTTATTAAACCCCAACTTATTTCTAAAATTCACAGAAATTCTTATGTGTTACTCAAAAGATGGAGAAGTTTGTCTATCATGTATATTTATAGATAATTTTAAGTTTTTTATCAATAAAATTTTGCATTTAAACCAGTTATACACAAGTTACTTTAATTAATTAAATATTTTCTAATGAAAAAATAAATTTATGTTTTAAATATAGAAGAATCCTATTAAAATTGACATAAATCTATTTAAAAGGACAAGAATCAATAACCTTAGTGTGTGTATCACAGATAGTCACTATTTTATATTAGTTCCTTTCTAATAAGTTCAGTTTTTTACATGTTGAGTAATGAGTATGTATTACATGTTGCAAGACTTGCAGCAAAGATAAAACATGTATGTCTCTGACTGCATAATAATTCTATTTTATTCATTAACTTGTTTGTTTCTTTTTAGTTTCTTTGTACAGTTGGGGTTTTTTTTACATAGGTATATTCAGTTTTGGCCAATGTATGTCATTTTATTTATTAATTTGTTAGCTTACAGTATCAATAAATAGTTGATCATAGTTGTTGTATTAGTTTAGTTTATAATTTTATAAGACATATACAAACTTTATGATGTTACTATAAATTATATGAAACATAAAACAATGACATTAGAAGATGAATTCTCAAGCTATCATGTAGTTTTATTTTAATTAATATAATATTAATTTAACATAACATGGTGCAGCTGGTACTGAAACTTATTCAATATAAATAATAAAATAAAGAAAGTTTACAGTATTTAATATAAAGAATTATAAAATATATATTAATAGTGACGATGATGAATGGTCAAATGAATATGTCGGCAGTCCGAGTTCCTACAGAAATGTGCTGGATAGGGTCAATGGCAGAAAATTGGAAGTTATTTAAACAAGATTATGAAATATTTATTGTAGCGTCTGGTAATGTAGAGAAAGATTCTGCAACTAAAATAGCGCTACTTCTTAACGTGACTGGTGACCGTGGATTAAAGCTATTCAATAGTTTTGTATTTGATAAACCTGATGACAAGAATAACTTTAATAAAGTTATGGCTGCAGTTTAGAATAGGGGATATTACCCCTGGCAGAGTGGGTGGTATTTCTGGATAGGGGACGTGATAGGGAGTCGAAATGTTAAATAAAAAATTATCCGGAAACGTACGAGTAAAAAGTTATTATGACTTAAAGTTACAACATTTCCATACATTATTTTGACATTACTACCATTTTGACACTTGAAGTCAAAACGTCACTTTCAATTGTCAAACTGATCTCCAGATGATTGTCTTTATTTGTACTTTGCATGAAATTCGAATTTTCTAGTTTTCTAGTCATTTATGGCACTCGCCGGCCGCTACCGCGGCACGTTCGCTTCGCTCGCTCGGCTCGTGCGTTGTGGCAACTGTTCTAACCTAACCAAGATATGACGAATAATAAATAAATAATCTTAAATGTTCTAACCTAACCTAACCAAGATATGAAGAATAATAAATAAATAACCTATGTCTTAAACTAACCACGATGTCGCAAAATAAAAACCAAAAGTAAATAATACATTTAGATTTTAAAAATAGTCTACTCACGTTTATAAATTGCTTTCCTTTAATGGATATACATTTTTGATTGCCTGCCACATACAATCAAAAGGATCCTCTCTTCTGTTTCTCACGATTCTGTGCCACATGTATGTGCACAGGTGGTCAGCAAGGGCCTCTTTTTTATATCCTGCATTTGTCACTTCATATTTAAGGTGCTTCCAGCTTCCTTCTATTGCCTGAGTGTTAACACCACTGGTAGGCTCTACAAATCTCCCTACACCCATAGAGCTATGATTGACTGTCTTATGAGTGTAGTTTTTGCCAGGTATGTCTGCTAAGCCCTCATACGCTTTCCAACAATCTGTCCAAATTTCTGTACCAGGGGCAATATGTTTCTGAATAAGTGGAAATAGAGTGTTACGCTCACGTTTATTATCCGGACATATTTCCAGTCTATAACCGGGGCCATCTTTTTCAATCATACCTAATATCCAATTGCCTTCGCGTGGACGACCTCGGTTATATTTCCTTTTCTCTACCAGGGATTCGTCTATTTCCACTATCTTACCTAGTCCTCCAATCTGGCCTTCAGTCTCGAATTGTTCATCTAGAGATATCATGCAGACTTCCCGACAGTATGAGTACCAATCAACTACTGTAGCTGAAGATGTGATCTTATCTATAGAAGTTTCTTTGATAGCCTGCTCCTGATTAAATTTATTAGCAAAGGCGTAAGTGAGTAGAACTACTTTCTCAGGTGAAACTTTAACATTTTCAAACCATGTACCCTGAGTAGCACTAATGGTTTTTTGGTCATGCCTATATTTGCATTTAAACCGTCCTAAACCATGACCTGGCTCCAATATCATTTTTTTCACTATTTTTCTTTGATATTTACATATGGGACAGTCCAAGTCACTTATTAAAAGTCCTTCACTCCTCAACCAGCTTAGACAGGTCTCTCTGTCTTTTAAATGTGTGGTTGTAAGCTTAAATATACTCATATTTACAAAAAAAGTCACTAACAGAACTAAAACTAACTCACTATTTAAGTACACTAACACTATGATCACTTAAAACTATAAAAATAATATTGAAACAAAAACAAGAAACGAAAGTATATAAAAATTAACAAAAACTAATAACTAATGGAAAATTATAAGAGAAAAATAACAATGAAAAAGAACAAGACATATAAAACGGAAAACTTAAAACACGCATTGATTACAGAGTACAGAATCACAAATTATGAAACTTCGCGGTATTTTAAGAACACCCGCCAATAATACTGAAAAATATTCACAGACAAAAAAATGTTTTTTTTTACTAAATGTACAATTGTAAAACAATATATTTTACATAAATCAGATAAAAAGTCATAAATGTATTTATGAAGTGAAAATAATATTTTTCTTTTTATTTATTTATTTATTAATAGTAATATTTTACCAACAGAAAAAGCAAAAATAATCAATTATAATCTGTTGTCATTTAAGCGGTAATATAAAACAAAGTGACAGCTTTGCTTTTGTCAAAATGTAAGATCATTTTGGAGGACTTCGCCTGCGTTAGCTTTGGTTAACACACGTGTTTGTTACATTCGTTCGTGATTGTTAAAGTGCTTTGTGATTATAGTTGTAATATCTGTAAATTAGGTTTTTACTAACTCGGTGTTGGGTATTGGTAAGTTTTGTGTGCTGTGTTTTTGTATATAATTATTGATAAAAATGGAACCTGATCCCCCGCCGGATCCTCCGGATCCTGGTGGCTTGTTAGTGCCTGTCGTTCCCCAGTCCCGTAAACGTCAAAGTGATGAAGTCACAATCGACTCATCTAAAAAAACTATAGTTGATCCAGAGACAGCTACTCCATCTATCCAACATGTGTATGTGCACCCTTCCCTATCAGGTCCTAAATCCTATTCTGAAGACGACAAGGGTCCCTTTATTGTTTATGTTTCTCGAGAGACTCCAGACCCTGCAGCTGGTACTACTATGCGTGCAATTAAATTCGGCCAGTTTTTATATCACAATAATGTACAAAATATTGTAAATGATGGCGTTAAAAATTTAGGCCGTAATAAAATTGAAATTCAGTTCTCTTCAGCATTAGCAGCAAATAGTTTTATAGCCAATCCTATTTTAAATTTATCCAAATACGTTGCTGTAATTCCAACATTCAATATAACTAGAATGGGTTTGGTCAAAGGAGTTCCCGTAGACTGGGCAATGGAGGAATTTGTGTCCTCTTTGGAATTCCCTTCTGGTTGCGGGCAAGTTCTGAAAGCCAGAAGATTGAACCGTAAGACAGTGAATGATGGTATTGTTACTTGGATTCCTACACAATCGGTTGTTTTAACTTTCCGTGGTCAAGTATTGCCTCCAAAAGTATACTCTTACCATACCTCTTTACCTGTCGAAACCTATAATCTCCCTACTATTCAGTGTATGAATTGTTGTCGTTTTGGCCACATCAAAGCACAGTGTAGGTCTAAGCCGAGATGTTACAGGTGTTCCCAACCACAGACTGGGGATGGGTGTGATATTTCTAAAGAAAACTCCACATGCTTATATTGTTCTGCAAAGCATTTTGCGGTTGATAAGGAATGTCCTGAGTTTGTTAGGCAACAAAATATTAAAAGTTTAATGTCGCAAGACAATATATCATATATGGAAGCTTCCTCTCGATTCCCCCCTGTAAGGCGGTCATATGCAGATATGGCCAAGGAAATGTTTTCCTCCCCTGCTTTATCTGTCTCACCATCCAGCTCTAATAATCCCCTGACTCCTGTCAGGAAATCTTATTCAAAAACCGTTTTCCGTTCCCCTCGTCCCCATGCTCCTCTTTCCAAAGGGTTTGATAGACAAGCTCATTAAGCCATCACTAGCAATTGTCCTTCTACGTTACCAAATGGCTGTGCTCTCAGCAATAAAGGCGAGGCCGCCTATGATTTTTCTAAATCAAACCTTTTATTCAGTTTGACTGAAACTCTTGTTTCAATTATATCCGCTGGTGATGAAATTCCCTTACCGTCCAACGTTGCCCAAAACTTACTTCGTATATTTAACATTCTTAAAAATGGCCCCACTCAACTTCCTTCAGTGGAATAGTAAAAGTATTCGCTCTAAAAAACATGAATTACTTTCTATTGTTGCCCTTTATGAGCCTGTCATTATTGCCCTCTCTGAAACATGGTTGATTCCTGGTTCCCGTTTCAGGATCTCGGGTTTTGCCTGTTTG